CGGCAAACACCAGGTCGGCCAGACTCAGCTTTGGAGCCAAAGCCGCCCACAGTCGCAGCAAGGGTTTTGTTTGGGTTTTTGTTGTTTTATTTCCCTGGAGGATGGACCCAGGGGCTTCACCCTGAGCTCCTTCCCCAGTCCCTTTTTTATTTTGTTTTCAGACCACACGGCCTCACGAAGTCACTAGTGATTAAATTGCAATCCCCCTGCCTCAGCCTCCCAGCGTGCAGGAATTACAGGCATGCACCACCACAAGTGGCCACAGATGGGCTCTGTCCTGAAGCGTGGACCCACTGGTCTTGCACATCTTTCAAACTCAGGACAGGAGACAGGTGAACACCCGGAAGCCATCAGGCCTGGGACCAAGGCTCGGGTGCCATAGCACTCATGGATTCCTGTCGTCCCCTGGCTTCCCCCCAGCCCACCCCGCCCTGGCCCTCACCAGTCCTTTGCCACGATGGCCGGCTGGGTGGTGTCCAGCAGCTCCTCCCAGTAGCCCTCGGCCTGCAGGTCAACAACTTGTGCCTTGCGACACCACCTGGGAGAAGAGGGTTAAGACTGGGCAGGGGTCCCTGCCTCCCCTCCCCCTCCTCCCTCCGCCCCGCCCCCTCCCCTTACTCGAAAGAGGACGCGAAGTACTTCCTGACGCTGTCATCCTGGGGGAATTCCACCCCACTGTCTCCGGGTATCTCCTCCACCCTCCAGCCGTCCCCGCCATGTTCCACGTCACACCAGCCCTCCAAGTCCTCTGTAGGGACAGGGACAGCCCCAGTCTGGCCACCCAGTCCTTGCTGAAGCTGCAGCTTTTCCGGGGATTGAATCCAGGGCCTTCCCCTGGACTACATCCCCAACCCTTTTCATGTTTTATCTTGAAACAAGGTCTTGCCAAACTGCCCAGGCTGGACTCCAACTTGCAATCCTTCTGCCTCAGCCTCCTAGAGGGCTGCGAGGACAGGCGTATGTGTCACCATGCCCAGCTAGGACTGGCTCAACAGAGCAGTGGGCTGCAGTGACCACTTCCGGCCTCTCCTGGGCAACGGTGCACAGGGGCATCGGGCCCAGGCTCACTGAGGCCGGACACCTGGGAAAGAGACCCAGGCAGCAGGTGGCGGCCAGGCAGAGCGACAGAATTGTCAGGGTGGCTCCCGGCCGCCCCTGCCCACCCCCAGCCCCGCGACCCGGTCTCACCTTCCCCGCACGGGTTGCGCAGCAGGTTGCGCCTACGCTTGCTGAGGAAATAGAACCGCTGCCAGTGGTCGCGCTCTTCCTCTTCGCCGCAGCCCTCGGGCACCAGCCCCTCCTGCTGGCACTTGAGCAGCCACAGCGGGGCGCCGTCCACCAGCTCCTTCCAGCGCAGGCACACTAGGCGGCAGGCCTGCACCAGCTCGGCGGCCGGCAGCTGGGCCAGCACGCGCAGCAGCAGCGCCTCCGGCAGCTCAGCGAGGTACGCAGCCTCCTCCAGCTCCTCCTGCTCCTCCTCCTCCTCCTCCCCCGGCCGATCCCCCTCGGCGCAGGCCTCCTCAGCGCAGGCCTCCTCCGGGCTCACCTCCTCCGGCTGGCCCACGCTCTCTGCAGACAGACAGACAGACAGGGGAGTGGATCTGCCCCCAGCCCCAGGCAACCACAGCCACCATGAGAGAGTCTGACTCCCCATGGGTGCCCAGGGAGGAGGCTGAGCCACAGACGGGCCCAAGAACTGCTTGGGTACCCTGTGTCCCCCAAAGGTATACCCCATTCCTGAGCACACGCAAGTCCTGGGCTTCATAGGGAGCACTGTTAATCCTCCTCTCCCCTCCTCCGGAAGCCTTCCTGGGCCTTCCCTTCTGATGCCTTCTAGAGCTTCCTAGAATTTGCACTGAGATGTGGTCAGCTTTTTGGGGGGTTGGTTTGGTTTTGCTTTGCTTTGCTTTATTTTGTTGAGACAGGGTCTCCATATGTAGTTCAGGCAGGCCTGGAACTCCCAGCAGTCCTCCTGCCTCAGCCTCCAGAGCGATGAGATTACGGGCATGCACCACAATGCCTGGCTAGTGATGGCTTTTTTCTTCACCAGACTGACCTCATGAAGCCCGAAACCCAGTGCCTGGCACCGATGTGTCCAGAGCTCCTATTTACTGGCCACTTAGCAAGCACCAGAACTGTGGGTGCATTCGTCTGTGTCTTAAAGCCTCCCACCACCCTCTTGGAGGTTTCCATGATGAGGAAACCGAAGCACAGACAGAAGCAATGGCCTGGGTCACGCGGCTCAGAGGTAACCAGAGCCTGCATCTGCACTGAGTCTGCTTCCTGCGTCACCAGATCATTGAAAAAGAGTGGGCTGAATCTGTAGATGTGGCGATGATTTTGAGTTTGCAGAGGAATGTGCATAGGCCCAGAAATGGGATGTGATTTTTCCAGGTCACACTGGTAGCCTTAGGGTAAGGGACCTAGGGACCTGGAGACCTGAAGATGATGGCTGGAGACTCAGCTGTCCCCAATGAGCCACCAGAGTGTGACTTAAAGGTGGGAAGCAGTCTGCTGTCAAACAGGGAGGTGGGCTTGGTGTGTCTTTTCTAATCCTTGGGCCTCAGTTTCCTCATCTCATGAAATGGGGTGATCATTGTGCCTGGCCAGCTAACGGTGCTGAGGTTCAGATCCCCTGAGGAGGGACGAGAACAACAAGAGTCCGAAGGCAGTGGGCAGGTGGCACTCCGATGCCAGCTCTCCTCACTGGGCCACTGAAGCTTATGCAAGCAGATACCAAGAGCCCAGTGTCTCTGGAGAGGGCACAGTGGTGGGGAGGAGACAGGGCCACTCTGGGTGTAGGGAAGCCACTGCTCAAAGACCCGTAACAAGGCATTTCTGGGCCCTGGGCCCTGCAGAGGTGGAAAGAGGCCTAGCACTGGGGAGAGGGACAGGTGGCAGGGTCTAGGACCAGAGTCTGGGCCTGAACTTGCACACATGCACACATGCACACACGCACATACACACCACCAGGCACTCACTCCGGTGGACCTGACTGGACCCCTTCCTCCAAGCCCAGGGTACTCAGGGTACCCTCAACAAACCTTAGTGAATGTCACAACCTGAAAATGGTGTGGGGCTCACCACTCCCTAGGGGCAAAGAGGAAACCGAGGCCTAGTGACACTCATGAGCTTGCCTCGGATCAGCTCGCACACCGTGGGGAAGGCGGAGAGGAAAATAAATGTCCATCCGTCCCGCAGCCCGCAGGTCCCTGGGGAGCCTGGCCAGTGTCCTCTCCTCTCCACACCCCGCCCTGCCATGGCCCCAGCGGACACCTGATGCTCCCCCAAAGGTGCCCTCATGGCCCAGTCCCCTCTGCTGGCCCCCAGGCCTGGCGCTGAGGCCCCAGATCCAATTACGCACCCCCCTCCCTTGGACACAACTCCCCACATTGTTGCTGAAGAAAGTTATCTGGGCCCTGGAAGCCGCCTCCTGGCTGAATCACTCAGCCAGGTTGGGCCCTGGAGCCCAGGGAATAGCCAGGCCCTGGGGAAAGTCAGGAGCCGATTCTAGGCTCTCTCAGGGGTGTGGCATGCAGGCCACAGGTTGGGAGCAGGGGTTGCGGGATCCGGGGCTCAGGGCTGGGAGAGTGGGGGGCCCTGGCTACTCCTGTTTCCCATGCCTCCTTGAGCACTGCCCACCCGAACTGGGCCAGGAGAGGCAGGGAGGGACAAGCGCCCTGCAGACAGGTCTCTGTCCCACCCTGACTCAGCAGGCCACCCTGACAGGAAGCTGGAGGGCCTGGGAGGTCTTCAGTGCCAGAAAAATGACTGAGCAGTCTCAGAGGACCCCAAGCAACAGCAGGCCGGACTTTTCTCCAGGGCTGAAGCGGCGCCCAGGTGAAGCGCAGCTCCTCTGGAGGAAGGCAGGGGTGCGGGGAGCGAGGCCCATAACCCCAAGAAACCCACAGGCCAGAGCTGACCAGTGCAGAAGTGGACACTGGAGAAGGCTGCAGCCACCTCGCTCCTGCCCCTGGGTCCACTGGGGCGGGGGTCGGTCAAGGTCTATTTTGGGACCAGGAGTTCCCCTCCCTGCGTGTCACCTCGCCTCGCAGTAGCCCCTGACAGCGGACACCCTTGCTCCGTGTTGAGACTGACCCAAGGGCTCTCTGCTCGCTGGAAAGTTTGTGCGCGGATCGGGGTGGGGGTCGGGGGGCTTCGCCCACCTGGGACCCCCTCCAGCCGGTGGCACTCTGACCGCCTCCCCTCCCGACTGTGGCCCGTGCGTCCCGGCGGCGGCTACCTGGGTCCCCGTCTCCGTCCATCGCTGCGGAGCGCGGTCGCGGGAGGCGGCGGAGGAGGAGTCGGGGCGCCGCAGGCTGCGAGTGGGAGCGCTGCCCGCGTCTGGGGCGGCCCGGGCGGCCTCGCCTCTTAAAGGCCCCGCGCCGCCCCGCCCCGCCCGAGGTGCCGGGCTGCGCCTGCGAAGGTCAGGAGTCGGGTTTTGGTTACTTGCAGATCCGATGAAGGGGGGCTCCCAGCTCCCCGGGAGTGGGGGATGGGGGCGTGCACGGAGGAGGCGGCGCGGGGCCGGGGCGATCGGGGGGTATTTCCTAGGCGAGGTGCGGGGCGCAGCCCCCGGCGGGCTGGGGCGGGAGGCGCCTTCGGCCTCCCCAGGTGATTTCCTAGGCGCAGCGCTGGGCCAGGAGCGGGCGGGACCTGGCGGGCCAGGGTGGGGCCACGGCCTCGGGGGCAATCGCGGGCTCGGGCTGCCGAGCCCCGGGGACCGAGCGGGGTCGGGCGGCGCTGGCCGAGCGCAGGTGACCGCGGGGCGCGCGGGGAGGGGCGGGCGCGCTCGCTGTCCCCGTGCGCCGCAGTGCGCCCAGCGCCGACCAGGCCCAGGCTTCTTCCAGCGGCGGGCCCCGGGCTGCGGTCGCCAACGGGGCGCGGGGCCCTGCCTTGGGGAGCCTTTAGAGCCACAGTGTGGGAGTGGGAGGCCGCAGGCGCGCTGGGGGCCCGGGATGGAGTCGGGGTGCGATGGGGGTAGGAAGGGGGTCCCCGTCTGTCGCCCGCCTCTCTCCAGGCCCTGCTAGGCCCTCGCTGTCTGTGATCAGGAGAGAGCTGCTGAGCCCTTTGGGGTTCTGTCCCCTTGTGTCGCTGGCCCGTCACCACAGTGGAGGCTGGGAGAGCTGAATACGGAGCACGGCCAGGCTGCCTTTATTTCCTCCTCTCAAAACCCAGGCTACTGAAAAGGGTGCGCTGGGATCCGAGAGGACAGGGCTCCTCAACCCTGCTCTGTCCCTGTGCGCGACCTTGGACAGCTGCTCCGACCTCTCCCGGCCTCCTTGGCCTCCTTGAGGCTAGGAAGGGCCTGGAATTCCCCTGTGTGGCACCCGATGTGGGCCATTGCCCCAGTGACCCTGGAGGGAAGCCCTATGCCTCGTCCCTGGTAGAGAGGACAGACCTGAAGCCCAGAGAGGCATGGCCGCACCGCTCAGAGGGGACCCTGCACCCCCACCCAGAGCTGCAAATACCAGGTTCTGGGGGGGCAGGCCAGAGGAGCAGTGTGTGTCCCCATAACCACAGGAGGTGACCCGAAGCCACCGTCATGGCCGTGGGGAACATCAACGAGCTGCCCGAGAGCATCCTGCTGGAGCTCTTCACCCACGTGCCCGCCCGCCACCTGCTGCTGCACTGCCGCCCCGTCTGCAGCCTCTGGCGGGACCTCATCGACCTCGTGACCCTCTGGAAGCACAAGTGCCTTCGAGAGGGCTTTGTCACCCAGGACTGGGACCAGCCCGTGGCCGACTGGAAGGTCTTCTACTTCCTGTGCAGCCTCCGCAGGAACCTCCTGCACAACCCCTGTGCTGAAGGTGGGCCGAGGCAGGGTCTGGTGAACCCCAGCACAAATACCAGCTCTTGTTTACTGAGCACTTAATACAGGCCATGTCCTTTGGCTGGTTTAATGCCCTCCAGCCTCTTGCAACAACAACCCTTTCAGGTGTAGACTGCCAGTATACCCAGACTCCGGATGGGCAGACTGAGGCCAAGGGTAGTATTTCTTATTCCACTTCTCTGATTACTTCTTCGATGACCTTTCCTAGGAAAGGGATTGTTAGCTACCTGGAAACATTTGTGCACAGGAGACCAGTCACAGCCATAGTTCATTGGCCTTGTTCCCAGACTCCTGGGCTGAGTCTACCATGACTCTCTCAGAAGACAGGTAGGGATGGGGCGTGGCTGTGCTTATGGAAGAAGGATCGATCTTTCCAGAGAGAAGCATCAACAGGCAAAATAAGGCCCATGTGTCACCCGGAACCCCAGCTTCCCCTGGGGACACATCAGCTGGCCTGGGACAGAACAGCTGACACCCACCAGTTTAAAGGACAGGCTTGTTGGTTCATGCTGTCAGAGGCTTAGTCCATGGTCAGTGGACTCCGAGGCAGGAGCGTCATGGTGGAGGGTGTGACAGAGGGAAGCTGCTCACTTGATGGTGACCGGGAAGCACAGCATAGGGGAAGAGAACCACAAAGAAGTAAGGGACAGAGAGAGACCTCAGGGTCACGTCACCAAGACCCACCTAGACGGGGCACCCCCAGAAGTGTGCTTCCTCACCCCCAGGTGGCCCTGGAGTAAACCAAGTTGACATCAAGATCAACCATCCTACTCACTATGTTGTCACTTGTCAGGGGGACTCGAGTGGAATCTGGACATTGCCTTCGGTGGTGTGGTCAGATCAGGAGCCAAATGATGAAAGGGCCCTTCGGACTGTCAGGTCCTGCCTCCTCTGAGACCTTGACAGCTGGACACTTGGCCAGCGTTTAGCAAACTATAGGCCACAAGTAAAGCTGGGCAAGGAGTTGGGGATATCTTCTTGTTTTGTTCTCTCTCTCTCTCTCTCTCTCTCTCTCTCTCTCTCTCTCTCTCTCCTCTGTCTGCATGTGTTGTTTTGTTTTTGTGTATCTGTTTGAGGCAGGGTCTCCATATGCGGTTCAGGCTGGCCTTTGACCTCACTTTGTGGTCCAGGCTGGCCTCAAACTCACAGCAATCCTCCTGCCTCAGCCTCCAGCGTAGCTGGCACTACAGGCATGGGCCACCACACCTGGCTTTTATACCCTTTAAAGGCAACTATACTTGCTGGGCATGATGGTCTGAGCCTGTAGTCCCAGGAAGACTGAGTGGGACAGATTGAAAGCTTGGCATCTTAGGAACTTAATGAGACCCTGTCTCAAAAAGGGGAGGGGGGCTGGTGGCATAGCTCAGTGTGAAGGTTCAATCCTTAGGACCCACACATACACAAAGGGAGAAAAGGAAACCAGAAACAATGCGGTGGGGACAAGGGACAGTGGGTGGCCCCCAAAAAGTAAAATTCCGGTCGCCCTTCACGTAAAGTTTCCCAGCTGGCTCTTAAGTACAGTTCTAGGGAGACCGAGGCTCAGAGAGGGAGGCACCTTGTCACAGCTCACACAGCCAAGGTCTGGCAGAGCTGGTGTAGAACTTGGATCTGTCTGGCCCATGACAGCACTTTCCCTGTCACAGAAGGGGTCTGTTTGCTCACATCATCTTTTGTCCAAAATTCTCAGTGGAATCACTCGCCTGTGCCTGGCACCCAGAAGGCACCAAACGTGAGGAGGACACTGCTGGGCTGGTGTGACCCCAACTCTGGACAGAGTCAGCTGCAGAGTTCAGGGAGGGAGGGGCAGGTGGGGGGGGTGAGCACCAGGGGCTCCCACCACCCACCAAGCACCAAGCACCTGCTCTCCCTCCAGAGGGGTTTGAGTTCTGGAGCCTGGATGTGAACGGCGGGGATGAGTGGAAAGTGGAGGACCTGTCCCAGGAGCAGAGGAAAGAGTTTCCCAACGACCAGGTCAAAAAATACTTCGTGACTTCGTATTAGTAAGATCGGGCTCTCCGGGCAGGGGGGAAACCCAGGTTCATGCCCACCTTGGGTCCGAGGCCCTGAGTCTTGGGGGTGACCCCAGCCCCTCTCCACCTGCTCCCAGCACCTGCCTCAAGTCCCAAGTGGTGGACCTCAAGGCCGAAGGGTACTGGGAGGAGCTCATGGACACTACAAGGCCGGACATTGAGGTCAAGGACTGGTGAGTGCCAGGGCGAAGGTCTGGAGGGAGGCTGCCTGCCTCTCGGGCCCCCACCCACTCTGCCCCATCCCTCAGGCCCTGACCGGGTCCCCCAACCCTGCAGGTTTGCAGCCAGGCCAGACTGCGGGTCAAAGTACCAGCTGTGCGTCCAGCTGCTGTCGTCTGCACACGCACCTCTGGGGACCTTCCAGCCAGACCCGGCGACGATCCAGCAGAAGAGTGATGCCAGGTGGAGAGAGGTGCGGGGCCTCGTGGGGCAGGGGCGGCATCTCCCGGGAAGACAGCTGTCAGGGGGCCTGGGGTCCGGTCCAAGCTCTGCCCCTCTCCCAGGGGCTTCCGCTCCCCTGAGTGTCACCTGCTTCATCCATGCAGCGCGAGTAACGATGCTCCCCTCGAAGCACACGATGCCAGAGCCAAAACCCCTTCAGGAAGTGGGGGCTGAGGTGTGGCTCGGTGGTTGAGCACCCACCTAGAACCGCCTGGGGGGCCCTGGGTTCTGTCCCAGCACCACACACGCACGCAGGTGGATTTTTATTGATTACTAATATTGATTACTACCACAGAGGGCGGCCACCCTCCAATAGCTTCACTTACTGCTTTTTGACTTTGCAATGGACTTTTGGGTAAGATCCCACCTTATGTCTAGGAGCGTCTGGATGCGCCAGGGATTCACTTAGGATTCTGAGAAAGTCAGATTTGTCTATCAGGGCGTTGAACGCACTGCTATGTTCAACATACACCAGGTTGACCTGCATTCCATTCAGTTGTGATTGGACCAACATCTGCGTTAACCAAACTGGGGTCACCAATATCGTCTTTTAGGGCTACAGACACAAGGGCCAGGGATACAGCCCAGCAGCACAGCACCTGCCTGGCAAATGCAACGTCCCGAGTTCAATTCCCAGCGTCAATAAATAAATAAAATAAAGTTTAAAAATGTTTAAAGGCTAGACATGCCAGGAATTTAGCTCAGCAGCATAAGCACCTGCCTAGCAAGCACAAGACTGTGAGTTCGATCCCTGGTACCAAAAAAAGGTAGATACACACATCTTAGGATTTGCAGGCTGTCTTATCTCGGCCTTCGCCTGTGCTGTGAAAGTGCATGTAGCTGTGGTACAGTGAAACTTTATAAAAATAGACAGTGGAAAGCCGGGGGATTTAGCTCAGCGGTGTAAGCGCCTGCCTGGCAAGTGTGAGGTCCAGAGTTCAATCCCTGGTATGAAAAGAAATAGGCAGTGGGCCTGTTAGGTAGTTTGCCAAGCTCTGCCCTGGACCAGCACTGTCCTATAGAGCTTTGTGGGGTGACAAAAATGGCCTGCATCTGCCATGTCCAGCCAGTAGCCGGTACAGAGCACAGAGCCCTTAGTAAGAACCAGGTCCTAGTGGGCCAGGCAGGGTTTTTGCTCTTTAGGACAGATGTGGAAACTGAGGCACATAGAGGGTGGGTGCTCGGGTCCTTAGAACGCAGCAGCTGCCCTGCTCCCGGGCCCCTCTCAGGCAGTGCCACCCTCATGATCAGCCCCCTTGACCTCTCCCTGTCCTCTTGCCTACCCCCAGGTCTCCCACACGTTCTCCAACTACCCACCTGGCGTCCGCTACATCTGGTTCCAGCATGGCGGCGTGGACACCCACTACTGGGCCGGCTGGTACGGCCCGAGGGTCACCAACAGCAGCATCACCATCGGGCCCGCGCTGCCCTGACATCCCACCCCCATCCCCGGCTACAGAACCCTAGTGGGTAAACTGCTCTCAGAGAAGGGTGGGGCCAGGGACGGGAAAAGGGTGTGCAAGCCAGGTGTGCCCAGACTTTGCCCCTAACTGCCACTTCCTCGACAGCCACACAGCAGGGCAGTGCTCCTCTGATGCCAACCTGAGGGATTATGTGGCAGGCCTTGGGGGGCCTCTAGAGATGGAGCATCCAGGTTAAGAGAGTGCAGGGGCTCCCCCAGGCTCTGGGGGGGGGCCTCCAAATTTAGACAGCAGCCCATCACAGACCAGACCTGTGCCTCTGCTTGCACATGCCCAGAGATCTTCACCCTGAGTTCTCTGGGGCCCTTAGAGCAGGCTCAGGCAAGACGGTGCGGCTGCCTCTGACAGTGTCCATGCTGGGCTGCAACCAGGACAGATGTGGGAGGGAGAAGGAGAGGCCTCGGGTGTCCCCCACCCCGATCCGCTGTGCTATTCCTAAGTGTCCGCTGCACTCCTGTCTGCCTGGAAGAGGAGGCCGTGGTGCAGAGCCTCAGGCCTGGTCTGTGATGGACCGGGTGGATTCAGAGTGGGTGTGTCCAGAGGGATACAGGTGGTTCCGAAGCCAGATGGGCATCAGGCGGGGCAGTGTTCTCTGGAGGGCATGGGAGCCCTGCACAGGGTGTTCCTGGGAATCTGGGCTGAGGATCAGGCCCCAGTTCTGAGGGCAGGGATGTGGGAGCCCAAAGTGAGGGGGGTGGAGGATTTTCTGGGGCCGCCTGTCCAGCTCTGTGCCCTGATCAGAAGCACCATTCCCAGGATTTCCCAGCCACCTACCTGGGTTCTGCCTCCCTCCCAGGGGAAGGACCAAACCCTACTGCATGCGGTCAAATAAAGGTGTTCTCAGCCCTGCTGCCCCGTGGACAGGCAGGGACAGGTCCAAAGCTCCAAGGTGTGGCATCTGTTGAGAGGGGGCTGAGGCTCAGGAGCCAGATCATCCCCCACTGAGCCTGGTCACAGTGAGGCTGCTCGCTCTCCCCACACCTCGGTAAAAGCCCATGGGTGGGCGGTGCCACCCGGGCTCAATCTCCTGTGGTCATTATCTGCCATGAGCTCTACTGACCTTGGACGCAGCTGAAGTCATAGGAATGGGTCCTTGCATACAGTAGGTGCTCAATAAGTGCTCTCGCGTCAAGCAGTGGATCAAGGCCCAGTCAGGGAAAAAGCCAGTCTTCCCATGAAGAAGACGCAGCCCTGAATCCCTTAATGCGGCAGGGCAGAGCCTGGACGACCCTCACTGATTGCGGGACGTGACTCTATAACCCTTGCACAGTGAAGGCCTTCATGAACTGAGGCCCGACCAAACCGGGCAGAGAGGGTTTTCCCGGCTCTTGGGCCGCCCGGCTCTCGGGAGGGGTCCGTGGGTGGTCCCAGCGCAGGGACCGCCCAGCGCCAGCTCCGCGTGGGAGGACGGAGGGGATCCGCGGCGGGCGAGGCAGGCCCGGGCTGCAGGAGGACGAGGAGGAGGAGGGAGAGGTCGGCGCTGCGGCCGCGGGGGGGCGCTGTGGCCCGCGGCGCGTGACGCGGAAGGACCGGCGGGCGGGGCGGGGCGAGCCGGGGCGGGGCGGGGCGAGAGGGCCGGAGCCGCCCCGCAGCGCAGCCGAGCCGAGCCGAGGCCGGAGCCCGGGCCCCTGCACGGACGCCGGCCCGGCGGTCCCAGCGCCCAGGTCTGACCCCGCGGGGCACCGGCGGGGCGGGCGGGCGGGCGGGGCAGGCGCGCCTCGCTGCGGAGCGTCCCCGGCGGTGAGGGCCTGGTCGGGAACCGGGGCAGGGGGAGCGGGCCTGTCACCCGGGGACAGGCTGGACCTCACAGCGGAGTCACTGGTGCTCGGCCGCTCCACCGCGGAGCCCGGTGACTTCATTTGATCTGCAGTGCTTTTAGAGGTTATGGGCATTTTTAAATGGACCGAGTTTTTTCCTGTCCTGTCCTGGAGATTGAACCCAGAGCCTTTGCATTGAGCTACATGCCCGCTCTTTTTATTTTTTCCAGATAGGGTCTGTGTAGGACCGGCTGGCCTCAAACTAGTGAGGATCTGATCTTCCTGCCTCAGCCTCCCTGGCTTCCAGGCATGCCCCACCCGGCCAGCCAGAGCTCACGTTTTTTAAAAGCTGCTTATTCGGAGACCTGGCCACAAGGGCTGCAGGGAAAAGGGGGCTCCAGCCGTCTCCCACAGGACACAGGTACCGTGCTCAGCCGCCCTGTCCTTTTTTCTCCGCTGAAAGCCAGTGTGTGCACCCAGCCCTGTTTCCTGGGGTTTCTCAGGAAACTGAACTGCTTTTTGGGCGGCATCTCAGTGGAAAAGCTGAGGAGACCACGGGCTTCCTGTTACTCTGTAGGAGGAGCACAGCCTGGCCTCTGGGTGTGAACAGATAAGGCCCTTCTGTGACAGCCCAGAGCCCCCCTCAGCCAAAACCAGAAGGCATCTGGGCATGTTCTGGTATGAGAGGTCAAACTCCTGACCTCACGCTTACTAGGCAAGTGCTTGAGCTGCTGATCCAAATCCCCAGCCAGGTTTATATTCTAATGGCAAATTCAAGGCATTAAAAGAACAGGCCGGCAAGCCCGGTTATGGTGGCTCATACCTGTAATCCCAGCACTCGGGAGGCTGAGGCAGGAGGATCATTGCGAGTTCAAGACCAGGCTAGGCTACAAAGTGAGCTCAAGGCCAGCCTGAACTGCACATCGAGACCCTGTCTCAAAAAGAAAAAAGAACAGGCTGGTCACTCAGACCCTCACAGAATCCACAGGCAACAGCAGAATCTTACAGGTTACCTACCGGACCAGCTTCTGGTGAAGCAATGTTGGCAGTCCATGGTGGTGCATTCCTGTAATTCCTAGCATTGTGAGAGGCTGAGGCAGGAGGGCTGCAAGTCTGAGCCCAGCCTGGAAATTTAATAAGAACTGGTGTCCAGATTTAAAAATGTAAAGAGTTAGGGATGTAGCTCAGGACAGCCCTGGGTTCAACCTCCGTACTGGGGGAAAAAAGGCAGTTTTTTTTTTTTTTCTTTTAATGGAAGTGGAGAGCTTCAAAAAATGTCTCTAGATTTTAAATTTTTTTCCTTTTTGCAGTGGGGCATCAACTCTCCGGCCTCAGCTCCTCACATGACACACACTCACTGTCCCTTAGGACTTTAATAATTGCACTCTTAAATATGCACGGCTCGGGAACACTCCTGCCTATCAGAAGGGTCCTCAGAGGCGCCCTCTATCACTTCATCTTCCCAACAGGTGACACAGGAATAGAGGCGTCTGTTCCAGGGGACCTGCTGGGCCCCCTCTCTGCCTGAGGCTCATCACCGTCGTCCCCCACACAGGCCTGTGCCCCCCACCCCACCATGGCCCTGGCCAGCATCAACGAGCTGCCCGAGAGCATCCTGCTGGAGCTCTTCACCCACGTGCCCGCCCGCCACCTGTTGCTGCACTGCCGCCCCGTCTGCAGCCTCTGGCGGGACCTCATCGACCTCGTGACCCTCTGGAAGCGCAAGTGCCTTCGAGAGGGCTTTGTCACCCGGGACTGGGACCAGCCCGTGGCCGACTGGAAGGTCTTCTACTTCCTGTGCAGCCTCCGCAGGAACCTCCTGCACAACCCCTGTGCTGAAGGTGGGCTGGGGTGGGTGGGGGGCTGCTTCTGTAGCTGTTCCTTCCTTTTCCTGGACCTCAGGGCCTTTGCACTTGCTATTCCCACACTGCCTGTTATACTCTCTGTTCCCTAACACCTTCCACGTGCCCTGCTTCTTCAGCACTCTGTGCTGGGCTCCTTCGGCTCCAGCTGCCATTAAGTGTCTTGTCTGTGCACTCAGAGCCCCTGCATCATGCGTTTCCTCTGCAGCCTCACTAGGATGCAAAGTTTGTCAGCTGTGTTGCATTTGCTAGGTGAGGCACCTTGGTCCCCAGGTGCATGGCTTGCCCAGAGACCCTGCCTGCCGTCTTTAAGGTCTGGCTGATGAAGCCTCAGGGCCTCTTGGAAGCCCCACAGGTGACACCAGACACAATCTCCCTGCCTGTCCTAGATCTGTTCTGAAGCTGCCCAGCCAGGCCACCTCCAGCACCAGCAGCCTGCATCTGGCCTGGTGTCAGGCTGCTCAGGCCACCATGCCCAGGCCTAAGCTCAGCCCCAACCCAGATCCCAGAATCCCCCAGAAGTGGGGGGAGCAAGAGGCAGTTTGGAACAGGTCTTTCTGCAGTGGTTCTGGACAGCCTTACAGGGGAGCACAGTGCCCTTCCTAAGTCCTGGGAGCTCAGTCTGAATGGGAGACCCCCCTGTGTCCCCACCTGATACCCTGGCCCCGGATACTGGGTATGAGAGTCATGTCCCAATAGTGGGCTTCTCCAACCCACTGACAAACCCGCAGGGCAGGCCTCTCTCCCGTCGCCTAGGGTCTTGTCCAGTGGTTGAAGTCCCACCAGCTCCCAGGGCAGCACTGTGCAGGCCCTTTCTGATGCAGTTGAGGAACTGAAGCGTGGGTACTGGCGCCCCACAGCCACACGGGTGTGAGGAAAGGGTGGGTTGAGAATTTGTGTCCTTTCCATACCACTCCAGGCGGCAGGCCGGCTGGGGACGGAGTGGGAGGGCAGCCCAGGCCAAAGCCAATCCTGGGGAGTATAGGGGAGCTCCGAGGCCCTTGAGCAAGTGGGGTGCTGACCTTGGCTGCACAGTGCCCTTGGCCAGGAACAAGCTGATGAACCCTTGGTGTCTGCAGCCCCAGCAAGCTGAGCACAGCCGGCCTCCCTCCCAGGCTGGGGCTTCGGATTTACATGGGCTGAGGTGTACTTGTCCCCATGTGCCTGCATGCAGTCCCCAGCCACATAAGAAACACAAAAACCAGGTGGTGCGGGAGCTCTCACTGTGGCTTCTGCTTTTTTTTTTTTTTTTTTTTTTCCATACTGGGAATCAAACTCAGGACCTCGTGCTTGCCAGGCAGGCGCTGTGCCCCTGAGCTCTATCCCCACCCCTGCTTTTCCTAGAGGACATGACAGGGTGGAAACTTGATGCCAATGGGGGGGACCGCTGGAAGGTGGAGAGCCTCCCTGGAGAACATGGTACAAACTTTCCTGACCCCGAAGTCAAGAAGTACTTTGTCACATCCTACGAGTAAGAGGGCCTGAGCCAAGCAGGCCTGTGTGGAGGGAGGGGGTGGAACACCTTTGTAGGCGAGGGTCTCTGGCAGCCGGAGGGTGGTGGTACCCAAAAGCACCCTGGAGAGCTCCCCAGCTTCCTAAGTGCCGGGAGTGGGTGGATAGATAGGTTTCAGGCAGCTGGAACCCCACTGGGCAGGGAAGGCCTAGGTGTGTCCTAGGCGTGGCCAGTCTGGGATTGAGTCACAGCTGGACTGGCATGGTGCCCTGGAGATGGGTCCTTTGCACCAGGACTAGACCCTGCCCAGCCACAAGAACCTGTACTCCCTGACCCGCACTGCCTGTGCTGGGGTACTCGGGGTGCCCTAGGGTCCCTTTGACCTCCCTAGACCATTGGGGGCTGATAGAGCCACAAAGGAGGGCCTTGCACAGCACCCCTGAAACACAGTCCTGCCTCCCATCCCCCAGCCTGTGCCTCAAGTCCCAGCTGGTGGACCTCAAGGCCAAGGGCTACTGGGAAGACCTGTTGGACAGGATTCGGCCCGACATCGTGGTGAAGGACTGGTGAGTGTCTTGCCCTCTCTTGCCACAACTGCTGGCTCTGAGAACCCACAGCAATCTCCCACCATGCTCAGCCTGTCTTCGGGCTGGGTGGACTCGGCCTGCTCTCTACAAGACACACAGTACCCATGAGGGCCCCAGCAGGATATGCTGCCCCAGTGTGCAGATGGGGAGACTGAGGCTGACCAGGACACTGCTAACAGGAACAGAGTGCCCCAGGCCTCTCTGGACTTCCAGAAACTCATGTGCCTACTTGCTTGTCTCTCCTGCCCCAGCCATGATGTTCTGTTGCTGTGCAGTCACACGGACTGACCCCAGGGCCCTGAGTGTGCCGAGCGCCCAGCTGCCAGAACCACCCCTTACTCAGCTTTCCTCAAGCTCCTATTCGGGGCACAGAGCCAGCTGAGAGGCTCTGGCTTGGCCCAGCCAGGCCCCAGGCAGCACTGGAGAAAAGAGGGGCGAGGCTGGAGGGGCAGAGGAGCAGGCTGATCGCAGAGGTTCCCTACCCGGAAATGTCCCCTCCCCTGCCATGCACAGGGACAGACAGGGCTGTGCTCTTCACGGTCACCTCGTCAGTAGAATTCCCTGCAAGATGCCCTTGTAGGTCAGCATGGATAAACGGTCTTCCCTGAGACATGGCAGGGCAGACGGGGGACTGAAGCCGGCTGGGCCTTGTCAGCAGAGGGAGACAGGTCAGGAAATGTAGCGCTCTGGTGTGTGGCCTTGGCGCCTGTGTCCGTCCCCAGGGCCAGCCAGGGGGCTCAACACACAGCTCTCATCACCTCCCCCAGGTTCGCAGCCAGAAGAGACTGTGGCTGCACCTACCAGATCCAAGTCCAGCTGGTCTCGGCCGACTACATCTGCCTGGCCTCCTTCCGGCCTCCGCCTGTGACTATGCACCAGTGGAACGATGCCTCGTGGACAGAGGTAAGGCAGCGTCTGCCCACCTGCTGCCAGCATCTCCCAGCCCGGCCAGCTCCTCCCTCCTGTCTCAGTGGCCACCTCTCCACCTCTCCCCAGGTCTCTCACACCTTCTCGGACTACCCGCCAGGAGTCCGTCACATCCTCTTCCAACATGGGGGCCAGGACACCCAATACTGGGCAGGCTGGTACGGGCCCCGGGTCACCAACAGCAGCATCATTGTTAGCAACAAGATGACCAGGAAGCCAGCCCCATCCACTACTCTGTCCGACAAAGCAGGGGCGGAGGAAGCTGCCCCGTCACCTTCCCGCCTGTCTTCACCAACCTGATGATGGCCACCTGGCCACCATCCATCCGTCCTCTATCCAGGTCTGCCAGAGGTCCCACCAGGGAGAGCTGGGCCAGCACTGGGCGGAGCTCCCAACAGTGCTGGAAACTTAGGGTCACACTGGCTCCAGCATTTTATCGGAATAAAGGTTATCAGTGAAAGCAGCCTGAGGTTGGGTGTGTGGATGGTGACGGTGCCGCTCTGCTAGAGAAGCAGCCTGCCCAGGTTTCCCTGGCAGCACCTGCCCTTCCACTCGAGAGGGACATCTCAGCCAGCCCTTGGGGCACTTTATTGAATAAACAGTTCACAGTATCTGAGACAGACAGTGTTAGCCGGGAACACTGGCTAGTTAGATGGGAAACTGAGGTCCCAGCGTCCCTCACTGCCTTCCTGGGGACACCTCCCTCCTCCACGATACCAAGCAGACTTGAGCTGCCCGGGCAGAGGCGCGCGCCTGCAAGGAGCAGTGAGAGCACTTGGAGGCGGGGCCCTCAGCGCTGCCTGCAGCTGGGTCCCTAGAGTATGACAGTCGTGGCCTGATCGGTGGGTGCGGGCTCATCCTCAGCTGCTTTTATGAGCTCGCTCCTCCACGTAGAGCTGCATCTGATAGAAAGGAAGTGTGCCGTGAGGGGACCAGCCAGAGGGGGGGAAGGGAGGGATGGGAGCGCCTCCCACCAGACATCCCCAGCCCTGTCCTCCAAGCCTTGAATGTGGGGCCCCAGCTTTGGGCTCCTCCTCCTCCTAAATAAAGCTTCCTTGGTCCCCTGCAGCTCACCTTTAAAATGTCTGATGTCATGGTTTTTAGGGGTATCAGCCGGGGGTCATGCATGTGGACGTCCTGTTCATCTGCCAGGATCCAGGGGAAGTCCTAGGGAAGGGACCACAGTGAGGGGATGTTTGGCTCTCCCCCGCCCCCAGAGCTGGAGTCCTTGGAATCCCCAGGGAGCTGCCCGCAAGGCAGACTCAGGCTCCTCCACCACGGTGGCCAGGGACCTGAGTGAGGCAAGAGCCTCCGACACCAATCCAGAAACCAGCAGGCAAGGACCCCAACCTTGAGAACCCAACCTAGGAAGAGCCGGGATGACCTCTGGGTAGCCACAGGGAATAGTGACCAGGTGTGTGTCCATTGTGGTTGACCCCCGGAAGCTGGTGGGTGCCAGACACTACCATAAGGAACACACACAAGCACTGGCCACGGGCAGCGCCCTGCCCTACTGGAACGGTGGCTCCCAACTCTTGCCCTGTCTACCCCCAGAGCAATCTCATCTCACCTTGATGACCTGGATCTTCTCCATGTTTCGAGTGGCAGCTTCTCTTGTGTGCACCAGGACGGTGAAGGTGCAGCCTGGAGAGGCAGGAGTGGAGTCAGTGAAGGCCAGGCTGCCCAAGCCTGCCCTGGGCTGGCCTGCTCCCAACCCTCACTGCCTTGGCAGCCCTGCAGTGCAGCATTTTTCTAGCCCATGCTGAGAAAGGACACAGGCAGCGGGAGCTTTAAGTCAGAGGGACTCTGGTAGGCGTCCTAGAATAGGTGGTTCTGAGGAGCAGCGAGGGAGAAGAGCTTGGCACAGCCCAAGGTAACAGTGCAAGGAAGGCGGGCACACCTGGGGGATTGTGGTCCAGGACAGCGTCGCAAACACTGATCTTCAGGATGAAGGCTCGGAGCAGCTGCTCCACATGGGACAGCAAAGAGTCAGAGCTGGGGACAAGGAAGTAGGTCTTAATCTTGCAGGTGCCCTTGGCCACCCACGGGCATCCCCACCTTGCCAAAGCTGAGCTGGCCCTAGGACCCGCAGTGCCTCTGAAGGTGCCAACCGGCCCAGTCCAGATGCACAAGGCAGGCAGGCACAGCAGGCCTAGGAGGTTCTGTGTGCAGCTAGGGGACAGAAGCAGGACGCAGCTCAAGCCTCCTCACACACCAGGAGGCCACACAGCCCGGGGAATGGGCTGGTGCCAGGTTCCCGTGCCCTAGCCTCACAGGAATTGCACAGCTGGCCAGCATGCATGTACCAAGGTCAACTTCTAGGGCATCATGGACTGCACACCTTTGCCCTGCTCTTTACCACTGGGGTGATGCTGGGTGGCATGTCATTCTCTGGACCATGGTTTTTCCTCCATACAGCGTGAGGCTGGGCTAGTATTCATCAATGCCAAGACACTGTGCTGTGTCCAGGAAGTTATCTGTGTCACCTGTGAGCCTCTACAGAAGCGTGGCCAGCCAGGGCTCAGCCACTAATGGCACAGGTCTCCCAGTCCTTCATTAGGTGTCAGGACCTGCCTTAGTGTTAGGGGTTCTCTAGCAGCAGGGTCGCTGCTGGAGCGCACACCCCAGCCAGCGGATGGCACAGGCCAGCTCACCTGATAGACAGCAGGGGAGGCTGAGTGATCTCGAAGACGAACTTCTCCACCGGCCGATGCTCTTTATCCAAAATCACCACCACTACTTTTTCCACATCATTCTGCAAGGACAGGAGGCCCCTTCCAGACAGAGCCCTACAATCCCACTTCTGGCCCTCAGCTGCTTAAGACTCAGAGAGCAGGTAGGAGAAGCTGGAGTCAGCACCCTTGGGCAGAGCAGTTCAGGTTGGGAGGAGAGGTCCCCATCCAGGTCCCAAGAGATCTCAAAGAGCAGGTCAGGGCAGCAAGAGAAACCCTGATGGCACACTCAGAGCAGAACTCCAGGGAGGGGGTGAGCATGAGAAAATTCTGGAACCCTAGGCAGCCCTCGCTAAGAGTCACCCCACTAACCTAGAAGCTCCCCCAAATATGGCCCACCTGATGGGTAGCTGTGGTCTCCAGAGTGTGGGTTTCTCAGTATTAGAGCTAGGGAACCCCACGCAGGTCCAGCATCCCAGAGTGAACCCATAGATGTAGTGGAACAGATTGTGGGTGACATGGCTGGAAGACACTGGTGGCCCCTCACCTTCTCCAGGAGTGGCTTGACGCAGTGCAGTGTGTCCTGGATGTACTGATTCAGCTCTGGATGGCAGGACATCTGTCACAACCACACGGGGGCATCGATGTCAGAAGCACAGACACAAAAACATCAACACTCCTCCACAGCAGCTCTACCTAGGGCTTCCTGCCTGGGGACCCCATTTCCCATTAGGGAGCTAAGAACTGTAACTATTCCCATGCTGCAGAGAAGTCCAAAGTCCAGATTTCAACTTCGACATTAGCATTTAACATAGTGTTAAGGGGCTTCTGCTGTAAGGCCCGTAGGTTCCCTAAAATCTTAAAAGTCCCACAGGAGTACAAAGTTGTGTGTATGGGATGCATGCATGTGGGCTATTTTTTGAGAAAGGATCTCAGAAATTTAATCAAAGTTCAAAAATTAAGCACCTATAGAACTGTGTGGTTTCCAGCAAATTATTTAACCTTTCTGAGCTTCAATTACTTTACCTGTGAAGATCTCATAAAGAGAAAGGATTAAATGAGATAAGCAAATAGTACAGGATAGATGTTTAATAGCTATCAGTCCGTTTTTCCTTTTCCCAGAGTAGCCTTTAAGCCTCTTGGACCTTCTAGGATTCATTTACTCCAGTGTTTACTGAGCGCCTTCTCCAGGCCCGGCACTTCCAAGGGCAGGGAAATAGCTTCCCGTTCACTGTTTTGTCTGCCTCTTAATTGTAAGCCCCGCCTCCATCGGATAAGGGTTCAGAAAAAGCACTGGAAGTGTGTGGGAATCTTCTCCTCTGCAACTAATTTCCAGGCTGCAGGAGCTCTTAAAGTACAGCTCGACCCGGGGCAACTTGAGATGTGGGTCTCTAACTACGGATCAGGGGATTCCCTTCTATGGGAAGGTGTGAGACGCTGCCCAGCCCTCTGGTGGCTGCTGGGAAGTGAGCGGCCCTGAAAGTAAAAAACAAATTTTAAACATCCGCCTTTTATCCATGCTGATTGTGAGGCGACCACTGGCCCTGGCCTGACCTCTTGGAACCCACACAGCACTGGGGCTCAAAACTAGGCAGGTGGGGCTCACCTGCACCGGCACGTTGTACTTCTTCCGCTTCTGGAAGATGCCCACCGGGTAGACCTCGCGCACGTACAGGATCAGGTGCACCGCCACCTCCAGGAACTCGCAGAGCACGTCGGCCACCACTGCGAAGGGCAGGCCGGGTGCTCGGGGAAGCCCGCGCGGCCCAACCCACCCAACACACGCACACCCCTGCCCGCAGGTGCAGCCGCTCTACCTTGGCCAAAGTTGAGGTCCTGTCGCGTAAGCGTGGTCATCCTTCCTGCCGCGACCTGCAGTCGGGGGTCAGTGTGATTCGCCTCGGCTGCGGAGGCCGGAGCAGGGCGACCTCTCTGCCCCGATCAGGGCAGCTGCAGAGGACCCTCCCGCGTCCGTGTCACGGCCTAGGGGGCACCGCTGCGGCCCCCGCCTCGTCCCACCGGGGCTGGTGCAGGAAAAACCCCGGCTGTGCGCGCCGGCCGCGGAGGCGGAGGCAACCACCTGGCGGCGCAGGCCGGGAGCGCCGAGCCGGACAGGCGGGAAGCGAAGCCCGGTGGGGGAAGCCCCGCCCCCGACCAGCCGGACCCCTCGGCTGAAGCCCCGCCCCTCTCCCCTCCCCCAGGACGGGCTCCGGCCTACGTCCCCGTCTGGGTCCGATGCCAAGCCCCAGCGCCGGGAGCCTCCGAACCGACCGCTCCCGCCTCCCGCTCAACCCGCGCGCTATCTCGGCGCCGCTCGGTGACGTCCGCTGCGCCGCGCGGGTCCTAGCGCCGCCATCGCCACGCCCACTCCTGGAGCCACCCAACCAGGGCCTCGATGGGCGGGGACTAATGCGGGAGGGCGAGGACCTAGCTCTGCGGCGGGGCGGGGCAGGGCCGGGGGCGGGGCGGGGCAGGGCTGGGCCTGTGGGGTGGGGTCCCGCGTGGCCAGTTTCAGTCCCAGAGCCCCTAAATGGGCTGAGACCTCCCTTCGACTTTTTAGGTGGGTGCAACAGGACAAATAGTTGTCCACACCACATTACTGTGCCTTTTCCCTGCACTGCTTGTCTCTCGCTGTAGCAGGCCTTAAGGGGGTGGTACCCACGGCTGGGGATGGGCGGCGACACCTGCTGACTTCCTCAGCCCCTCCCTCACCTGCTAAACCGAAAGGGAACCCGATAGCTTGTGGGGCGTGGGGAGGAGAGGTACCCTCGGGTTACCCCTACCCCCACTCCACCCCCATCCGGAACCGAGTGTGGTCTGGCCACACCGCCCAAGACAGTAAAATTTCCCTGCTTCAGATTATCTGACTGTGGTGCGCACACCTGTCATCTCAGCACTCGGCGAGGCTGAGACAAGAGAATCATCAGGCATTCAAGGCCAGCCTAACCTATTTAATGAAACATATCTCAGGAAACCAACCAAAACAAAACCTTTTCCTTTTTGTAGTGCTAGGCACAGGGCTGTGTCCGTGGGTTATCTTGTTAAATCCTCAGGATAACTCCACGCAAAAGTGGCTACGATTGTCCCTTCCCCTATTTTGTCCCTTTTTGTGTGTGTGCGTTTTTCTTTCTTTTTTTTTTTTTCTCGGTACCGGGGATGGCTCACGACCATACACTTGCAAGGCAGGCGCTTATGCCACTGAGCTAAATCCCCAGCCCCAATTGTCCCCTTTTTGAAGAAGACCCAAATGAAGAGACCTGGCCACTCTCCCCAAAGACACCTACCCAAGTCAGTACAAGAACTGGAAGGGATAATGACAAGAGCCTCCCAGATAATAATATTAATATTACAATAATTACTACCCTGATGGTCAAACTGATTTCGTTCATTTTTTTCATTAGCCTTAGGAAATAAATTCCATTTTACAGCCTTGTTTTGTTGTTGGTTTGTGTTTTTTGTTTTTTTTTTGTTTGTTTGTTTGTTTTGTTTTTTTGAGACAGGGTCTCACTATGCGACCTCTCTGGCTGGCCTCCAGCTCACTTTGTACCCCACGCTGGTCTCAAACTTGCAGTGATCCTCCTGCCCTGCTTTACAGATGGTAAAACGGCGCCCAGAGATGTTCCCACTTTCACTAAGGTCACACAGGAGGATACAAGCCCAGCTCCTAGCCCTATTGAGACCCTGGGGTGTCAGTTTATTTGTAGCCCCCATTTTTGACAGATGGGAGATACAAGATCCAGGAGTGGGCGTAAAGTCCTGGCAGCAGGTCAGGACCAGAAGGCTTTGTCTGTCAGCTCCAGGGACTTAAGAGCTCGTTAAGAGTCCTGTTGGGCTGTTTGTACACAGATGCAGCCAGGAATGTGGACCGTTTGCAGCTCATTATTGGGCCTGTAGCCTGCCTCCCCCCACATGCCTGCAAAACTCCATCCACGGACTTTTAATGGGAAGGGGATAAGTAACCTGGCCCACAAAGCCAGGAATGTCCTGGACTGTCGCTCAAAATGCAGGAAATCTGCATGGCCTCCCCAGGGAACCTATTAAACACCAGGCTGAAAAAAAAAAAAAAAAAAAAAAACACCAGGCTGGCCCTACCTGATCAGAGTGCACAGCCGGGCACTGGCCCTTTTAACAAGCTCCCTTGGGGCCTGGATGCCCAAGAAAGTATAGGAAACACCACAGCAATTTGCATTTTGCAACACTGCCATGCCAAGCCCGAAGGGATGCTGGTTTTGTCTCAGAAATGGACGTAATTGAAGGGTTGCTGGCAGCAAATTTGGGGCACAGCAGCCTTTCTCTGGAAATGGGGATCCTATCCAGATCATGCCACATAGGAGAGGCCTATTATCCTACAAGGCCAGCTAACAGCTCAGCAGCTTGTGGGCCTGGGCTTCTAGGGACTTCCTTCTTAATGCCTGGTTACCGGAAAAATGAAAGTCCCTTTCTGCCCTCTCTGGAGGCTGCTAAAGCAGTGGCAGTCTGGGATACGGGGGCGTGGGGGCAGCAAATCCTTGGGGAAGGGGAAGTTCAAAGACACAGGGCCCCACCAGCACAAGGTCAGGAAGGAGGCTTGCGCTCAGCTCTGTGACATCTGGGTTTTCGTATCTTAACCACATCAGCATGATGGATGGCTGTGGGGCCCGGATTTTATGATGGGGTTAATTTATTATATTGTTGAATTTCCATGTCCTGGGAGGCTGTTTTTCCAAGTTATTTGCATGTCTCCATCATCCTGACAATACATAGGGGCCTGGCTGGGAAGGGAAGGATGCGTTTGAAGGAGGAGGAAGGAGCTTATTTGCCAACTGGAGCAGGTCCCTGAGGCCTGCAAGGAGAATGAAGGGAAGGTCACTCCGGGAGACACCAAATGGGAAAGAGACGGCGGTGTGTGAGAGCACCAGCCCAGCTCAGACCTGGGGGGCTCTGGGGCGCACTGAGCAAAGCCACAGTGAGAGAACTGGGTATAGCAATGGGCGAAGGGGCCAGCCAGCCCCCTAAGACGCTTCCCAGCACCCTCCCTGCCTAAGGTTCCCAGGACACCAGGGACTGGGGATGGGACCCAGACAGACAAAGTGAGTCATGCAGCCTGATGACGATCCCATGAGACCTGGACGCTCTGGGGACCAGCCAGCTAGAATCCACTGAATAGGGACCCAGTTTCCTTCATTCTTTGAGTTCAACACCTTAACCAGGGCCTGGCCAACTCAGGTGGTCAGACAGGTTGTGTTAGATGAGTGAATAAAAGCACGACAGAGGAAGAAGGTAATGCCAGCCTTGGCTAACTGTCACCTGCCCAACTCGAACTGCAGTTGGGCCTGCGCTGTAGGTGGCGTCTCCAGAAGCAAATCAAGGGCCAGGTGTGGTGGTGCGCACTTGTTCTCACAGCACTGTGGGAGGCTGAGGTCCAACCTGGTTAATTTATAAACTTAGCAAGACCCTAACTTAAAAGAGGGGGTGCGTAGAATCAGACGTGGTGGCACACACTTGTAATCCCACCACTCAGGAGGCTGAGGCAGGAGGATCCTTGCAAATTTGAGACCAGCCTGGGCTACAAAGTGAGTCCAAGGCCAGCCTGAACTATATAGCAAGACCCTGTCTCAAAAAAGTCCAAAAAAATGGTGGGAGATATAGCTCAGTAGCACAGCACCTGCCTGGCAAGCTCAAGGTCATGAGTTCAACTCTTGGTACCAGGAAAAAAAAAAAAACACCTGGCTCCCTTGCCTGACCTCCTGGCATAAGCCCTGCACAACTGCCCAGACCCTGGGGTCCACTGCTGACCTCGGCAGAGCCCTGGCCTTAGGGCATCAACACTGGGCGGCTCTCACCATCTCAGCCAAAGCAAAGCCCGAATGGACCGTTCCCCTCATGTGGTCCCACAGGCCTCCCTGTGTGGCGACTCCTCAGCGGCCAGAGACCCTGCAGGATGCTAAGCATCTCACACAATTTCAGGAGCGCTCAGGTCCTCTGCAGCCATTCTGGACCACAAGGACCTCTGGCCCAATCCAACTGCCCCTTGTGTTTTTTTTTCTTTGTTTTGTTTTGCTTTTGAGACAGGGTCTCTGTGCAGTTCAGAGTGGTCTTGATCTTACTATGTAGCCCAGGCTGGCCTTGAACACACAGCGATCCTCCTGCCTCAGCCTCCCGAGTGCTGGGCTTACAGGTGTGCTGGGATTGCAGACATGAGACACTATGCTCAAATTTTTGGTTTTACTTTTGTTTTCTTTGTTTTTTGGCATAGAGTCTCATTTTGTAGCCCAGGCTGACCTTGAACTAGCAAAGATCCTCCTGCCTCAGCCTCCTGAGTGCTGGGATAACAGGCACCACCACACTGAGCTTTCAATTGCCATTTTTAAAAATAGCTTCTTTTGGGAGCTGGGGATTTAGCTCAGTGGCATAAGCGCCTGCTTTGTAAGCAGTAAGCAGGCAGTCATGAGTTCCATCCCCGCTACCGATTAAAATGAAAAAAGACCAAAAAAAAGCTTCTTTTCTTTGCCAAATGTGGTTATACACACACACTTAAAATTCCAGCACTCAACACAGTGAGGCAGGGGGACTCTCCTAAGTTCCAGGGCAGCCTGAGATCCTGTCTCAAACAAACAAACTAACAAAGAGGACTGGGTGCATAACTCGCTGGCACAATGCCTGGCGGGCAAGCATGAGGTCATGAGTTCGATTCAAGGTACCCCTCCCGCCAAAAAAGGCAAAATCATTGTTTAAAAAGACCTTCTGCACTGAGAGAGAATTCACGAACCTCCAAGTTTATGCTTCTGCTGTGCACGCTGGTTTCTAGTAGTCTCCAAACCATGTACTACTCTTCCAAACAGCCGCACCACTCCAAGAGGAAAACCCCAAGTCAGCACCAGTCACTCCCATCACCCCTTCCCCTGGCCGCGGCAACCTGGAATTCTTTCTGTCTCTGGTCTTGCCTGTTCCTGAATGCATCGTATAAACATCATTGAAAACCGTGCCCTTTATTTCTGCTTATTTCATTTAGCATACTGTGTTTAATGGGGTTGTGGCACATTCTGTTCTTCATTCTTGAAGGCCACAAAACATCTTTTCTGGGGCTGTACCACAAGAGTTTAACTTCTCACCTGTTGGCCATGCAACTCTCCCATTTCACAGATGGGGACATCAAGGCCTAAAGTCACCATAACTGGATGGGACAGGAATCTGGCCTCTCCTAACATCCTACCATCTACCTTTCTCCACCCTATCACTCTGGAAGAACCCAGAACACAGAGTCCAAGCTTGTCAAAAGATCACCCAGCTGGGCAACAGCCCCAGCAGCTCCTGAGCCAGGGTCGCCAAAGTTTATCTCCCCAGTTTCTGTTTGTTTGTTTAGTTGACTGGAGTTTTGTTTTGTTTTGCTCAAACTTGCCATCCTCCTGCCTCAGCCTCCCAGAGTGCTGGGATAACAACATGTGCCACCAGGCCCACCCTTTTCTGGACTTTGATGTCAGGCCATGTCTTTGTCACTGAAAGGAAGACGCACACCCCCGTCCCTATTGCTCCCTGTTATGGTTTAGATCGAGGCTGCTGGCAAGGTCTCACCAGAGACTGTTCAGAGCCAGCAGCGAGTGAGTGGTTACCAGTGGGAGAGGCCGGGCTCGGGGTCAGAAGAGGTGGCTCCCTGGGGTCCTGGCCGCCTCGTCCCTTCACGGGCTGCTTCCTGGGATGAGCAGCTGTCCTCCTCCCTCCACCCAGGCACTTCCCCCCGCCAGCCACTTCTGGCCAATAATGGAGTGAATATATGAACCAAAACAAACCTCTCCTGCAAACTGCGGGCATGGGGCATTCAGTTCCAGCAAGGGAAAAATAATGGGGGCACCCCTCCCAGGCCTAGACCATGATCCCCTTTTCCCTGCCACAGTCCCAACTGGTACCCCTGATTTTTTTTTTAGTCTCAACTCCACCACTACTTGTTCTGCAGCTCAGAAATAAGAAGGAATCTCTTAAAACCTCAGTTGAATCTCTGCTCTGCCCACAGCCTCTCACTGCCTCCCAGTCCAAGACAAAAACCGGTGGGCCTTGCAGCCAAAGGAGCTCCGAGCTCCTCTGCCAGCCCCTCTTTGACTTTATCATACTCCCTTCCTGCCTCACTCATGCCGAGCACTCTCCTGCCTCAGGACCTTTGCATGGGCCCTTCCCTTTAACTGCATCATTCTCCCCACACTAAAACAGCCATTAAAACAGCAACAAATCCTGCCCTGTTAAAGAGTCTCTCCGTCCTGAGGGTCTCATGGAAAGCCGTATCTCTTCCCCTTGATGTTTTCTGTCCTGAGTGTGCTTTATTTTTCTGCATAGCATTAATTGCCTCCTGCCTTAAATTTGTTAACCTGTTATCTTGGGTCTCCCCTAAAATGTAAGCTCCACCGAGCAGGCATCCAGGGTTTTGGCTTGAGCAGCAATGCAAAAGGATTCAAGTTTTCCAGTGCACAAGCCGCTGTCTTTTCTCCAAGCCATGCTGGTGCCCACCGCACTGATAATCCTACAGTGAGGACGGCAGCTAATTTCTCTGGAGCACTGCCTAGGGGGTACGGACTTAGGGGACATCATCGCGGGCCCAGGCCACTGCCTTTAACCCTGTGAGTCTAGGAGAGCAGGACGAGGAGCAGCTCTAGTCCAGCAACTTGCCCAAAGCCACGCAGGATGGACGGCACCAGAGAAGCCATTCAGGCCGCTCGCCTGACTGCAGGGCAGCGCGCTCCTAAAGCTCTGCGCCCTGTGTCACAGGGAAAAATAAAATACCACTGGAGATGCACGCCCCCCGGGGAGCTCTGGGCGCCAGGCTTGACCGCGGCCTCCCACGTGCCGGTGCCCCGCCCCGCTGGGCTTTGATCTTGGCGGTGCCGATGCCCCCCCCCACCCGCTAGTGAGTTATGGGGGCCGCGGGACCCATAACCCTGCATTCCCGGACTCCCGGGGTCGCCAGGACGCGGCGCCCCGCGAGGTGATGGATGAGCCTGCCCCAAAGCGCTGGCTTTGTCGCGATTGGGCTGAGGCGCTCCAGGCCGGCTTTGGACGGGGCGTGGCAACAAGCAGCCGCGTGTGCGTGCGAGTGTGTGTGTGTGTGTGTGTGTGTGTGTGTGTGTGTGTGTAATCTTTCCTCCCAGTGGGAGAGGGGAGGGGCTGCCGCAGGTGCGCCGTCGGAGGCCAGGTGAGGCGGTGGCGCTTTGGAGACCCCAGTGCACCCCCATATCCGAGGGCGACTTCTCGGAGGACCACCCCCACTCGGCGCGCTTTGGGAAGCTACAAAGCCCTGGCCGCCGCTCCCCGCCCGGGACATTTCTTCCGTCCCATTTGACAGCCTAGGCGGAATAATCCTTTTGGGGACCGGCCGGCCCCTGCCGGGTCAGACGCGGCAGCAGCTGAGCGCGCAGCCTCGATCCATTGTCGGGGTCCGCCAGGGACCCCCCGCCGCGCCTTCTGTCGTGCGCTCCCCGCGGGGCAGCTCCAGATGCGCCACCGCTGCGCGCGCCCCTCCCGTCCCGCGCGCCCCGGGGCCCTACCGAGGCACCGCTTACGCACCGGGAAGAGCGGACCCGCCTCGCCGGGGCCCGCACGGCCGCTGGGCTGCGCCCGCCTTTGTCTGGCTCCTTTGTCTGCCCCGCGCCCTCGCGGCGGCGGCGGCTGGGCCTCTGGGGAACCGGCCCCGAGCGCAGAGCGCGGCTGGCGAGGGCGCGCTGGCCGGGAGCGCGCGGGGCCCGGCCCGGCCAGGGCAGCCCCCCGGCGGGGACAGTGCGCCCGCGGCCGGCGCCCCTCCCCGCCCCTCCCCTCGCCCGCCCCCGCGCCCGCCTCTTCCTCCCAGCCCCGCGCCGCCCGCGCGCATCCTCCCGCCGCCCGCGCGCCTCTCCGCGCCGTCCGGGCTCCGCCGCTCGGCCCGCGCCCTCGGACCCCGCCGGCCGCACAGGTAAGCTCGCCCCGGCCGCCCGCGCTCACCTGGCCGCCGGACAGAGGTGGCCACCCGGGCACCCGGGCGGGTGCTGGAGGTGAGGGCGCCGCTTTGCCGTCCGTCCTCAGACCCCTCCGTCCGTGCGTCCGACCTCCAGCCGCCTGCCGTCGCCGCTCCTGGCCGCGTGTCCCCTCGCCTTCGGGCTCCGTCCCCCTGGACGCCCACTTTCCATCCTCCGACCCCGGCCTCCGCGCCCTCGCAGCCCCCGCTCTCGGGCCCGCGCCCCCTCGCCACCAGCCTCCTCCCCTGGGGACCCGGTGTCTCTTTGTCTCTCAATCTCTGGGTGGTCTCAGACCGAGACCCCCGTCTGCCGCTGTTGGAACAAGGCTCCAGCCCCCCTGACCCCCGGGCCTCGCTGGCGGGAACGCACCCGGCCCTCTCCGAGGCCGCCAGGTATGTTTGGGGAGCACCGAGTGCGCCCCGCGTCCTCCCTCCCCGACGGCGCTGGGCTCTTTCCTCCGGGCTCGGTCCTCATCGCCGGCTTCCCCATCGGAGCACCGGAGACTGGAGCGAGAAGCCAGGTGTGAGACCAGAGGGCGCCCGGCTTCCCGCCAAGTCTCCCTCGCCGACCTCCGAGGGCTGCTCCCGGGCCTCCACTTCCCTCTCCTGGTCGCCCTTGCGCGCCGCCGTCTCCCCGCGGTCAAGCTCCAGCCTGGCCTCGTGCCGGCTGTGTGGACCCGGTCGGTAGCATCCCCCGAGGATCAGGCGCACTGGGCCTCTTGGACAAAGGAATGCATGTCTCCGAGCCTCAGTGTCCCCGTCCTAAAACAGGGACAATAGGACCAATCTATAGGGATGCGCGGGGAAATAGCAGAAAAGCCAGTCGGGTGCGCCTTGGTGACAGCGGAGGAGGAAGAGTCTGCATCCTTGGGTGGGGCAAGGATGCGGCTCCAGGACCACCGCCCCAAATTCTGAACCACCAACCTTGCCGCCTCCCTTCCTCACCGCCTCTCCCCTCCTCCTGCCGCCCTTCCGGGCAGCCACACTCCCAGGCCTTTCTCGGGTTCCTCTTTGCTCCTTGTAAAATCAACAGTTGAAGAACCGGGGGAGCAGGGTGCCCGCTTGCCCAATGAGGTCAGTGAGGCTCATCGGTGTCACTGGAGCTGGCTGTCCCTCCTGAGGTGCCCCAGTACTCACCCCCCCCGATTCTAAACCTTTCTGAGGGTGCTGGCTCACCAGCACTTCCGTGTCCCCCCCAACATTGTGTGTCTGCCCATCCTGGCCCTGCCTTACTCAGATGTCCTGACCCTCATGGGTGTCTTCAGGACAGGTGACACCCCACCCCAGGAGGCTGGCGGGGATGTGGGGTAAGTGGCCCAATTGAGAGCAGCTCAGGAAGAGGAGGAGGGAAGCCTCAGAGCTGGCAGGTGCCAGGCTGCCCCCGGCAGCTGAGTTTTTGTTTCAGCCACCGCCGGGGCTGGCAATGGAGCGTTTCTTTTTAGAGAGGCAGGCGTGCAGCTGGGGACCTCCCCCCGCTACACACATCCCACCCAGGCCTTTCCCCCTCATTCCCGGGCCACATGGCCTGCAGAAAGCCAGCCCTGCAGCACCTCTGAACCCCAGGAGCTTGGCCACACCTTCCATGCTGCCCTCCTCCCCGCCCCCTTTTCCCTGCCCAGCTGGGCTCCTCATGGCTCTCTGTGGCCGCTGCACTAACTAGAGACCCCAGCATCCTGCCTGCCCTGGAACCCCATCTGCATCCTAGGGCGGGTCATCTGCCCCTCCCTGCCCCAACTTCCTCTGAGCTTTTACTAGGGCTCCGGCCCTCTGTGTGAGGCCTCTCCTAGTCTCTGATGCATCTAAGCTTCCCTTTCTCGCCAGCCCAGGCACTGTCCCCTCCCACTGTTCCTCTGGATCTCGCAGCGTGGTCCCAGGATTCATTTTGGGGAGCTGCTGCGCTTCCCGGGGGTGGGGGCTGGGTCTCCTTATCCTGTGGCCCTGTAAGGTGCTCTGCACAGCCTTAGCCTAAGTGGCCTTCTTGATCCTGAGCACAGGAATCAATGGAGGACTGCAAGCCCCAGCTTTCCCCTGGGGTCCACTGGGTAGTGTTGGCCAGGCAGCCGGCAGACAGAGTTGGCGGCAGTCCTGCCCCGGTGTGGGCCGGGAGCTTGATGGAGCAGGCGTGCTCACCAGCCTCTCAGACCGCCAAGCCTGGGAAGACCAGGGGCTCACTCCAGGCCCTGCAGGCAGGCTGGGCGCATCCCTGTCCTGACAGGCGGGTCACTGGGTCGAGACCGGCCTCTACTGCCCCATTCCCTCGCTGCTTCTTTTCCTGGGGCGCTGGGCGGGGGGTCCTCCTGGGAAGGTTGCCGGGTGCTTCCCAACAGCAGCCTTGACACCCAGGTCCTCAAGCCTCAACACTGTGACCTGGCATTGGACGCCTGGTACACATTCTTGATGGGGTGAGGGGTGGGCTGACTGCAGGACCCGGGATCCTTGGCTCTTTCTCCGTGCCAGGCTGTGAGTTAGGTCCCAGCATGTGTCACCTGCAGCAGCGGAACTGGTAGCATGAGCAGTGGTCAAAGTCACATGAGATCGGTGGTTGTGGGTTCGAATCCCAGTTCTACAGCTTCCTCTACTGTGGCTTGGATTAGCCCCTCACAGTTTTGTCCTGAAACCTCTATGCAGCCATTGTTGCTATCTGAAAATTATTAAATTAAACAATGCATTTACAGCTCTAGGTTTCTAATTTTAACACCAAATACATCTGTTAGCAAAGAAGAAAATGATGAAAATTCCTCATTATCTTTCCTTGAGAAATGAAAAATGAGACAAAATAAAACCAAAAACAAATGGAAGAAAAGAATAAAGATCAGAAAACACAATCCCTTGGGGCTGGAGATTTAGCTCAGCAGCATAAGCACCTGCCTTGCAAGCAGGCAGTCGTGAGTTCGACCCCCGGTACCGATTTAAAAAAAAAACGAAAAGAAAACACAATCCCTTATCCAACTACCAACATCCTTTTTCATAGAGATTAACATTTTGATTCTTACATTTCTGTAAAAACAGAAAAGGCTCAGAATAGTCTAAACAACTTGTATAAAGGAACAGAATTAGAGCTCAGCTCTGGGTTTAGAATACAAGACACCTAACAAATGAGGCTCAGGTAAAAATATTCATTGCTCCTCTGTGGAACTAGAGCCCAGAGAGGTTAATCAACATTCCCAAGGTCTCACAGCTATTAAGTGCTGGGGGCAGGATCCCCACCCGGCTTGGCTGGATCCAGGTGCCCTTCCACACCACTTTTGGTCTTTTTCATTTTTATCGGTACCAGAGATCCAACTCACGACTGCCTGCTTGTAAGGCAGGCGCTTATGCCGCTGAGCTAAATCCCCAGCCCCAGCATTTTGTTTTTGAAGACTGACTCACCTGACCAACTGCCGACATTGTTCAGACCTCCAGAGAGTGAAGTTTGGGGGTGGGGGTGGGGGCTGCCCCAGCGACCACCACTCAAGTCACTTGGGACAAGAGGCCCCCAGGGACCCGTGGTCCAGCAGGAAATGAGGGAGCCCTACCGGTGCAGAGCCCCATAGATTCCCCCAGGCAGGTCTCCTGGGGCTCTGGGGGGCCCCCGACATCCCTACCCCTGCTGAGGTGAGAGGTCTTGGGGGAGGGGTCCCAAGGCTGCTGTTGGGACAGTAAAAGCAGATGGGGAAGCCCTGCAGGGAAGCCAGACCCCCTTCGTTCGCCAAGGCAATGTCCCCTCCCTGGCCTAGGCTGTCCTGCCCCCATCGATCACCCTGCTGAGGACAGAGGACGCGGCCACCTGGGCCTGCACACCAGACAGGAGCGCCGCCCGGAACCCCACCCAGCCCTTCCCGCCCCTCACTGCCCCGCTTCCCCTGCCCAGAAGAGCAGTGGCCACCGAGTCCCCTCACCCATACACACACCCTGCCTGCCCTTCTCCTCACACTGCGGCGCTTTACAAGAGAGGAAACCGAGGCTCAGGAGCTGAAGAGACTTTGTTCCAGTCACACAGGTCTTTGGGGCTCACCAGTGGTTCAGCTTAATGGGTCTGGGTGACATCTGTGTGTTTTTTTAGAGTTTTTGGTGGATTTTTTTGTTTTGGTTTTTTGAGGCAGGGTCTCACTACGTAGTTCAGACTGGCCTTGAATTCACGATGGAGTCTAGGCTTGCCTCAAACTGGCAATGATCCTCCTGCCTCTGCCTCCCTAATGCTGAGATCACTGGCATGTGTCGCCATGCCCAGCTGACATCTGTTTGTTTTATTTACTTATTTATTTGTGTCTTTTTTTTTTTTTTTTTTTTTTGAGACAGGGTCTCCCTATACAGTTCAAGCTGGCCTTGGGCTCACTTTGCAGCCCAGGCTGGTCTCGAACTCTCAATGATCCTTCTGCCTCAGCCTCCTGGAATGCTGGGATTATAGGCATGCATCACCAAACCCAGTTCTAAAAAAGCATTTTTGAGCAGTGTGAATCTTTTCCCAAATGAAATCTAACCCACAGTCCAACAGTGGGTAAAAACCAATAAAAACAGCACTTTATGAGCAGTGTACACCGTGCCACCACCCTTAATTCCTTTCCTGAGTTACAGTGGTCTCTCATTTATGCCGAGGTGACGTTAGAGCCGCACTCATCAGAGGAAGTCTCTCCACCTGGCCACGAAGGTGCTGTGCCCCCAGTGCCGTGCCTCCCTTCACAGAAGGTGCTCACTACATCAGCGAGGGGGATTGTGCACTGACATGGTGGGCGTTGGTTACACTCACATGCACTGAGCCACGCCAGGCTTTGGGTGTATTCTTGTCCAGGAAGTCCTGGAGGGGCCAGGAAGTGGTTGTACGAACACGTCGGTGAGGCAGGGGAAGCCACCGTTATAATGGAAGAAGTCATGCACAATGATGCAGGAAGAAGTCATGCACAATGATGCACGCCTATAAACCCAGCTACTCAAGAGGCTGAGGCGGGAGGATCCCAAGTTCAACACAAGTCTCAGCAAGAGACATTGTCTCAAAAAAACCTTCAGGCTTGGTGGTGCACACCTGTGATCCCAGCATTCAGAAGGCCGAGGCAGGAAGTTTGCTGTGAGTTCAAGGCTAGGTTGGACTACATAGTGAGACACTGTCTCAAAAAATCAAACAAAAAGTGCTTGGAGGACACAGTTGAGTTTGTTTCTTGAGGACTAGGGAGTAACCCGGGGCCTTCTCCATGAGCTACCTCCCCACTCCTTTGTTTATTTTTTAAGATAAGGAGTCACTAAATCACTAAATTGCCTAGGCTGGGGTTATAGGGGAGCTCCACCACATCCCCCGAGTTTGGGTTGTTCTTTACTATTTTTTTCAAAGTAGTTTAATGTACATATTAGAAAATGTGTTTGTTTTGCAGAAGCTGCGCGTGCCTGTAATCCCAGCACTCAGGAGGCCGAGACAGGAAGGCCATCCTGAGTTCAAGGGCAACCTGAATTACGGAGTAAAATGTGTTGTTTTGTTTTGTTTTGCTTTGTTGTTGCTTTGTTTGGACAGGGTCTCACTATGTAGTCCAGGCTGCCTGGAACTTGGGATGATCCTCCTGCCTCAGCCTGCCAGTGCTGGGATTACAGGCGAGCCTTCACCTGGCTCCTAATATATATATAGTGCGTGTGTGTATTAAAGTATGTTTTTTAAAGGTGAGTTAGACTCAAACTTCAGCATCCCCAGAACATCCCTGCCAAGTAAGGGGGCTCGGATTTGTCCCTGTCCCATGAGCAGGAGCTTGGAGTCAGGGAGGGTGCAGCTGGGCCTGGTCTCAGAGTGGGCTGGGCTGGCTCCCTGCCCAGACTGAGCACCACAGTCCCGGGCCCTGGCCCAGCGTCCCCTGCATCTCCAGGGCAGCCGCCAGGCAGCAAGTGGGTGATTGGCGGGCGAGGCGGCGGGAATGACGCTCCCGGAGCTGGGGGGGAGGGGGGGAGACCCGGGTGGCCTCCTCCGTAGCTGTGTGCCAGGCAGGTGAGGCCCCAGTGCAGGCCGGCTGGGGGCGGGGCTCAGGAATCCGAGGCCACCCTGGCTTGATCCCGGGCCTTGGCGCACCCAGTTCTCGGTGGGGACAGCGCCCTCTGCAATTCGCCTCAGTGTGGGGACCCCTCGCCCTCCTCCTCAGCCTCCTCTGCCCAGCCGCCACTGCCTGGCTCCCGCACCTGGGTCCTGACTGCACTCCAGGACAGAGATGCAGCCAATGCTTGTGATGTCTCAGGCCTGTGATCCTAGCATTCTGGGAGGCTGAAGCAGAAAGGTCACAATTTGGAGCCCAGCAGAGGGCAATGGAGCCACTTAGCAAGGCCCTGTCTCAAAATGCGAATTTTAAAAAAGGCCTGGGGTGGAGTTTGGTGTGAAGACCCTGAGTTCAACCTCCAGTGCCACACACACAGGACCAAGACAAAGATGCCCGTTCCTGCTGATGGAGGGACAGAGGTGACATTGGCAGTGTTCCAAGGGCTGTGTCCCCCGCACAACCTGGGCCAGGAGAACCTAGGCCTAGAGTGGCGTCACCTTGGATCTGTGGCTTGGCCTGCGAGAGCTTCAATTTCCTGATTTTGAAAATGTGGGAAGCCAGGCGTGGTGGTGCACACCTGTGGTTCCAGCGCTCAGGAGGCTGAGGCAGGAGGGTTGTCATGAGTTTGAGGCCAGTCTGGGTTATATAGCAAGATCCAATCTCAAAGAAAAGAAAAGTGTTTGGGGTGGGTCCTAGCCAGGGAGGTGAGCACTTGACAGGAGTAGCTAAGCAGGAGTTTGATCCTGTGTTTAATCCGGATTGGGATTAGCGTTGTTTCATTTTGTTTTGTTTTCTGGTAATTCACCATCCTGAGTGGTGAGAAGCCTGTCGCTAGAGAGTGGCGCCTCTTAACATCTCTCATCCAGGGTGACTCGGGCTGGCTACTGTCCCCGTCCCATGGGAAGGACGGGACCAGGCCCACAACGCTGCAGCTCTGGAGCCAGCGCCAGGTGGGAGGTGGGCGGACCGGGCACACCTGCTGCCTCTTCTCGTCTGGGGACCTGGGGCTTTGTGACTCGGCTCCAACTGGCTTTCAGAGTGACTGGGGGATGGCAACCTGTCATCACCCGGGACCTTTGGCATTGCTTCTGCAGCGGGCTGCGTTTCCCAAGTGGCTGTTTGCCAGGCTGGCATATTGGCAGCTGGGCTGTGCCAAGACGGGCGTGAAAATCCCACAGCTGGGAGCCTGGGAGCCCTGTAGTCTTCCTGATCCCTGTTCCCACCCTGGCGAGTCACCCTCATCCTGCGCACCACACCAGTGCCAGGCTGGCGCAGCCCTGGTGTCCCCAGACACAGAGCCAGGACTGCAGTGCCCATAGCCCCTCCCCTAAATGCCACCCAGAGTCCTCCAGAGCTGGCAGGACAGGGCCATTGTGGGAGTCCCAAGGCAGGATTCATACCAGTTGGGGACTGAGCAAGACTTCCCAGAGGGGGGAACATTTGTGCAGGACTTGCAGAGCGTGGGAAGGGAAGGGGAGGTTTTTCTGGGCAGAGGGAAAAGCCTGAGTGACAGCAGAGACAGGGAAGATGCGCCTGTTTGGGACGCAGGGGACAGTTGGTTGGCTCTGAAAGGAGAAAGCACAAATTAGAGCTGCAAAGCCAGGTTGGGGTCACATTATAAGAGGTCTTGAGGGGTTGGAGGTTTAGCTCAGTGGCATAAGCACCTGCCTTGCAAGCAGGCAGTCGTGGGTTCGATCCCTGGTACCGATAAAAAGGAAAAAGACAAAAATAAAATAAAATAAGAGGTCTTGAATGTAAAAAGGAGTCCATGGCTCAGTGGGAAGGGAGTAAGGAGCCGTGGTGAGTTCTGAGCAGGAAAAGTCATGGTCGGCGGACCTGGTGGGCAGCGCGGGGCCAGCCTCCTGTGTGTGAGGTCTGAGCAGTGTGTCGGCACTGTGCACAGCTGCACAGAGGTGGCAGCGTCCCCACCCCGCTTTATCCACCCGCCCACCTGACCCTTTCGGGGGGGTCCAGCCACATTCCTTTCCCCCCACCTCCACGAGGAGGGCAGATTCCTGTGAATGGGGCGTCCTGTGGCTTCTCCCAAGCTGTCACCAGCGTCCCTGCAGCACAGACTTGGCCCAGCCCTGCCCGGAGAGTGGTCCCAGAGCTGCCATGGGTCCCCCCAGCAGGACAATGGCAGTGCGGGCTGACAGGCTTTCAGCGCCCCAGGGGCTGCCGGGAGCTCAGCCTGGGGCTCTCATTAGGGAAGTACTTGGGAGCCTCTGAGCCAGGACTTTGGGGTCCCAGGGCAGGTCACAGGGCCGGAGCAGAGTCCCACCCACTCCCCAGGTTCATCTGTCAGTCTTCAGCTAGGCCAAGGCCCAGGGTCTAAGGAGAGCACAGAGATGGCAGGGGTCACTGTCTTCCGGTCTCTCCCGTTTCCAGAGACTCAGCGGGGTGGTGAGGGGCCTCCAGGACTGAGCTGGATGCAGGGGAGCGGGGATGCTGGGAGTCAGGGAATTGTCGCAGGCTGGGCAGCATTTTTCAGGTCTGGACAATGATCTGGTCACAAATCGCCCAGAACCGGTGGCGGAAGAGCCTCTTCCAGGCCAGAGGGCTCCTGGGGAGGCCATAAAACTGCAGTCAGCGGCCTGGCCTGGTGGAGAGCGCCCCCAGCATCCCACAGACCCAGCTCCACCCAGCTCAGGTCACTTAGGTCAGGACGCATGGAGTCCCCAAGAGACTCCCATCGGGGGTCAGGGCTGAGTCTACAAAGCCATCCCCGAAGCCCTCAGGGCCAGCAGGAGGGACAGCACCAGAGCCTCAGCTGTGCGTGGTGGGGGAGTGGGAGCGAGGCTGCTGTCCCTGGACACACAGGGATGAGTGACACACAGGCCACTTACACGAGGTGTGACTTCCTCTCTGGCCTTTGGGGACAGGGGAAATGACAGGAGCCATTTCAGGGCACAGAGGAGAGCACTGAATCCACCCGAGGCTCTCACAGTACCCGGGGAGCATGGGGAACACGTGCCCCACCACGGTGACGGCTTCCTACAGAGCGACTCCAGACCTGGACAGGGCCTCCACGGTGTCAGCCAGGGCCCTGCGCGCAGCCCTGCAGTCTGTCTGGGGCCCTCTGGTGCTGGTCCAGGCCATGCGAGGTGATAGCAGCACCTTGGCCTCTCCCTGGAGGAGGCCGACAGCACCCCGGGTTTGGGAGGTTTTGTTTAGTTTTTGCAGAACTGGGAGTGGACCACTGGGGTGTTCTACCACTGAGCCACCCCCCCACCCCCTTTTCTGTTTTTATTTTGAGACAACGTGTGACTAAATTGCCCCTTAAACTTGTGATCCTCCTATCTCAGCCTACGGTAGTTGGGGTGGCAGGCATGGTACGCCCATATCATCCCGTTTTGTTTGTTTTTGGTACCGGGAATTGAACTCAGGACCTCATGCTTGGAGCTATATCCCTGGCTTGTTCTGCTTTTGGAGACAGTCTCTCTATGTAGGTAATTCAGGCTGGCCTGGAACTCACAGGCATCCTCCTGCCTCAGCCTCCAGTGTTCCAGGATTCTAAGCATGCAGCACCATCCCCCAGTTTTGATAGTGTTGCCACATAACACCCCCAGCCCTGCTGGTGAAAACCGAGCGTGACCTCGCACGCTGGATACGAAGGCTTTGGGGTCCCAGCTCAGCGCTGCCTCTTTTGCAGGAAGGACCCATGGCCAAGCCCGCGCTCCGCAGCGCCCCCGTGCGGCTGCTCGTCCTCCTGGCGCTCCTGGAGCTGAGCCTGGGGGGCTCCTTCGCACCTGGATCTTCTCTCCGATCCCCGCCTGAGAACCACATCGACGCCCCAGGCGCCTCGCTGTGGACGCCGCAAGCCAGCCACCACCGCCGGCGGGCCCTGGGCAAGAAGGAGCGGGGTGCAGGCTTGCCCAGGGCTGTGGCCACCCCCACTAGGCCGGCCTCCCGACTACCAGAGCAGAAACCTGCGGGCCTGCAGGACGAGGACCTGCTCCTGGGGCTGGCGCTGCCCTACCCGGAGAAGCAGTACCGGTCCCCGGGGTGGGAGAGGGCGAGGAGACGCGGCCGCGAGCACAAGAGGCGCAGGGACAGAGCGAAGCCGTACAGAGGTAGCGAGGGTGGGGGTGGGGCACGGGAGGATCCCAGGGCAGGAGGGGAGGCCCAGGGTGACTTGGGGTCCCTGGGACGCTGCCAGAGGCATGAGCACCCGAGGGGTGGAAGGGGGTCTCACTAAAGTCAGAGGGGTCTGGTAAGCCATCGAGAAGAGGATGAGATGCTGGGATGCGGCAGGCTGGGAGAGCAAGGGCTCTGTGACCATAGAAGTTCAGACCTATGCCTTGGTCACCCCAGTTGGGAAGTTCTACCTGCCGTCTGACCCGAGTCCGCGTGCTGTGAATCCCCAGTAGAGAGCTCAGCACGGTCCTGTGACCTCTAAGCACATTGTTCAGTCCACTGTGAATCAGCAGAGCGAGGGGCTTAAGTAGGCTCTGAGCTGGGTGTGGTGGCCAGCAGTGACCCTCAGCCTCTTCCTGCTCCCCGCTCTGGCCTCACCTCCTCCAGGTAGCCTTCCAGGGTCAATCTCACCAGCTGCTATGAGTTGCCACCCAACCCACACAGAGTGCTGTTTCTGGGGGAGTCTTTGGGTGTCTTCCAGCAATATATGGAGACACCGCCTCCTACCATGCTGAACTCCCCATTTCCAGCTCCCAGAGAGGCAGCAAGGATGCCAGCTGAACCCAGGGCTTGTCACCGGGTCCCTACCGTCCCTGGCTTTGCAGCAAAAAGACTGGGTTGTGCTGGGTGCTCTCACCGGGTGGCAGAAGGCCAAGCTCAGCGTCCCCTCCCCATCCCGTCTCAGGCCGGGCGCTGGTCCGAGGCCCCAGCTCCCTGATGAAGAAGGCAGAGCCCTCGGAGGACCTGATGCTGGACGCTACCATGGAGGAGTCCTCTACCAGCCTGGCCCCCGGCCTGCTCTTCCTCACCGCCTTGGAGGCAGCGCCTGCCACGGAGGAGTCCCTGGTCCTGCCTGTCACCTCTTTACAGCCCCAGGTAATGGGCCCAGTGCAGCCCCAGGGCTGGGAGGGTCGTGCAAGCCCCTCTTGGTACCATGACTAGGGGGAGTGGGTGGAGGCCACTGGACCTAGATACAAAGGCTGGCTCCCAAGGCAGTGCAGGACTCAGAAAGAGGCAAAGAAAGATCTACAGTGACCCCCATTATCTGGGGGAGACGCCCCTGGGGCTCCGGTGGACACTTGCAACTGGAGATAGCACTGAACCCCGGGTTTCCTGTGCACACACCTAGGCGAGTTTTTTTGTTTTTTGTTTCTGGTGCCAGGGATTGAACTCATGACTTCACATTTGCCAAGCAGGCACTTACACCGCTGAGCTAAACCTCCGGCCTTTCTTTTTTTTTTTCAGACAGGTTCTCCCTAGGTAGTTCAGGCTGACCTTGAATTCACTGTAGCACCCAGCCTGGCTTCAAACTCACAGCAATCCTCCTGCCTCAGCCTCCCAAGTGCTAGGATGACAGCTGTGCACGACTAAGCCTCACACAATATTTTTGGAGTGCAGAAAGCAGAACTGTGATTGGGGGCCCTACTGTGCTGATAAAAATTATGACTTTATTTTTTCTTGTACATATACCATAGATTACTATTGATCCCTTTCAATGGTTTCCTTGTTTCCAACACCACGGTAGAGCCTGGGGAACTGGGATCGAGCCCTCCCCACGCTCCTCAGGGCCTGGGTGGTGACGTTCCATCACACCTGCTTTCTTTCTCATTTCTCTCTTTTTGCAAAGATCCAGAATGGAGATCAAAACACTAACTGTTTAGTTCTGGGTCACAGAGACATGGCTTGTACAGTTACTGGGACAATTCTCTGTCCCTTTCTTCAAAGCTGTGAGGGCGATGACCTGCATGCTGAGCTGTCCCCTACTTTCTCAGCTGTCCCCATGTGACCACAGGCCACTTTCTCCTGGACAGCAGCCTTTGTATCTAGGTCCAGTGGCCTAAAAGCTGTAGTTGGATCCCAGGAGTGCACGGAGTGTGGGTGGCTGCATGTGACCCCACATTCCTGGTCCCCTCTGCTCTCTTCTGCAGGTGCCACCGAGGTCCGATGGGGACGTGATGCCCACGCTGGACATGGCCCTGTTTGATTGGACTGACTATGAGGACTTAAAACCTGAGGTCTGGCCCTCTGCGAAGAAGAAAGGTGTGCAGCCAGCCCTACCCACTGTCCCCCCAACTCTTCTGGGTCCTGTGTGACCTGCACGTTCCCTGGGTGGATGCTGGGAGGGGCTTGGTTTAAACCGCAACTGATGCTCACAGTACCGGGCACTTCCGGTGTATCAGCACCCAGGGGAAAGATCCGTGAGTCTGTGCCCCTGCTGCGCCACTTAGAGAGGAGAAGCTGAGGCAGGGAGAGGCGGAGCGTCTTGTCCCAGCCCCACTATGACATCCAGGTCCGTGTGTTTCATGGCTCCGCCGGGGTGGGCCTCAGCCTCTGATGCCAGATTTCCTGTCCCCAGAGAAACACGGGGGCCCGTTCTCCAGCGGTGGCAATGAGACATCGCCAACCGAAGGGGAGCCCTGCGACCATCACCAAGACTGCATGGCAGGTACCTACCTTACACCCAAAGCACCGGGACCAGCGATGAGAAGGACAGGGCTTCCCAGGCTTGGGACAGGTCACCGTGATCTTTTCCTCCTTCCTGTACTGAGGATCAAATTGCACTGAGCTCCACCCCCAGCCCTCTCTATTTTTTATTTTGAGATAAGATCTCACTAAACTGCTAAACTGCCCGGGCTGGGTTTGAATTTGAGACCCTTCTGCCTCAGCCTCCCAAAGTCCTGGGATGACAAGCATGGACCACCACGCCCAGCTCCCCAAGACAGTGGACAGTAGACTATGGCACCAGCAGTGACCAGCCTTTTGAGCAGTGCAGTCACACGTGAGGCATTCAGGCCCCAGAGAAGCTGAGTGTCATTCCAGGGACGCTTTGGGCAGCGTCTTTGCACACTGCAGCTGCCTCCTCCACCAAGACAGCCTCATGGGAGGCCTGTGCCCGGCTAATGCCCTAAACTACTGTCCCTCGCTGGGCCAGATGGGCCTCTGGAAGCAGACCCTGAGGTGGCTTAGAAAAGCAAGAGATCCCATGCCTATGATACCAGCATTCTGGGAGGCCGAGGCAGGACAGTCACAAATTCCCCCTGGGCTGGGCAGTTTAGTGACGCAGTGAGACCCTGCCTTGAAATGAAAAATAACAAAAGGACTTGGGGGTGCAGCTCAGTGTGAAGGCCCCAGTAGTGCAAGAGTTTTGCTCACCTTGGGGTTGGGGAGAAACCTGGAAAGGTCAAAGGCAAGGAGCAGGGTGAACAGAGATCCTTCCGATAGACGTCGGATGGGCCACGGGTCAGCGCCCAGAACACAGGCTGCTCTGGGAGGCCCAGGTGGGGCGGAGGTGGCCAAGACCTGGCCCCCCACCTGGCCCCAGGACCCACACTGTGCTGCTTCCGTCCCCAAACCATGGTGTACACCCGGAGCACAAGACAGCTCCCGTTGAAGCCCACTGGGTAACCCTGAGGGTGGGCAGAGCCACACCCTAGGGCCAGCTGGGCATCAGTGTCCTCATCTGTCAAAAGAGGGCGCTGGTGTCACAGGTCCCCAAGGCCCCTCCCAGCTCCACACCTGGGGCCCCACCTGTTCTGGCCGCTGTCACCAGGAGGTGACCCCACACTGCCCTCTCTTCCCATAATCCATCAGTTTCCTGTCTAGGGCAGCTGGGGTCCCTAGCATTGCCCCGGGAGCTCAGCTGTGACATCCATGGTGGTCCTAGCTGAGAGTCTTGAGCAGCATATGGCCCCCTGCTCAGCCGGGCTGCCACCAGGATGATGGATTTCCTGTCCTGAGGGACTGTGTGCTGGGCAGTGGGAAGGGCCGCTCAGCTTGGCTGACTGCTGCGTGCACTGGCTGTGTCTGCAGGGACCTGCTGCGACCTGCGGGGACATCTCTGCGTACCCCACAACCGCGGCCTCAACAACAAATGCTTTGATGACTGCATGTGTGTTGAAGGTGGGTCTCGGGGAGGAGGCTCCCCACTCTGCAGAGCTGGTTCTGCAAGCCAGGTGCAGTGGTATGCCTGTAATCCCAGCAGTCTGGAAGGCTGAGGCAGTAAGATCCCAAGTGTGAGCCCAGCCTGGGCGATTTAGCAATGTAGTGAGACCCTCTCCTGGCAGAGGGTGGATAGAAAAAGCCCAGAGTGGGAGAAGCACTTGGGAGCTAAAGACAACAGTAGGATTAGCTGTGCTCGGGGCCCTCCCATCTGTGAATTGGCTCAGTCTTGATTCCTGGCACCCTTTCCCAGATTTGCTTCCCTCGCCTCTCGGAATACAAACTGGCTGCATGATCCGCCAGGATCAGGCAGAGGGGGCGGGGAGGGCACAGGCACAGATCTCTGTAAACAAAACCCCTTGGAGAGGCTGGCGCTTAGTGGAATCCACCCCGGAGGTGCCCAAGTGCGGCCGGCTGAGGATAAGGGTGGGCTGGGTTTCACAGCTCGGGGCCAGGGGAGGACCTGCTGGGCACTGCCAGTCCTCCACACTTGTACACACAGACCCAGGGGTGCCAGGCACCTTCTCCCCAGGAATCTTCAAACTCAACCCTGGTGGGTGCTTATAATGACCCCCCTGCACAAAGAAAGGTTTTTATTTAGTTAGTTAGTTGTTTTTTTTTAAGACAGGGTTTCACTATGTAGTTCAGGCTGGCTTCAAACTTGCATCAATTGTCCTGCCTCCCAGGACACCAGAAAAAGCCTCCCAAGTGCTGGTATTACAAGTGTGTGCTACCATGTCCAGCGCCAATGCTGTATTCTGAAAAATTCCAAATGCATACGAAAGTGGTCACAATGGTGTACTTCATCCCTGTGCCCCGTCACGGAGCCCACTAATGGGCCAACCGTCAGCCAGAAGGTGCCTTCTCTCCCCTACGCACTCCACACATTCTAGTAAGATTTCAGAACAGCTGTTTCAGCATATGTTTCTGAAAGATAAGTGTCCTTGAAAAACCAAATGCCAGAATTGAACAATAATTACTCAGATGCCATCCAGTGTCCAACCCATGTTCCCCTCCCCTCCCAGAGTGGGAGAATGAGCTGAGCACCCCAAGAGCCCAAGATACATCTGAGCCCTGTTTTCCTCATCTGCTCTTGGGGAGCCCTACATCCATCAGGGTCTGATCACTCGCCCACCTCTAGTCAGTTAGAAAGTACTTACTGAAAAAAATTCTTACTGAGCCAGGCATGATGGTACACACCTGTGATCTCAGCGCTCTAGCAGGCTGAGGCGGGAGGGTTGCAAATTTGAGTCCAGCCGGTGCAACTTAGTGACTTAGTCATCAGGACCCTGTCTCCAAATTAACACTCAGACCCTGTGAGAAGGGCTGGGGGTGTAGCTCAGTGTGAAAGGCCTGGATTCAGCCCCAGCAGGAGGGAAGGAAGACAGTGAGCGGGGAGGAGAGGAAGGATAGATGGATGCACAGGTGTCAGGCGTGGTCAGAACAGGGCATGAGGAGGCCAAGGTGAAGACTGGCAGCTCCGGTGTGCAGGGGGACACGCCAGCGTGCCGCTGATGAGAAGTGCAGGGACAGTGTCCCTGGGAGTGCTCAGGCTGTAGGACAGCCACCGGGCAGTTTCCTGGAGCTGGAGCAGCTGTCTGTGGCTGGGGGCAGTGCTCCAGGCTGGAGCCAAGTACAGGGCAGTGGCCTTGGCCAGGAAAAGCCGGGCAGGAATGCTGTGGCCCCAGGGCAGGTAGCACAGGGGAGCATCACACAGGACCCCACGGGCCTTGTTCAGGTCTTGGTACGCAGTTGGACATCCCAAGGGGTTTTGTGTTTGGTTTGGGTTTCACAGCCCTGGGGAAGGCACAGCTGAGGGGTTTAGCCAGGTGCTCCGAGGACCCTGAGGAGCCCCAGAGGGTTTTGCACAGGCTGCAGGGCTGGAGCCGGAGGGGTTTCTGGAGGATCTGGGGGCTTCAGCATCCTGCTGTGGATGTGTCGGTGTCACTCCCGGCCGGCAGGAAGGACACACAACAAAGTCTGGCAGTGGACAACCTTTTCTTTTATTTTCCTTCTCCGTACAGCCTGCCCCGGGAATCCTCCCGGCCGAAGCCTCTACCGGTCCGCTCCCCGCGGCTCCTTGCGTGCTTCTCCCTACAGTCTGTCCCGAAGCCTCTACCGGTCCGCTCTCCGCGGCTCCTTGCGTGCTTCTTCTGCTTCTTTTTTCGTGGCGGGAGAGGCACTCACTTTTATAGGGTTACAGTGGCCAATCAGTTCAAAGCGCGCGATGCGGGCTGATTGGCTAACATCAGTTGTTGCTAGGCAGACTATCTTACAGGGTGGGTTGTGAAGCAGGAGATCTTACAGGGCGGGTTGTTTACCAAGCAGGAAGCAGGAGATCTTACAGGGCGGGTTGTTTACCAAGCAGGAAGCAGGAGACAAGCGCCATCTTAGCACACTCGATGGGAGGGGTAATCTAGCTCAGGCTTTGCTCTTTCCTACAGGCCTCACGTCCGCCAAGTAAGGCGACCGGGCTCGGCCGCGGCTCCCAACATGGATGGCCCATTCCGCCCATGTGTCACTGTGCCCGGTGGCCCCAGTGTCAATTCTAGGTCCCTATGCACAAATCTCTGTGCTTCCCTTCCTCGATGGATGGTGACAAAAACCCATCCTAAAGGAGAGAGGGGTCCCTCCTACAGGGAAAGCAGGGGTTTCTCAGGTCACTGACATCTCTTTCCTCAGCCATCAGGAAGATACGACCTGTGGCCTTCATTAAAAAAAAGTCTATCCCCGTGTCTCAGGGAACACACCAGAAAAAGCCCAACACCCTGCCACTGGTGGGCCAGGAGGGCTACCGTGGCTTTAATTATGGTGCTCAGGGGTACTCTGTTTGAGACCTGAATGCTGAAGGAAACACCTGCACAAAGAACGTGGGGAAGGGATTTCTGGCTGGGAAGACAACATGGGCAAAGGTCCTGAGGCAGCAGTGGCTTGAGATCTGGGGTCAGCAAGACTGGGCATGGCCAGAGGCAGTGAAAAAGAGAGTAGAGGCCAAAGCAGCAGACAGGCGGCAGGGTTCGGGCTCTGCCAAGGCAGAAGGTCCACTGCATGGGAGATTTTGTGTTTGCACTGAGCTCACGCCAGCTGTGAGTCTGCTGTTTAAACTCATTCAGGCGCTGCGCAGATAGGGAGGGAGCGATTTTAAAAAAAGAAAAAGGTGAGAAGCCCGGTGTGGGGTTGGAGAGGGGAAACGGGAGGACACTGACCCCCTTGACGGCCCTTGCCTCCCTCTACCCAGGGCTGCGCTGCTATGCCAAATTCCACCGGAACCGCAGGGTCACGCGGAGAAAGGGACGCTGCGTGGAGCCCGAGACGGCCAACGGCGACCAAGGGTCCTTTATCAATGTCTAGCGGCAACCTGCGGGGAAACTGAGCCCGGGCAGCGCTGAGAAGCTGGGAGATAATGTGTGTGACTAGGAGAGAGAGATGCAGTGCAGGGACCGGGCTGCGGGGGCAGTGGGAGCACGGGCTGCCCCTGTCCGGGAACTGAAAAGCGGCGCATCTGCTCCTGCACCCGGACCCGCGCACCTGAACGGGCCATCTGCCCCCGCACCTGCGCCCTAACCGCACACCTGCGCAGCACACCTGCGCAGCCTCCGTGCCGTGCACAGCGGTTGTGCAGAGAGTGCCCTCTTCCGTCCGGCAGCAGCACTGCAGCAGTTTGCAAACCATCAGCAGGGTTTGCTGAGTGGAACAGTAACTGGAACTCCGGGCAGGAGACTCCGAACACCCCCACGTACTAGGCGCGGTGCGGAGCGTGCGGCACGCATCGTCTCCAGGAATCCCCACAACAGCCTTTCCAGGTAGCCATGACCGTTTTCCAGGTAAGGACATAGAGCCACACCTGAATTACAACTTTGTCCTGGGACCCCGGATGGATCCTCGCGCCTTAACTTGTGTAAGAGTCACCTGGGGCCTCGCTAAAATGTGGACAGGGAGAGCTGAACGTGGGCCAGCCACAGATGGCCAAGGCCTTGTGCCTGCCTTCCACAGCTGAGAATTTAGCCCAGTTTCGCCAGGCTTTGGGCCAGAAAAATGCAATTCTTTGTTGTTACTCTTCCTCTTACTGTGCTCTCGGCATCCCCTGGACATTGGTGCTTTTTTTTTTGAACCGGGAATTAAACTCAGGACCTTGCACTTGCCAGACAGAGGCTTATACCACTGAGCTATATCCCTAGCATTTTTATTTTTATTTTTTTGAGACAGAGTCTCACTGCAGTTCTGGCTGCCCTTGAACTCATCTTGTAGCCTAGGCTGGTTCTGAACTCACAACGATTCTCCTGCCTCAGCCTCCCGAGCGCTGAGATTATAGGTGTGCCCTACCATGCCTGGCTTTCTTTCTTTCTTTTTAATGTTCATTAAACAGCTGCTTTCAGTAAGGAAAGATCTGGGGAGATTGGTTCCCCCCACCATGTGGTAGCTGGTATTCTCAGACACAGTGTTTGGAGAAGACAGTAACTTTGCTCCTTGAATTCCTGTGGACCTGCTTATCCCACCCTGGGATCTGTGCTTCCAAGTTGTCCTGAGAGAATCTGCCACTGTTGTTCTGATGCATGCACACTCTCTAAGAAGGATCCCCAGACCCCATCCCACAATTCTGCAGCAGACCCCATTGGGAAGTGGGGACCTCTGCCTTAAAACACCCCAACAGTCAGACCCATGATGTCTACCCAGCACATCCCGTTCCAGGGCGTCACCTCCGAAGAGCCATTTAAATTCCCCCACTTGGTATCTGAACCCGCTGTTATCCAGGGCAAACCAGGCCTCAAACCCTGTTTACTGCTTTGGGGAAATCAGTCAAGGTCAGGGTCAGGCACCAAGGCAGGCAGGCAGATCTAGAAGCAATCAAATATGCTTGCTCTTCTCTGGCTCTCCGCGTTTGATAGACATGGGAATCTTGGGGGCAGAGGGAGGGCAGGAAAACAGAAAGGGATCAAAGGCGGCTGGTGGGAAAGCAGATCTGTGAGCAGTTTTGTGTGTGAGAGCAGACCTGCACGCTGGGTGCCCTGTGGAGCGGCCAGCGGGAGACTGCAGGCTCTGCGGGAGTTGAACAAGGTGGTGCTGGCGGAGATCAGCATCGGCAGGTCTTGGGGGAGGTCACCTTGCTGCTGCGGAAGTCAGCGAGGGAAACAGGAGGTTGGGACAAGGCTAAAAGGCCCTGTGCTTGGAAATTCCCCGCCTCTCTTGGCCCTGGCAATCTCCACGTTGCCTTCGCAGAGTGGGCACAGGAAAGTAGAATCCACTCCACAGCTCGAATCCGCCCCCCGAGACATTCTAAAGAGGCTTCTACATCTAATTAAGTTCCCTCCGCTGGTACGGGAGCCAGCTTCTCCAATCTGGAACTCACCAAGCCTGTACCATGAGAGGCAAATGAACCCTGTAGGCTTTGCAGACCTCAGGGTCTCTACCAAGCTACCCAGCTCTGCTACAGCCCAAGGCAGCCGTGGACAAGGTGGAAAAGAATCCGTGTGGCCCTGTGCCAGCAAAAAGCCACGCAGAGTCACAGATTTGAATTTCTTGTGAGATCACAGAATCATATTTTGATGTTTAAAACCACTGAAAAATGTTTAAGAAAAAAAAAAGCTTAGCTCATAGATTGCAAAAAACAGGCAGGGGGTCAGATGCTGCCCGCGGGCCATGGTTGCTTACGCTGTTCTAATTCTCAGCCTTGGCTGAACATTGGGATGTTCAAAAACCTGAGGTCTGCGAACGAAGGCTATGTTTTAATGTAGAATTTTCTTTTCCGGTGCTGGGGATGGAACTCAGGGCACATGGTAGGCAGGTGCTATACTGCTGAGCTACACCCCAGGTGTCCTGGGCTGCAGTCTGGGCCTCCTGCTTCTCTAACTCGCATCTGCTGGCTAAATGTGCAGCCATGCGCAGACTTATTCCACCTCCCGCCACCTTGCTGACTTTCCTTAAGGTCTCTGTGCCTTGATTTTTTTCATCTGCAAAATGGGGATGATAACTTGTTTTGCAGGTGTGTTGTGAAGGCTAAATACATCATTCTTTTGAGGTGTTTAGAGCAGTGTCTGGCACCAAATGTACCCCCTCTTCCCATGTAAGCTACTGAATCATTCCAGATGGGTTTCAGGGGGTGTTCTGTGCTGGAGCCACACAGGCTCCCTCCCCAAAGTGCAGATTGAGGTTAGACTGTAGGTCAGAGGCTTTGGGCCAGCCTTGGCAGTGTGCTGGCTTCTGGGTCCTGAGGTGGGACCACCAGAGCCAGTGGCTTTGCAATAACAGGTTCACGAGTGGAAAAATTTCCCTGGGGAGAGTTGCGTAGGGCCCAAGAGGAAACCAGTAGCTGCTGTGACTGTCACCTGAGCCTGGCCTGTATGTCTGTATTTCTCCAGCTGAAGCCTTGCGGTGCTTCCAGAGACCCTCCAAATTCCTTTCTGTGCTTTGTCTGGTGATATCAAGGGTGGCTTTTGTGTCTGCTGCAGAAAGCCTGAGGGATGACCTGAGGAAATGCCCCCTTATTTACCCCCAGAAGAGTGACTTGAGCCACGGGATCAAATCCCAAAGTCATGATCCCCACCCAGGAGGCTGCAGGGTGATGCTCACCCCCCCAGCCCACCCAGTATTGAGGCAGGAGGTGCAGGGATTCCAGGCTCCCTGGATTGAGGCCCACTTTGCAGCTGGAGGCGATAAACATACACGGCAAGGATCGAGGCTAGAAACGGACAGCAGGGCAGCTGAGTGAGAGAGTGGGCAGACGGAGAAGCAAGATATGGAGGCTCCCTCCCGCCTGGGGCTCACAGTAACCTCCACACTCACAGGCAACAGTGAGTGAATGTGTGTGTGCATGTGCACGTGCGTGCGTGTGTGTACGCGCACACCTGGGGACCAGATCGGCAGTTTGCCACGTCAGGGCTGTATCACAGCGAACAAGTGCGTGTTCTGACTCCACGGCAGAGCAGGGGACGTGATGCGGAAAGCACAGCTGAGCCGTCTCTGGCCGCCAGAGGCTGTCTCCTTCCTCCTCACTGCGATGCTGGGCCCTGCAGCAGCGCCTGGAGCTTGGAGGAGGTTGCAGGACGCTGGGCCCCGCCCCATACCTGAAGCTCCAGGCCGTTGTCATGCATGATAAAGTCTGACAGTCACAGGTCTGGGACACAGAGGGGAAACTGCACGCTGGACTGTTGGGGACATTCAGATGCTTTGGGTCATCTCTTTTGTTTGTGGTACTGCAGACTGAACCCAGGGAATGCTAAGCTATACCCCCAACCTTGTTTTAATATGACTTTGACAAAGGGGCTCACCAAGTTGCCCAGGCTGGCTTTGTACTTTTGATTTTCCTGCCCCGGCTCCTGGACCCAAGGACCTCAGTCTTAGGGTGTCTTAAAGTGTGGGAGCAGCGGGAGGAGGGTGCTACGCTCTTGTAGTTCCTACGACTTGACAACAGTTGCATGAGTTCTTCCAAGCTGTAAATAAAGAACGTGGTTGCTAAGCCGAGTGGGCGCCCTGTTCCTCCAGATGGCTCGTCTGTGCTGGCACTGAGCATTGCTGGGCCCGGAAGGGACCCTAAGCCTGCTGTCGCCCCAGCACCTCCATTCTTTCACACACCACATTTGAGGGCAGACAAGGTGATCGGGGTCCCTCCCTGGACTGGGGCCTGGAGCCAGGTCTCTCTGGTGGGGATCTCTCGCAGCCCTGGGGTGGCAGAGGTCCCAAGGAGACCGGGCAGCTGGTCACAACCGGTGGCCTTAGCAGCTTCATTCCCAGCTCCCCCTGTCCCCGGGGAGGGGTGAGAGCAGAACAAAGCAGACGCCAGCTTCAGCGGCACCAGGAAGAACAAAGCACCGCCATAGAGGCCAGGTCCTGGCAGGCTCAGATGCTCAGATGCCATCGTGGGAAGGTATGTGAGCCACACCAGGTGGTGGCCCGGCTTGGCACCAGGAAGGATGTCGCTTATCTCAGTGGCAGTACGGCCCCACTCTGTGGCCCAGGGCCTATGAGGCTTGGCCCAGATACTCTTGGGGCTGGGGTGACCACACATGTGTCCTGCCCCTCCTTAGGATGTGATGTCCCTACAGAGCACTGTCCTCCCTGCTCAGGCCCTAGGGAGCCTGAGCAGCAGCTGCTGGGCAAGGTTCTGAGGACGCAAGCCCAGGGGATCCCTTTCTTCCCGGCCATGTGAGTTTCACCCTCTCTATCCCAGCCACTCAGCTTTATCTCTGCAGCACTGAAGCAGCTCCCAGACAACATGGGTGAGCACAAACTCAGACATCCATGTGCCAATAAAACTTTATTTACACACAAAAGGACTGGGCTGGAGCTGCCCAGAGAGCCCAGCGTACCTGCCCCTGTTCTGACCTCTAGGTCATCGACTTCAGAAAGATATGCTGGAGAGCTGGGGATTTAGCTCAGTGGCATAAGCACCTGTTTAGCAAGCGTGAGGTTGTGAGTTCGATCCCCAGTGCCAAAAAAAAAAAATGCTGGGCTTCTAAGCCCTCTATGTTTGGGGTCTCAATTTGAACCCACTTCTCTTACAGGTCAGCACAGTGCTGAGATAAAAAGTAAGATCAGTCACATCCAAGGCCATGGACATCTTGCTGTGTCCTGGTGGCCTGGCTGTAGCCCTCCAGGGTCCAGTGGCTGCAGGCGGCAGGGAAATTAGGGCTCTCCAGAGAATCAGAATCAACAGGATATTTCTATTTATGTACCTGAAAATAATATGTATACATATACGTACAAGTGTGTGTGTGATGTATATATGTAAAGTGACTTATTGTAAGTAATTGGCTCTTGGGATTGTGGGATTTTTTTTTTTTTTTTTTTTTTGGTCTTTTTCATTTTTATCGGTACCAAGGATCGAACTCACGACCGCCTGCTTGCAAGGCAGGTGCTTATGCTGCTGAGCTAAATCCCCAGCCCCGGGATTGTGGGATTTAAGGAGTATAATCTGTAGAGCCAGCCAGGGTGATTTATGATTGTTGTTGTGGTTTGTGTGTGTGTGTTGTTTGTTTGGGGTTTTTTGTTTGTTTGTTTTGGTACCAGGGTTTACTTACACTGCTGAGCTAAATCTCCAGGTCTATTTTTTATTTTTTTGTTTGGCTTTTGAGACGGGTTCTCACTATGTAGTTCAGGTTGGCCTTGAACTCACTATGTAGCCCAGGCTGACCTTGAACTCCAGGTAATTCTCCTGCCTCAGCCTCCCAAGTGCAGGGATTACAGGTATGTGCCACCATGTCCAGCACTGTTACAATCTTGAAGCCAGATTTCTCCTCCGGTTTTGCTCTTCGGCCTGACCGTTAAGGCCACTTGCCTGAAGTGGTGCTAAGCTAGCTGGTGCCTGACCCAGAGGCCCCGCCCAAGTCTGTCTGCCTCCCAAACCTAGTTCTTCCTCCATGACACTGTGTTGACTCTCAAATGGTACTTACTAAGCACCTAGTAGGAGAGGTCACTGACCACAGTCTAGGAGCCATGCAACCCATCCAGGACCACCATGGCTGCTGTCAGGGCCAGCAGAGATGCACCAGAACCAAGGGCCTGAACTGTCCTGGGGGTCCTGGGGTCCTGGGAGAGGAGGGCCAGGGGACTCTCCCAGGGCCCCCCAGCCAGCTGGAGCAGAGGAGGCCCTGTCACTGTCCACTCCACCTTCCATTTCCTTGTTCTTATCTCTCCTGCAGCACCAGGCCAGACTCAGGCTCCATTACTACCCCATGAGAGAAAACTGATCCATCCGGAGCCATGGGCAGTGAAAGCCGACACCTAGATAAGCCCAGGGCAGATAGGCATCTCCGGGCCGCAGAGCCCGCAGCCACACCGGCCTTGTTTGTGCACCTGAGTCTGGACAGGCTGGGCGTGGGCAGAACCTTCAAAGGCCTCCCTTGGAATTCCAGCACCACCCTGGTAGAAACCTGGGAGGGCCAACAGAGGGGGAGGGTGGGTGCCGGAGGGCAGGCTGAGCCAGGATGGGATGGGGGAGGGGGAGGAGCGAGGCGCATGCTGGGAGGGCCCGCCCGTGGCTGGCGGGGCCCCGGGGCTGGAATGCAGTTGTGGGCCGCCCCAGCTGAGGGTCTGAGGACCACGAAGCACATGCACCCACACCCACACCCACACCCACGGGCTCCCATAGGCACCGGCACATGATTGAAAAGGATCGCTGTTGCAGGCGTAAAGGTTTGAAGCAAACACCACAGAACAGAGGCAGAGAGCAGGCGGGGGGGAGAGGGGGCGGACTTCCTCTTGGGGAGCAACCTCTGCTGTCTGCTTTCTTTAGGACAGGGCACTGGCGAATCCTTTGTCTGCCTTTTCCTCATCACCAAAGTCCCACAGGGTGTTTTCTGATTTTTATTGGCACATTTGCAGTACACAATGATTACATTCACCGTGGGAGTTGGTGCGTGTAAGGAGCACACCTTAGGTTTTTTTTTTTTTTTTTTTTGTCTTTCTTCCTTTTTATCGGTACCGGGGGTCGAACTCATGACCACCTCCTCGCAAGGCAGGCACTTATGCCGCTGAGCTAAATCCCCATCCCCACACCTTAGTTCATGTCCCCTTTCCTCCCTCCCCGCCCCTTCCCTCCATTTCTTGGTCCCTTTCCCATTTGCAACCTATCTCCCTGTTTCCCATGATCTATTTTTAATTTCGCTCTTTATTTATACCTTGGGTTTCGCATACAAGGGAAATCGGGCACTGTTTAAGCTTGCAGTCTGATGTGTCTCGCTTAAGGTCATGGTCTAGGTCTCCCCATTGTCCTGCAAATGGCTCGTTTATCCTTTTGGATGGCAGTAGTAAGTATCACAATTCCCGAGTGTTTGACATTTAGCTCTCCTGAGCTGGGCCGCCACGAACATGGGTGTCTGTGCACGCCTGTAACAAGACAGCTTTCACTCTCCCACGAAGATACCTCGCAAGGCAACAGCTGGGTTGAAGAACTGGTTCTGGTTAGTTTTTTAGGAACTCGCCATTCTGATTTCTGTAGTGGTTACAGTGGGTTCCAATTTATGGTTTCTCCAATGCTGGGCTTGAGCACAAGGTCCCTGGACAGACAGGTGCACTTTATGTGAGGCTTTGGTAAGGTTTTTGTCGGGCGGCATCATGCAGCAGTAGTTGGCATAGGAGCTTCATGAGGGAAAGGCCGTAGGAACATCAGCACTTATTTCTAATGCTTTAAAGGAGATTCGTGGAGCCTGGTTGGGGTCAATAAATGTCAGCGACAATGCTACTAGGAAACTCTCTTTGGCCTGGCATGGTGGCTCATGCCTGTAATCCTAGCACTCAGAAGGCTGAGGCAGGAGGACTGTTGAGTTCAGGGCCAGCCTGGGCTACACAAGTGAGTTTGAGGTCAGCCTGCACTACGTAGTGAGACCCTGTCTCAAGAAAAGAGTAAAAAATTGTGTCTTTGGAACAACACTCTGAAGAATCCTATACACACACACAGAGTTTTGACTAGTCACAAAACCAAAAGTCTCCCCTGGAGAAGAGGCTGTCCTACCCCCAGCAATGTCAGGGACCTTCAGGAAACACACGAAGAGGATGGAGAAGTGCCACACCAACCCCCTGCAGACCCACATTCCACCCTGGGCTGGCTCCACGGTGGACCTGAGTGGTGGCGTGGACATGGCCAGTTTGCCTGACAAGTCATAATGCTGTCTGCACCAGAGACTGGGCAGGACAAGGGAGGAAGCTGGCTATGGTGGCACCTTCCCACAATCAAGTGCTCTGGGAGGCTGAAGCAAGAGGATCCCAAGTTTTTTAAGCCCAGCAATTTAGTGTTCTATAGACTGTGACTCAAAATACAAAGTAAAAACTAAAAACAAGAACAGGGGCCAAGTGTGGTGGCACGCACCTGTAATCCCAGCACTTGAGAGGCAGAAGGATTGCCACAGGCCAGCTCAACCACAAAGTAAGGCCCTGTATCAAAAAAAAGACAGATGATGTGGGAGGCTTGCACTGTCTCCCAATCTGCCAGGCTTGTATTTGGTCCCTTCTCCCTCCATACCCACCCCCCATCTGCTGCTGACAGCTGACCCCTGGCAAGAGTGAGGCTACTCCAGTGCCCAGCCCCTCCCTACCCCTGCCCAACTGCAGGCAAGAACTGGCAGCCAGGGTGTCCCCATGCTAATGGCAGGAGAGGGCCACTGCTCCCCTCCCAGGCCTGCTGGGGTGCTGCCTGGGAAAGGCCCCTCTTGCTCCTAGGCTAGTGGCACCAGTGGGCAGGGCTTGGGGTCTCTCACCGCTCTCCTGCTTCTGGGCTGATTTGACATTAGAAAGGAAGCAGCTGGGACCTACATGGAAATGCTATCCACCGCCTCAGATGGACAACTGGAAAGAGCCATGCACCACACCCAGCACAAAGCCTGTTCATATTTGTGCCCTTCTCCAGCCTTGCATGGTACCAAGGCTACCTAGGCCCCATTTTCTAGATGCAGAAAAAAACCCAAGTATGTTCCAAACCCAAGGATGGAGATACCCCAAGGCAGAGTGTAAGGAAGCAGGAGGAACCCAGGCCTTGCATCCCCAGCACAACACCCTGCCCAGTGGTCAGTCTGCCCAGCTTCACCAGGACAAACAGCTGGACACCATCCCACCTTCCAATAGGCTTTTCTCAGCCATCAACCAAAGCTTGGCACCAGGGGGCAGGTGCTGTGTGTGGCAGGAGGCAGTGGCACGGGCGTTGGTCAGTTGGTGCACGTTAGTTCATTCCCTGAGCACCTATGTGCCAGCACAGGCTGGCTGCTCTGAATGCAGACCCTCCTGGCATTAGGGCACTCCGGGGGGGATGGGAGCAATGATAAATAAACCAGGCAATGTCCAGATACTGATTACGTACAAGTGCTACAAAAAAGCACAACAGTGTGAACCCTTAAAAGACACACACACACCCACCATCCGATCAACTCTTCTACTCCTGGATGTTTACCCAAGTAAGGTGTTCAGTAACTATCTGCTAAATGAACCCACTTTTTAAATAAAAAGATACCAGGCCCCCAGAACCACACCCTCAAGTAGCCAAGCCTAAGAAACTGGTGACATTTTTATTAAATCCACAGAAGTAAAAACCATTTCATGAAGTACTGGGGGAAGGGGGCACCAGGGAGTGGGAGTCAGGCCACCAGGGGGCTAGGGATGGGGGTGACAGGATACAGATCAGAAACAGGCCAGGCTGGCTATAAGAGCCTCAGCCTTAGGGACCATCACTAGGACCACCAGACAGCTCCTGGGAACTAGGACCAGCGCCGGGCAGGCTCAGTGGCGGGGGCTCCACCAGGACAGCAGAGAACTTGGTGTCGCCAAAGGCCTCGTTCAGGCGTGACTCGAAGAAGCGCTGAAGACCGATGATAGACTGCACATCCGCCTTGTCCTCAGTCAGCTTGTTAAACTGCTTGAACATGCGGCCCACATCCTCAGCAAACTCCTGGGGGGAGCTGTAAGGGGGTGACAACTTTTCCTGGAGGCGGGCACGGATCAGGGTCAAGTCCAGGGTGCCGCCTGGCTGCTCCATGGAGAAGGGAGAGTCGGTGGCCAGCTGGTGCAGGGGGCGGCACGGTTCGTGGCAGAAGAGGGCCAGCAGGACGCGTTCGCATTTCTGCTGGTTGATGGGCGAGAGCTTGGCCACTATGCCGGTGCTGTCTGCGCCATCCATGCTGAGGGTGCCATCCTCCTCCTTTAGCTCAGGGGGCACGTGGCAGAGCGAGCAGCTCCACTCCTCCCCTGGCACATCCTGCAGGGCGGGCAGGTGGCAGTCCAGGTGGAAGCAAAACTCGCACTGGTTGCACATGACCAGGTCACCTGGCTTTTGGCAGACACGGCAGATGGTGGCGCTGTCATCCAAGGTGCCTGGGTCACCACCTGGTGCTGTGCTACCCTCGGGAGCCACCACCTCCAGGCCTGAGCTAGTGCTGCCACTAGGTGAAGCCAGGCGGGGGCCCTCTGCGGCAGGGCCTTCAGCCAGAGCCATGAGCACAGGCTTGGTCTCAGGGCCTTCCATGGCGGCTGGGGCGACGGCAGCAGCAGGAGGAGCTCCAATGGCAGCCTCCATCTCCTCCTCCTTCACAATGGCCATGCTGGGAAGGGGTGGAGCGCCGGCTGCTCCAGGGGGTGCAGTCCCAGGTTGACCAGCAGCTGCGGCAGCAGCACCACCACGCTCAATAACAATGAGGTTGTAGTCCTCAGTGGTGGTGCCTGGAAAGACCTTGAAGACTGGTGGCTGGCTGTCGGCTGTAAGGTCCAGGTCCAGGCGTTCGAGGCTCACCCGTGGCACCTTGCGCATGCGGCCACTCACCTCGCCCTCACCAGAGGAGGATCGCTTCATGCCCGACACATGGGGCTCTGCACTGGAGTAGGGGTCATCTGATTCACAGCCATAACCTTCCTGGACTTCCATGGGCTGGCTACTGCTAGAACTCTGCTTGCTCAGGGGTCCCAGGGCTCTCGGGGGAGCCATGGGTGCAGGGCCCGTGGAGTTAGTACCAGGACGCTCAGCGACAATCTTACCGAAGGCCTCCGCACTCTTGGTCCAGGCACTGAGGTCCCACTGGAACTTCATCTCCCCGTGGGGCTCCACGGGTTCCACGATCATCTTGAGGGCTCGCTGCAGCTGGAAGTAGATGAGCTTCTTAGACAGCAGCAGAGCTGTGTTGTTATCACTCTCTAGAGCCCAAGAGGCAAAGCGCAAGATGTGTTCCTGGTGCTTCTGGATCTTGGTCATGGACCAGTGCTGCCGTTCCAGGCGTTCCTGCTGCCCCTCCGTCAACTTCTGCGCATCGCTGACCAGCACGCGGCCCCGCTTGTTCAGCTCCTTCATGATCTGCAAGATGGCCATCTTAACATCCACCTGCACTCGTTTCTGCACATCGGACACCTGGCGGATGGAGCTTCGAACCTCCTTGGTGCTCTTCTGCAGCGTGGCATGTTTGTCTCCAAGGCGTTTCACCAGTGCGGCCAGGAGCTTGCGCTGGTCCCTCACGGCATCTTCCAGGAACTGGTACTGATGGTCCTTGTGGGCGCTGAGCTGGCAATCCCGACAAGTAAGGGTGTCGCAGCTCTCGCAGAACAGCACGAGAGGTTCCCGCTTGTGCACATTACAGTAGACTGTGCGTTCTCCATCCCGGGACTTGGCCGGCCCGGTGGGACGCACCGTGTGGTCCTTGGTGTACTTCACCCGCTGGTGAGCTTCCACGCAGGTCTCGCACAGTGGCTCGGAACACTCCACGCAATAGCTGGTGGCTGGCGCGTTATCTTCGCAACTAGTGCAGCACTGATTCGCCTCCTGGGCGTCTGAGGCGGCCTTGTTGCCACTGTCGCGGACAAAGTAGTTCTCCACGATGTCTTTGAAGCAGCACTGCTGTTTGCACACGGGGCAATCCACCACCGCGCCGTCGCCTGCCGGGCCACCGTCCCCGGTGCTGTTGGCCGCGGAGGGCGCGAGGCAGGCGCTGCAGGCCGAGTGCAGGCAAGGCAGCAGGCGCGGCTCGCGCTCTGGACGCAGACGCTCCCGGCACGCTCCACAGCGTTCCAGCAGCTCCAGGGCCTCGCCGCCGCCCGCCGTGGGCGACGAGGCTGAGGCTGCAGCCGAGGAGGCGGCCGCGCGATTCTCGCCACCGGCTGAGCCCTCCCCGGAGCTCGCGCTACCCGAGGTGGCAGAGGCCGCCGCCGCCATAGATGCCGCCATTTTCACGCCGACGACGGCGCCGAGAGAGGAGGAGGGGCGAAGGACCGGCCACGCAGGCGCAGAAGCGCTCGTCGCCCCAGACGCCCAGGGGAGGAGGGGCGCGGAACTCGCGGCGCAGGCGCAAGAGTGCTGCCGCCGAAGGGGCGCCCGGGTGAGGGGAGGGGCGGGGGGCTCACCGCACAGGCGCAGAAGCTCTTGCTGGCTGCACAACGCTGGTCTGGCGCCTGCTCAAATATTCCAGAGATCGCCCTGGGGGCAGAACCGCCCCTACCGCGCTTCCGCTGGCAGCTAAATCTAGATTCTACAGGTTAATTTCTTCGTTGAAAATACAAAAGTCAAATTTGGCTTAGACACAAGATGTTCGGGAAACGTGAACAATTTAAACCTGAATTCCATGCGTTCACAGCTGGGTATGATGGTGCATACCTATAATCTCAACACTCAGGGAGGCTGAGGCAGGGGAATTGCTGATACACACATTAAAGACAGAACTCAGAAGCCTCGTGGAATATGGGGGTGATTCACCAGGGTCTAGGCAGAAACTGGTCCCTTTGAGAAGACAGTTGCATGTCCCTTTGTTCTACTGCACTTTCCCCGGCCTGCTCCCAGCTGGCTCGCAGTGCGCTGTGCCCTGTCCCCCGCCTTGTCCAGCTGGCTAGGATGAATACATTGTCAGTGTGTGAGTGGCTGGGTCACTCTCCATACCTGCCTTGTCCCCCAGCCTGGGCTGGGTGCTCCAAGCCCAGAGCCAGAGGACCTGGTCTCAACCCAGCTTGCGACCCCGTGGTGAGGTGCCCTGGAGCAAGCCTCTCAAGCTCAGTCCCCATTTCAGTCTCTCCTGTGTTTCACAGGGTCTGCCGTAAAAGGATTCCCTGTGTTGGGGCAAAAGTGTAATGTAGAGACACATTCATAATATGGTAAATTTATAGATATTTCTAGAGGACTCTGACCAAGTTTCGTTCTGCTGTCTATGGTACATTCAGGTGACCCTGACAATGTCACAGCTGTTGCTTATAGCTTAAGGCACCTTGGGCTGACCTCTGCACATTCAGTACAAGCCCTCTCTCCAAACATCCTTATATTATGGTAATGTCCTTAATCACTCTCATTCAGTCAAGACTCTTCCTCCTGAACAAGTCTTATATTATGGTAATGTCCTTAAGTAAGTCATTCCCCCAGTTCCTGCAATGTTTCTATTCAGCGTATGTAACATCTGGTCACTTGCTTTGTACCTCCCACTTCTAATGCTATATGGACTAAACTCCTTAGTGATTCTGGACTGTTGCTTGGGAAGAATCATCCCTGCAATAGTCAGTCTACTGGTTGGGAGTGAACTCCCAACAATCCACCTGTGTAAAGATTAAATGCTGTCTTCTTATCTCCCCAGTGCAAAGAGCCTTTCTGTTGGTTTGGTTTGGTTTGGTTTGGCTTGGCTTGGCTGGGGAATTTCCTGCAACACCTGGAGGTTTGTCTTTCATTCCACCAGGAAGGTGAGATTCTGTTCCTCACCTTCCTCAAGGGCATGGTGAACACTGTTACAAGAAAAGACAGATCAGCAAGAGCAGCAAGGCATAAGAGATTTTTAAAATTATGTTCCATGTGACAAGAGCCTGCAGAAATGAAGACCCAACGGGGCTGGGGATTTAGCTCAGCTGCATAAGCGCCTGCGTTGTAAGCAGGCAGTCGTGCGTTTGGATCCCTGGTACTGATAAAAACTTTATAAAAAATTTTAAAACAATAAATGAGGACCCAACAAGCTTGGGAAAACTGGCTGATTTTAGAGTTGGGTTCCTGGAAACCAATAACCTTATAGAAATGTGATTGGGCAAAGGCCTGTCCAGCCTTCCTGTCCTCTCTGTGGAGGCTTCCTGCCCCTCTGCCCCTTGGCCCTGGGTGGGACCTCTCTGAGTACTTTTTTTTTTTTTTGCTGAGAATGGAACTAGGACTTAAAAGCGTGCTATGTAAGCATTGCACCACTGAACTGTACCCATCCCTGAAAAGCAGGATCCATTTTTGGCTGGGTATGATGGCTTACACTGTAATGCCACACTCAGAAGGCTGATCAGGGGAACACCATCGATTCAGGGTCACCCTGAACTAGATGGTAAAATTCTATCCCCCAAAACAAAACAAACAAACAAATTAAATGTACCCTGTTTTGTTTTATGTGAGACAAGGCTTTGCTATGTGGCTCAAGCTGGCTTTGAACTCATGACAATTCTCCTGCCTCAGCCTCCTGAGTGTGGGAATCACCGGTGTATGCCACCACTCCCAGCTCAAACTGATTTAAACATTACCCAATCTATGTATGTATCAAAATGTCACATGATACTCCTTTAAAATACACATTTTTAAATCTTTATATATAAGCTAAAGAAAAATAGTACCTGAAAACAGTGACTGCTAAGTGCTTTCATAGGTTCTTCTTCTTTTTTTTTTTTTTTGGTACCAGGGATCAAACTCATGACCTCACACTTGCCAGATGGGTGCTTATGACACTGAACTAAATCCCTGGCCCATGATTACTAATTTCTAATAGCAATTGGAAGCCAATCCTAAAGCAAATCAGATGTAGCCACATGGAGGTCCTGCAGCTCACCAGCTGCATGTTACCCTAGGCTGGAGGGCTAGGCTTGGATATAGGGCTTCCCATTAGGCCTAAGATCCCTGCAGCCCCCGCAAAAAAACTGCCCTCCTCATCCAGAAACAGCAGGGAAAGCTCTGGGCCTGGATATTATCTCAGTTCATGAGTTCCACCCACCTAGAAACCACCCAGATATTCCCTGCAAGAGTCCTCACCAAATTCCCAGACAGCTGAAGTTTGTGCAGGGAGGAATTCCTGCTGGTTTTGCAGCTAGAATTTTGTAACACTGTTGGTATGGTAACTTAACTGGGCTCCAACCATTGGCTCCTGGCGGTAACAGCTGGTGTGTATTGCCCACCTACCAAAGGCTTGCCAGGCACTGCCCTGAGCATGTTACATTGACACTCCCTCCTTGACCACCTTTCTGGTGGGTGCTGTGGTGTCCTTTCTTTTTCTTGCAATGCTTAAATTGAGCCCAGGGCTTCCAGCATGCCAAGCCAGTGCCCTACCACTGAGCCATATTCCAGCCATTTAAAAATTTTTAAAATTTGTTAGTGTTTATTTTATTTTGCTGTACCCTGAGACTTGACCTCAGGGTCTTTGTGTTGAATTACATCTGGAGTCTTTGGTTTTTATTTTGAAGCAGGGTCTTCTCTGTGTCCCCAGATTGCTCAGGCTGGCCTGGAATTTGTGACTGTCCTGCCTCATCACCAGAGGGCTGGCATTACAGGGACGGGCCATCACGCTCAGCTAGTGGTTGTCTTGTTTTTGTCACATAAGAGTATGAATCCAGGATGGCCTCAAAATCTCAGTGATTCTCTGCCTTGGCTTCCCCAGTAGTGACATCACAGGGGTACCCATCAGGTGCGGCTTGCAAATGGATTCTGGAATCTCCACCTTAGGACTTTACCAAGTGTGAAAATAATTTTTTTTTAAATTGGTACCGGGGATCGAACTCACGACCACGTGCTTGCAAAGCAGGCGCTTATGCTGCCGAGCTAAATCCCCAGCCCCGGAAGTAATTTTTTCGTTAACAATGTGATCTAATTCATTTACCCTCATCAGCAGCCCATCAGTAACCTAAGTAACCCTGTTTACATGGGGAGGAAGGGTGGCCTTGGGGACCCCAGCTATTGCCACCCTAGCAGTTAATACTCAGTGGGTACCAGCTTCCCTGGGTGCCAGGGGGTTGCGCCAGCCCACCATCTAGAGTACTAGCGCAGCACAGAAAGAAATTCTGACCTTTTGCCTGCCACCCCTGGGGGATACTGTCTGGCGGCTGGCGGCTGGCGGCAGCCTGAGCCCAGCAGAAGGCCCGCGCAACAGGACGCCGTCTCCTAGCAACCCCACGGCGGTCACGTGCTCGCCCGAGTCACCTGGCGCAGAGCCCAGCAGGCGTTGGAGCCTGCGCGGCGGGACAGCGGGCGAGGCGGGGCGAGCAAGTTTGTTCCCCGAGTTTGGATCCCCGAGGTCTCTGCGGCGGTTGCGCCGGTGCCCTCCGCAGGGGTCGGGATGGAGCTTCCGGCCGTGAACCTCAAGGTGGCGGGGCGGGACGGAGGTCATCGGGGGAGGGCGCTGGGCTCTGTCTCTTAGAAGAAGGTGGGAGGGCAGAGATCTGGGAAAGCGGGGGGGGGGGGAAGCTCCCCAGGTGTGGAGGAGGTGGGGGGGGTGCGCGCGAGCCAGGCCTGGCGTGGCCCGGCAGGGAAGACCCAGCGTGGACACACCCAGCCGTGCGCGCCCTGGCAGCTGGAGCACCCTAGGACTGCGCTGGCCCACACCTCGAGGCGGGGGAGGGGAGGGGAGAGGAGGGGAGGGCGGGGCGGGCAGGTCTCCTCCCCACCCACCTCTCCCAGCGGCGGGGCCAGGCCTTTCCCGGGAGTCCACACGGGATGGGGCTTCCACCTTGAGTTTAGACGGATTGAGAAAATCGCGTGTTCGCCAACACTGGGTGGCACGCAGTGCACGAGTCCGGTGTCCGAGTGCATTGGGGAAAAGCGCGAATGCGGCAGACGTTACTTAAAAGCAGAAAGCCCGACTTTGTCCTCACGCTGCGGGCTTCCAGGGCTGTCTACACTTCTGGCCCGGCGCCCAGCTCGGTCCCTGTATCGTTGTTTTTGCACCCGAGGGGCTGGAGACTTCTCTTTGGCGGGGGAGGGTGTGGACCTTGGGTTCAGCTAATCATTTCGGGTCTTGGTGCGGCTCCTTTAAGACTCTTATCTAGCCTAACGTGGTGGCGCACGCCTGTTATCCCAGCGCTGGGGAGTTCGGGGCCAGCCTGCACTACATAGGAGACCCTGTCTTAAAAAAAAAAAAAAAAGATTGTCCACCCTTTTCCTCTTGAGTGATTTGGCGGAATCATCAGCCTGATGCTTAAATGAGTTGCTACACACGGCCTGGGGCCTGGGCTGCAGCTTGCGCAAGGCGGGTTTCCTGTCTTAATCACCCCACTTGCCTTCCTGAGGCGTTGGTCAGCAACTGGGGAGCGATGACCCGGCCACCGAATGAGCATGAGGAGAAGTTTGTTTTGGACAGCTGGTCCTGTAATCGCTGCGGTCTGGGAGGCTGAGACAGGATGATTGCAAGTTTGAGCCGTGTCTGGGCAGTTAAGTGATTTGGGGAGACACTGGCTCAAAAAAATAACTCGCTAGATATGGTGGCACATGCGTGTGATCTGAGGCTGGGCAGGAAGATCACACTTCAAATTCAAGGCAGGCCTGGGCTACATAATGAAACCTTGTCTCAAAAAAGAAAAAAAAAAAAACATTAAAATTAGGCTGGGATATGGCTCAATGCAAGGGCCCTGCATTCAGTCCCAAGTAATGTTAAAGGGGGAAAAAAAATTACTGGTTCAGGTAGCTCAAGCCTAAGAAGGAAAGGATTTGAGCCACTAGGGATTTGCCTAAACTAGATGCCGAGAGAAGACCAAGGGGCAGAGTTACGGGCACTGGGGGGAGAAGGGGGTGGCACCTGTGTAGGAGGCCTGAGCAGTGTCAGGTCACTGACCGAATCACAGCCCCACTGGGAACCCTGTCTCTTTACAGAGACAGGCAAGCAGGTTACCGAGGGCCCGGCCAGTGGCGGAGTCAGGGTTTGAATCCACAGGGATCCAACACCAGTGCTGTGGGGTTTCCCGGGACCAGGTTAGTGGGGGCTGATCTCAGCCTCCGGTGTTAGGGGTTTACAGGGCTCAGAAAGAACTCTAGGGCTGTAAAGTCCCACATCCACCCGCGTCCCAGTCACTGTCAGATGCCCGAGTGCTGGAGGCTGAGTGGCCGGAGTTGCCAGATGACACACAGGGAATCCAGGTGAATTTGGACTTCATGTTAGCAGGAGGCTTGCCTGATGCCTCCGGCAGTATTGGGGTGCAAAGGAATGCTTGGTGACCTGATGTGGTCACAGAATGGACTGTGGATGCGGCTGCTGACTCAGCGCCTGCTCACAAGCATCTAAAGAGCAGCTGGGTCCCCCTCCCACTCGGGCTTCACCCCCACTCACCCTCTGCCAGTCCTTGGGCAATGGCTGAGTCCTACCTTGGCCACCTCAGCCAGGAGGAGTGCAGGCTCAGCTGCCCAGGCCCTTTGCACAAAGGCCAGACTGAGCAAGCTAGTTGTGCATGTGCTGTGCCACACCTAGGAAGGGCTGGGCTAGAGTTCGGGATGGGGAAGTCAAAGGCTGCAAAGCACGAGGGATGTGAGGACCACTCTGTCCTGCAAGCCACCTCTATGGTGCAGGACCCTGCCCCGCCCCACCCCAAAAAAAGAAAGAAAATTTATTGGCGAGTGGGAATAGCTCCTGAGAGACAGGAGGGGCCCAGAGTGCCAATGAGCTCACTTCTCTGAGAAAGTTTCATAGAGTAAAATCACTAGTGGTACAATGGGCGGGGTCAAATAATAATCAACCAATAAAATCACAAGTATAGCCACTGGGCTAACACTGGCCAATAGTAGCAAGGCCATTAGATGACATCATTAATCCTGGACAATAATCTGGAGTCTCAGTGGGTGGGAGAGGATGGCCCACCCTTAAGGAGATAATGGTTTGTTTTTATGGCAAATCTCAAAAGACCAGAACCAATAATCTCAAACTGCTTTAGGGAAGTATGTAAATTGGCCTTGTGACTTTAATTTTCCACTGCCTCCAGCCAGCTTTTGATGTGTCCTCACCCTCTGCACTGATTGCCTGGAGGGCCCAGTCCTGTTTGACTGCCCAGAATATTTCTAGCTCGGTTAGCTGTGTGGAATAACTAGCCCCGAAGGTCATAGAGCCTGAAGAGACCAAGAGACCCCAGGGTTCACCACGCATGGCCCTGCCTCACCTCTCAGTGTCCTGGGGAGGTCTCCACACAGTGGCACTGAACAGGTGATGATCTGAGGGTTCACCTTTGATCCATCTAGGAATGGCATGGGGCTCCTGCTGGACTTGTAGTGGCAAACAGGGTTTAAGTCCTTTCCCTTCAAGTGCCCAGACGTTTGTACGGAACTGGCTTGGAGAGAGGTTACCCTCCTTTGCAAAGATGGGCTGAGGCAGGTGAAGGGTAGTCATCCATGTTTTTTGTTTTGTTTTGTTTTGTGTTTTTGAAACAGTCTTACTATGAAGTTTAGGCTGGCCTTGCTTGTAGCTGAGGCTGATCTCAAACTCAGAGATCCTCCTGCCTCAGCCTCTGGGGGTGCTGGAATTACAGGTTTGTGTCACCACATCTGGCTTTGTTTTTTTGTTTTAATTCCTTTTTTTTTTTTTTTTTTTTTTTTTTTTTTGTCTTTTTTGAGACGGGGTCTCGCTATGCAGTTCAGGCTGGCCTTGAGCTCACTTTGTAGCCCAGGCTGGTCTCAAACTCACAATGATCCCCCCACCTCAGCCTCCCAAGTGCTGGGATTACAGGCGTGAGCCACCACGCCCGGCTCTGTTTTAATTCAAACATGGCTTGGGTTTCCTCTCTGATTTAGGAAATATCAGTGATAAATCTCAAAATTCAGTGGATGAATGTGGATTGGCCAGGACTTGCAGGCCAGGAAAGGCTGTTGGTGCAGACCTAGTGTGTGCACAGCCTGGGTAGAGGAGGCCAGAGCTGGAAGTGACACTGTCTCTCCAAAAGGCACCAACTTGGGAAGCGCCCGTGTGGGTTTTCCAGCAGAATGGGTGGTGTGAGCTTCTCACAGTGCAGTGAGCTCCCAGGGCCACCAGTGTAGACCCAGGGGCTGTGGTTAGTTACTCTTAAGATAAAGACCTGATGGCCCGGCTTCCTGTCCCATCCTCCTCCCCTCCCCTGTGTTCTTCCGCTGCAGCCTTGTGGGCTGCTCTAGTCTCTAGAACGTTCCATGCTCCCATCTGCCACGGAGTCTGTCTCTGCTTCCTGTCCTGGGTAGCACCCTGCTTACCCCCTTCATCTCGGCCTGTCACCTCTTAGAGGTGACAGGTGTCACCCCCGCTCCCCCCCCACACACAGTGAGGTCCCTTTCCAGCAGGATGGGGGTCTCAATGGGCCCCACTAGGAGGTGTCCCGGGAGTGTCCATCCCGCAAACCTGAAGTGGCAGCTCCATCTACACTCCTTGGAGCTCAGGTACCCATGATGCTATGGAAAACAGTAAGGACTGAAAAAAACTCAGCACCCCTTCAGTCATTTCTCATACACCCCTAGGAAAAGAAACCCATGGGAGACTAAGCCTCTCCTTGCCTCAGTTTCCCTATCTTTACAGTGGGAGGAGGCCTGTGGCCAAACAACCCAGCCTAGGTTTGAATCCTGGCTTTGCCTCTGACCAGCGGCCGATCTGAGTCTCAGTTTTCCAGGCTGTAAAGTGGGTATAACACCACCTCAGAGAACTGTCTGGATGATGCATGTTTGAATATAGAAAACACTCAGCGTGGAGCTCTGTGCTCCGTAATAAATGATAGCAAAGGGCTGCTGGGTGCCAGGCACACAGACCTTCCCTGTTCAGGGCCCAGGAAGCCCCGTAGAGTTGGACACTTGGGGGTTTCTGGGATTTTTTTTTTTTTTTTTTTTTTTTTTTTTTTGTCATTTTAAGACAAGTTTTGACTCTGCGGTTCAGGCTGGCCATGAGTTTACTTTGTAGCCCAGGCTGATCTCAAACTCCAAACAAGCCTCCTGCCTCCTGCCTCCTGTCCTGAGTGCTGGGATTACAGGCATGTACCACCATGCCCAGCTGTTTCTGGGATCTGCCCAATCTCCCACCCCTGGAAGAGGAATTTCTTGTGGACATGGAGCTGTCCGTGGCCAGCTTCAGGTCCTTGCTTTTCTAATAATGAAAACTTAAACTAAAGCCCAAATCCTCAGGGTGAAGAGAGTCATTTGGAAAGGTAGAGGGCAGATAGGAAAAGGGGCACACTCTGATGCAGGGGTTCAGACTCCCCAGCTTTTTTGGGATCAGCTGGTGGGTGAGGTCCTGGTGGCCTGGCTCTGGCATCCTGTGGCTGAGGGGTGTCCTTACTCCCAGGGAAGGATCCTTTGTGTGAAAAGGCCCCGTCAGATGGGGCCCTGCCCCTCCAGGGCACCCTTGCTGAGGGCAGCAGTCAGAGGGGGTGTGGTTGGATGTGCCTAGAAATTCCCTGGCTGTCCAGGAGTCTTCGATCTTGAAGGAGGTGAGATTATTGGAGTCAGGGCTGATCCCCACCTTTCAGGTGCTCCCCGAGTGGTTAGCAGAGCTGAGGAAGATTTGACCCAAGGTTTACCGTAGTAAGGACACAAAATGAAGATCATGCTTCATTCTGCTTTCCGTTACCGACTGGACAGCTGCAGGCCAAGTGGAGAGTCGTGGTTCATAGCTAAAGCTGCCATTAGTCCCTGGCTGGCCCAGGAGAAAACGCGTATCATGCTTTTCCTGGGCTGGAGGCTGAGCCTCCTGGGTACAGGCCAGGGGCCCAGGCTTGGGAATTAGATATGACTTTGAATTCTAGTTTTCCCTTTCACTGTCTGTGGAATGTGCATCAACTTTATTTCCCGCTCATCTGTAAAATGGGAGTGGTAGAAGTGTGTGGCCATGCGGGGGCCTCAGTGTGCCCAGGGCCTGGCATACACATAGTAGGTGCACAGTGACCGCTCCTCGCCTGTCACCCCATCCTGCAAACCCCTAAGAGTGCAGAGGGCAGTGAAGGCACGCAGTATTGAAGAGACGCCCAGGAGGATTTCTTTTTGCTGCACAGAAGGCAGGCCAAGATGTTGCCCCGCAGAAAAGCCTGGGGACCCTCACAGCCCTGGCCTGAAACCCTGGCTCCCTCCTCACTGTCCCCCTGGCCACTGTACCTGCCTTCCTTCCATTGCCCACAGTGCCCCAGCTCCAGTGTCCCAGTCTTAACCCAAGTGTCCTCCACGCTTCCGTTTCCCAGATTCCAGAGCAGATCCCCCAAAGGGCCTTGGATCAGGGCGGGAGGGAAAGTGGCAGCCCCGCGTGGCCCACGCGTCCCCCACCTCCTCCACCACCGCAGGCCCTTGCTTTCTCTGAGAGACTTAGAGGCCCCTGCAGGTGCCACGCAGGGAGGGGTGACCTGTATTTTTTGGCTTTAAAACCACCACCACCAGGGTCACATTGACAGAACTGTCTCTTTGTATCGCAGGTGATTCTCCTGGTTCACTGGCTGCTGACAACCTGGTGAGTACTGCACACACACGTACCCCAGCTCTGGGCCGTGTCCCCAGAGCCAGCCTTGCTCAATCTGGGCTAGCCTGGTCAGCACTGCCCTGCTGTGTTCTAGCTGGGCCATTTTGGGCCAGCCCCTCTGCCTGTCAGGACTGGATCCCATCTACCAAGGGATTGGCACCATGAGTCCCAGGCTCCGGGAGGCGAGGCTTGGAGGTGCATTCCCTTGTGTTGTGTCTGTGGCACTTCTGGGGAGAACTCTCTGCCAGACCAGGGCTGGACCTGTGTGCCAGACCTGTGTGCCTTCTGCAGATTTTGAAGCACTTTGGACATATTAACTGCTGTAACAGCAGGATTAAAATACAGATTTCTCAGGCCCAACCCCTTTAAGATCAAAAGATGGGCAGTGGATTTAGAGATTAATTAGGCTACAGTGACTGCCCCTAGGGTCTCTTGCATATTACAGCTGTGAAGCTAAGCACACATAGCGGGAGTAAAGTAGTCAAGGGTTTGGGGGTCCGGGACTTGCCCAAGGCACTGGATCCTGTCCCCGGTGCTGCAAAAAGTAAAAAACAACAAAACAAAGTAAAACAAAAAGCTGCCTGGCCAGATTGTGACTGCCAGCCCTGTCACAGAACTGTGTGATTTGGGGCAGGTTACTGCCCACCTGGACCTCTGAGCCTCCTTCCTGGAGTCCCCGTTAACAGAAAGGAACATGAATGAGTGAATTCTAAGCGCGTAGGGTCGTGCAGCTGTTAACTTTCATTTCCGTCGCACTAACCAGCAACCACAGCCTACAGTGGCACCCTGAAGGCAAAGCAGGCCGGGTCTCGGGATTACCAGGAGGGGAGGTCAGTGCCAGCCAAAGGGCTGTGATCAGGGAAGCCACACTTAACCTGGGTCTCCGAGAGAAGGGGTTTGAGTTATATTTGAGCCGAGGCTAAAGAGAACAAAAGGCCAAGCATTCAGAGCAGAGCACACTGGGCAGTGGCTGGGAGGTAAGCAGGAGTGGGGTTACATCAGCTGGATCCCCCAGAGAGTGTAGATTATTAAAGTCTGTCAGAGAACTGGTGGACGGGCAGGAGCCTCAGGTTTATACACTGCTATTCCTGGAGCAGCCTGTAGGGGGCAGGAGTAGCAGCAAGGAGAACTATGGGGTGGCTGTGTCCGCTGCTCAGGCAAAAGAATTGGGAGGTGGAGCCAGGGGGATTTGCCACCTCCCCAGCCCAGTGGCCTCCCAGACTATGTTCTGTCCTCAGAGAGACCTGAGACCTGCAGCCAGAGGGAGGTGACCTGCCAGTTGGTGGCCGCTTCACTGATGGTGGTTGCTGCTGCTTCCTGCAGGGGCAGCATTGTCTTTGGGGGCCCCTATTCCTGGGCCAACTTCACCATCCTGGCCTTGGGCGTGTGGGCCGTGGCGCAGCGGGACTCGGTCGACGCAATAAGCATGGTGAGCGGGCCCGGGGTGAGCTGTGGTCACGGCTCTGCCCCCGTTGTCTCTCTCCTCCCTGTGCCCCCCACACTTCCATCTTCGGGAATCTTCTATGGCATCCCGTGGATGTGTCAGGTTGCTGGGCCCCTGGCTTAGAGAACCCCCATCTATTGCCTTCCCCAAGTCCAGCAGGTGTTAAACGGGGCCCCAACAGTGCCCAGACTGACCACTTCCCACAGGGGTCTGACCCGCACCAGGGCCTCTCTTTTAGAGAGTAGAGGGTGTGACGGGAGACTTAGCCAAGCGGGAGCCCCACTGCTTCAAGAAATCTGAGTTGGTACTACCCATGGGGCTCCCCGCAGCCAGCACGAGCTCCTCTTGCCAGGAAGCTGCTGCTGGGCGGGGCAGAAAAGGGGATTTCCTTGTGGTGGAGACAGATCGGATGAACCCCAGGGGACCTTAGCACATGGAGATTCTGGAACCAAGTCCTAGCCCCTGGGTGACAGCAGGCAGATGGGGTACACTCAGGGAAACAGGCCTTGGCCCCGGTACCCCACTGATAGCCCTGCAGCCCCTCCCCACCCAGCAAGCCCTAAGGATGCGGGTGTGTCGGGTGGTGATCCCCCAGAGTGGGATGGGGTATCACTGCCCAAAAACTCACAGCACGGGGTCTTGCAGTTTCTGGGGGGCTTGCTGGCCACCATCTTGCTGGACATCATCCACATCAGCATCTTCTACCAATGGAACGTGGTCTCCGCCACGGGCCGCTTCAGCGCCGGCATGGCCATCCTCAGCCTGCTGCTCAAGCCCCTCTCCTGCTTCCTCGTGCACCACATGTACCGGGAGCGTGGGGGCGAGCTCCACTTCCACTCTGGTGAGGCCCCCAGCTCCCCACTCCTGGCTCCCCCACCACCAGGGCTCAAGGCTCAGGTGGGAGTGTGACATGGGTGCAGTGGTCCTCTGGTCCTCGGGTCTGGTGTGACCTTTCCAGTGTGGCTCCGGTGTGATCAGTTCCCACGGGCTCCAGGACAGCTTCTGCCCTCTGTCCCCTCCTGAGCCTGGCCCTTGAGTCCCTCCCTCCTGGACATTTCCTGTCTCACCCTGGGCATGCAAGGAGGTGGGTATGGACCTTTCACTTCCGGGGAGACAGGCCTAGCGGGGGGCTGTGACAGCCTGGAGGAGCCCAGAGCAAGGGCAGAGCGGCCTGTAAGCACCATCCTCAGCGCCGCCGGACCTGTCTTATGAGGAAATTGAGGCCCGCAGCCTCTGGGGTCTTGTTTGGGGTCCCTGCGCAGAGGCATAGAGGGGGTGACAGGAGTGAGACACACCATAGGGATGGAGGTTGGGACACTGGTGTTGTGAGTCCCAGGGTCCTCAGCCCTTGCCTTCCTCACCTGTAAAGTGGGGACAGCAAAAGCAGCTGTACCTCAGGGACACAGGAGGACTGCCGGACGATGCAGGGGGGCGGAGGCCGGGTCTGCTGGGGCTGAGTCGAATGTGCCCAGCCCTCACCCCACATTTCCCACTTCTTCCTACCCACCCCACCCCCGACTCCCAGACTTCCTCGGGCCTTCTCAGGAGCGCAGTGCCTACCAGACGATCGACTCCACGGCGGAGCCCGCAGAACCTGTCTCCGGCTTCGAGCCCAGGGGCCCGGACGCCAGAGGATACTGAAGCCAGCCTCCTGCCCTGGCCCCCTTGGCCACATCACAGGCCTGGTGTCTGGGAGGTCCTGGGGACACACCTTTTACTGGACCTAAAATGAGTTATCTTTCCCCATTTCAAGGGTTGGGGTTGCTGAGTCTTGTCTGAGGGGCCATGGCCGCCCAGTCCCACAAAGTCGTCTGTCCTCACTCTCTGAGGCCTGCTGTCCCTCCAAAGCACCCCACTGGCCCTCATCCTGGATCTTTTTTGTTACCTCCCACCCCAAAATTGCACTGTGCAGGCCTCAGGCCCAGTTGAGCATGGCCAGGGGTGGCTAGGATGACTACTTCCTGGACCTGCCCCCAAGCTCTGAGAGCTGCAGGTCATGCCCAGCTCCTCGAGCAGCTGGCATGGGAGTAAGGTCCCCATGCTTCTCACTGCCTGGCCACTCGGGGCCTGGGGCCTGGGCCTGGACTCCAGGGGACCTGCCACGGCCTGTGGCTGCCAGTCTTGGTACCATGGCATTAAAGTTCGTGGATTCTGGGACTGGACTGTGTTCTGAGCCATGTTTTATATTCCAGCTGGGTGGATGCCTAGTTGGCCATTCCTGGGACCATTTGTCTTCTGAGTCCCCAGGAGCAGCCCCGACCATCCAAACTGCCGGGTGAGTCTGATGTGGCCACAGAAAGCAGGGGCTCCCTCTGGGCCTGCCTTGTCACCGGTGCCCAGCAGAGGATGGCATGGTCAGTGTGGCCCATGTGCGTCCGCCCTCTGACTCAGCTCCTTAGGCACAGAGCTGTCATTAGCAGGCAGGAGACAGGCCCCGGTTGCAAAGCCAAGCCCTGATGTTTTCTCTCCTTGACTTTCTTGATCATTAGCTATAGATAAGACCCAAAGGAAGCTGGGCATGGTGTCACACGCCTGTAATCCCAGCATTTGGAAGGCTGAGGCAGGAGGATCTGCAAGTTCAAAACCAGCCTGAGGTACATACTGAGCTCAAGGCCAGCCTTAACTGTACAGCAAGACCCTGTCTTAAAAACAAACCAAAAAAAAAAAATCCATGTGATCTTACGATTTTCAGCTTTAGCTTTAAAGGACAGAGCCCCGGGGCTGGGGGTTTAGCTCAGCGGCATAAGCGCCTGCCTTGGAAGCAGGCAGTCGTGAGTTCGATCCCCGGTACCGATAAAAAGGAAAAAGACAAAAAAAAAAAAAAAAAAGGACAGAGCCCCTTCTGATGCGCCACTAAGGTCCAGGCCCCATGTAAAGTCCAGACCATGGTTGAGGGGTTAGAAGAATCTCAGGGTCTCCAACTAAGTGGAGCCACCTGCTGGAGTACCCAGGGACGACCTCGTCTGAATTAGGTGAACACAGCCCGTTTTATTTGCACAAGAACAGTGACCTCAGGAAAAAGGAAAACATATTCCTTGAAAGACACAGTCTTTTGGGTGCGAACCTGAGGCCTCTGTCAGCGCCTGCCCAGCTTCCGGTTCGGAAGTGCATTCTTGCTCCCTCTGAAAATCTGTTTTGCAATAAATGCTGCCTACTCTGTGCTACGGGCTGTGTGTGTCGTCTGTGATCTGTCCTCAAACACGGAAAGTATAGGGTGTGTCGCCAGGTCCTCGTGGCTTTAGGACTTGGCTGGGTTTGGACCCCATTCCCAGTAACAAGGTAACCTGGCTTCGTGTTTGAGTCTTGCTGTGCTGTTGGGAGCCGTGCTCCTTCCCTGTCTCCTAGAAAAGGCTCTCACTACTCAGAGGTGAGGCAGGTTCAGGATCAGGTGGACCTGGCTGGGATCGATCCCCAAACATAGCATTGCTCTCACAGTGGCATTGCTCCCTGAGCCGGTGGGGATGTGCTGGGGCCCCACAGCTGCCTCCTGTCCTTAACCTCCTCCTTGGGTCCCAGGGCTAAGGTCCACCCCACAAGGGCTGACTGGCCCATTGGCCATTGTCCCTCTGTCCCCTCGCCCCCCTGCCTGGGCTTCCTAGGGGTGCAGCCCCACCTTCTCCTGTAGCCATCTGTCAATCAGATGAGGCTGAGTAGCTGGCAGGTATCAGGCAAGGGCCTGGGGACAAAGTGGGACCCTTGGAGTCACCTTATCAGGAAGGCAGAGGCTGATAGAAGAGCCTGGGGAAGGGACATAGCCCCTGGGCGTAGAGGCCAGGAGGCTGCAGTTAGGGACAGCTGGACACTGCCTCACCGCTAGGAGCCTCTGTCTCCAGTGTGGGACCCATCCATCAAGCAGTTCCGTGAGCAGAGCTGCCCTGTTGGAATCTGCACTGCTCCCTGGATGTGACAAGCAGCCCCCAGTGACCCTCACAGCAGGCTGTTGGTGGACCATGCAGGGTTTGTCCTCAAGGGTCAGATCAGAAGGCCATAGGCCAAGTCCAGGACTGCAGCAGCCTTGAGAGAGGAGGTTTGTGGCCCTGGGGAGAAGGACCCACACTCAAGTCAGTTTCTTTGGGTTTTAGTACCAGAGATCAAATTCATGACCTTGCCCCAGCCAGGCAGGTGCTATGCGGCTGATGTACAACCCCGGGCCTCTCAAGGCCATTTTTGTTATAGATTCTGGGCACAAAGAGGCCTACAGAGTCTGTATGCCCATGTGAGGAACACATCAGGCTTCAGAGAGACTGAAATACGGGGTCCAGTTGACCCATCCAACCATCTGTTCTCCTGTTACCAGTTCTATCAAATCTACACTGAAAAGACTCAAATAGGTCTGGAAGTAAAGTCCACTCTTTGTCCCATATCCCCAGGGCTCCGGGATGTCAGGTGTCTGGGTGCTTGGTTGTAGCGTGCACACCTGTAAGTCCAGGGACCCTCTGCAGAGCCCACGGGTTATCCTAAAGACATCATCATCCTTGAGACAGAAGCTTGGAGCTTGAAGGGAACTTAGAGCCTAGCAGTTTTAGAAATCTATTTCTTTTTTTTTTTCAGTACTGGGGATCGAAATCATGACCACCTGCTTGCAAGGCAGGTGTTTATGCCGCTGAGCTAAATCCCCAGCCCCTAAAAATCTATTTCGAACTCCCTCCAATATTCTATCCATTAACTACCCAGGATGTATGAGCGCTGGTCCCACCCACAGCGTACTGTGCCTCCTAAGGCTCCCTGGTACAAGGTTAAAAACTGATGTCTTTCACAGGCCCAGAAGGAAGATGTTCCAGGCGGAGGACTGAGATGCATTAAAGAAACCCTAAGTGTGTGGTTTAGCCTCCAGCACACTGATGATAGCACCCAGATCAGGAGGAGCTGAACAAGGCCAAAGTGTTCTGAACCCTTTTTTTTTGTCAGAAAGGAGAGAAATGCTGAACTAACCTTAACCTTTGTTAAATACATAAAACTATCTCAGGTACCCACTGAAAAATGTGGGAGCTGGGCATGGTGGTGCACTCCTGTAATCTCAGCACTCTGCAAGTTGAGGCAGGAGGATTGTTGTGAGTTTGAGACCAGCTTGGGCTACAAAGTGAGTTCAAGGTCAGTCTGAATTGCAACAGCAAGACTGTCTAGGGGCTGGAGATTTAGCTCAGCAGCATAAGCGCCTGCCTTGCAAGCAGGCAGTTGTGAGTTCGATCCCTGGTACCAATAAAAACGAAAAAGACAAAAAAAAAAAAAAAAAAAAAAAGACTGTCTCAAAAAGACCAAAAACAAAACAAACAAAATTTAAAAGGTGGGGGCCAGGGATTTAGCTCAGCTGCATAAGCGCTTGCAAAGTGCACAGGCGTGAGTTCGATCCTGTGTACCACAAAAAAAAAGAGAGAGAGAGACGGATCTCTCTCATAAATGAAAAAAGGTAAAGTTAACAAAACAGGCCGTCCTCGGAAATCGTACGGCATTAGATAAAAAAAAATTTCTTAAAATGTGGATGTGTGAAGGTCCTGGGTTCAATCTCCGAGAGAAGAGAGAGCGGGGAGCGGGGACGGGGGAAGGGAGACGGAGCCAGGAGCAGGGCAGGGCTCAAATGCTGCAGGTTTGCAGCCTTGAGTAAAGCGTTAGGCCACACTGACAGCACCGCGAGGCGTGGGCAGGGTCCGCTCCCAAAGGGAGGGTCCTGAGGCCCGGAGAAGACGCAGTAAATTTGTTCCTGGCCAGGCGCCTCCAAACCAGACGCGTAGGCCGGGGACACAGCTCAGCCGCACGGCGCCCACCTGGCGAGCACCAGGCTGTGAGTTCGATCCCCAGTACAAAAAAAAGGGGGGGGAGGGTTTAGAACCAGACGCGCACAAGCTCTGGATCTGAACCTGGTGCAGAGGACCCGGCGATCCAGCGGCCAACCCTTGGTGTCAGGGGACCGAGATCCAACCTCCAGCCTAGGAAGGGCTGGGGGAGGGGAGGGGCGGGGCCGGGCGCGGGTGGGCGGGGCCAGTACCTCCTGGGGTCGTTAGCGGTCCCCTGCCGAGGTCCCCTTCTAGGTCAGCCCCACCTGGGCGAGAAGTACGGGAGGAAAACTGAAGCACTCGAAGGCAGGTCCAGAGGGAGGCCCAGGAGGGCAGGAAACAGTCGCAAGCTGTTCTGGGGGGAAGGGGTGGGAGGTCCAGTGACGTTCAGTGGAGCCGGAGGGTGGCTGGCAGGAAGGCTGAGGAGCAGGCGACAGTGAGCCCAGGCGCTGTGTGGGAAGGGCTTGAGCTGCCTCTGCTCAACTTTGGCAAGAAAGTGGGAGGGAGGTGACAGCTTTGAGTCTTTTCTGACAGTGGGGTACTGAGTCTTGGGGTCGACCTGCAGGCCAGATGACAGAACGCCTGCTAAAGACTGCACTTTGAGGTGGGACTGATAGGTAGGAGGAGATGGGACAGAGTACCAAGGCAGAGGCACAGCAAGTGCAAAGGGCCTGGGGTGGGAGCATGTGTGGGGAGACATAGCCAGGATGCTGGCTGTTTGGAGCAGAGTGAGGAGTGGGGGGAGAGTGAGTGAGGTCCCTCAGGAAAGGCAGCCAGGTCAGGGGGGTGGGACCAGCAAGCTGGTGTCTGCCTTTGCCGTTTGAAGTGAACAGGCACCGGCGAGTCAGGGCAGCTCTAGGGTTTTCTCTGAGCCACCTAAGAAAAGCCTGCAGCTGCCCTTCTTGGAGCAGGGGGCCGCCCAGCTGGGAAAGAGCTGCTTTTGGGGCATCCAGTATTGGGCCCCCTAATGCTGAGATTACGCACTGGGCACCTGGGAGACCATGTGGAGAAGACGCAGGGTCCACCCTGGCTTGGTCTGCAGGTCAGCAGAGAGGTCTGTCCCAGCTGGGGCAGCAGCGGGACTGCGCTGGAATCCCTGGAGGCACTGCGGGGTCTGGAGTCTCGGGGAACTGCCCGTGGATGGTGATGTCCCTGAGAGTCAGGACTGGCTTGTGGAGGAGAAAGTAACAGTGAACCGAGAACTGAGCACTTCAGGTTGTAGAGCAGAGCCCCGATTTCTCCACACCTGCCCACCCTCCCCCCACCGCGGTGTGCCAGGCAGGCACTCACCTCCGAGCCACACCCCAGCCCAGCCCTCTGACTACCAGGCAGGACCAGCTGCCCCAGTCCTTGGAGGCCCATGGAGCCGAGACCTGTCACCAGCCACAAGGAGAATGTGCCCCCGGGGCCTGCGGCTCCCTGGAGGCCAGGCAAGGGGCCCTGTGGGCCTGGGTGGGTGGGTTGGCAGTGCACCCTCCTCTTGTAATGGCCCTGCCTGAGATCTCCCAAATTCTAGAGACTGGCTTCCCAGGTTTGGCTGGGCCCAAGGGAGGGGTCTCTGGCCCTTGGTCTCTGGTCCTGGTGAGAGGTCAGGAAGAGGCAGGACAAAGCCGGGAGTAGTGGTTCATACCTGTAATCCTAGCACTCGGGAGGCTGAGGCAGGAGCATCATTGGGAGTTCGAAACCAGCCTGGGCTACAAAGTGAGCTCAAGGCCAGCCTGACCTGCACTGTGAGACCCCGTCTCAAAAACACACACACACAAAAAGGAAGAGGCAGGACAAATTCAAATTCACATCCAGTTTCTTTGTATTCTAGCTGCGTGACCATGAGGAAGTTCCTCAGCCCCTCAGCTTTATTTTGTATCCACAAAGGCAGTCGTTTTTATGACCCAGGCCGTGTGCTGAGAGCACCCCCGCACCCTACGCCAGCTCATCAGTTCCTTGAGCTCTTTGTGCTGGGAAGAACTCCGGGGAGGAGATCAGAGAAGGGCTCCAAGTCCCTCCTCCAAGTCCTGCAGAGCAGCCCATTTTTCCTTGTTTGCTGCAATTAGGTCTTGCCCAGCTGCTGCCTGCCATGGCCTCTGCCTAAACCGGAAATCAAGGAGTGACCCGTGATTCTTTGCCTTCCTTTGTTCCTCCTCCTCTTCTGCTTCTTTCTCCTTTTATTTATTTACTTTTTTGCAGTACTAGGGATTGAACCCAGGGCTTTTGCACTGAACCACATCCCCAGCCCTTTTTAAAAATTTTAAAATTCTTTTGGGGATATGGCTCAGAGGCAAAGCACCTGCCTGGCAAGCACAAGGTCTTAAGTTAAATTCCCAGCACCAAAAAAAAAAAAAAATTTTTTTTTTAAAATTCTGAGACAGGACCTCACTAAAACGCTAAATTTCCCAGACTTGTGATCGATCCTCCTGCCTCAGCCTCCCCAGAGTGTTAGGATTATAGGTGCCCCTTCTACATCCCCTGGCCCCATCTCCCAGCTCAGCAAAGTCTTCCCATATGCAGCCTTGACCCCAGCCACCCCTGATAGCTTCCCTGGTGGCTCCTGTGGCTTCTACCTCCAATGTCCATGCTCCAAGGAGTCCAGCTTTGTGTCCTATTCAGGTCCAAGACCCCTATTGTTGAAGTCCTGGCTCCTTCTGGCCTGGGACCCTGTCCCTCCCTGGCTCTGAGACCTGGACACCCCCATCCACCTGATCACTGACCATCTAGTCCTCTCCAGACCACAACCGTCTCTCCTCTCCACAGGGCAGCAAAGATGCCTGAGGACCCTGGGTGTCAGCCTGAGAAGTGGCCACGGTTCATGGGTGCCCGAGTACCAGGCTGCAAGGGGAGGCCCTGGCAACACCTGCTCCTCAGGAATAGTGCTGGGCCAGAAACCCCGCCCTGTCCAGTCCAACCTCGCCAGCCCTCGTCCCTGCCAGAGCCCAGCCCTGAGGGACAGGACAGGCTGGCTGGTGAATTCCAGCTCCCTGCAGCAGAGCAATGTGCAGCCCTGCACCCGGAGGCCACCTGGAAAGGAGCCTGCAGCCCAGCAGAGTAACCTGGGTCTCACCAGAGCCACCAACCCCCTTCCCCCAGGCAGCTTCAGAGCACTGGCTCCCCTGTCCCCCTGCCTGTGGCAGACACCCCCAGCTACAGACCCCAGGTCCACAGCCAGCTTTGCCCTGCCCCATGGGCACACATGGCCAGGCCCCCGATTGCTAGGTCGTCTGGGGAGCCAGACCTCTAGGCTCACAGGGGAGCCCCTCACTCTGGAGGACATGACTGTCCCTGCCCAGAGGGAGGCTCAGCACCCATCTCGTGCTGCCATGCATCAGCTGCTGGCCTCTGTGCGGCGCCTGGAGTGGCAGGCGGCCCATCTTGGGGGCCGGGCCTCCTGGAAGCCCCTGGGCCTAGCACAGCAGGGCCTCTGCCTGGGCAACAGTCCGGCCTTTCCTGCTCGCTCCTGGAACAGCAGGCCTGTTCTTGCCTCCTGCGATGAGAGGAGGAGACAACCCCATGGCCACAGGGAAATCACAGATCTCTGGGTGACTCAGGGGACCCACGCTGGTCACTCAGACTCTCAGGCACCCAATGAGCCAGGGTCGCCTGAGATCTCAATGGAGATGCGGGCAGAGCATTTCCATGACTCCGAGCGGGCCGTCCTACCTGCCCAGCCCCTCAGACCAGAAGATGAGGCGCCCCCAGGGCCCACCTATGGCTGGGGGGACAGGGGAGAGCCTGCTGTCTCTCAAGGATGGGGCAGCGGGGCAGCCTGGCCTGGCTCTGCAGCCTTCTCCAGTGTAGCCACAGCCAAGAGAGCCCTGCCCGGGCCGGAAGAAGCATGTACCCTGAAGGAGCCAGGAGAGAGGACAGCTTCCAGTCCCCCAGGAGTAGCCCTGGCAAGGAGGGGCATCTGCCAGGTGGAGCCCAGGGAGGCTGGGTGAGATGGGCTCTTGGCAGGGGGTTCCCTTCCCTCTTGGCCTGAGGGCTGTGTCTGCTCCTTTTGTTTGCCCAGAACAAGACCCAAGACAGTGTGGCCCCAGAAGAGTCCCCTGCGGCCAGGTGAAGGCATGGTCAGGTGCAGGGCTGGGGTGTGAGTGGTCCCTGGAAATGGTAAACAGGCTGCTGGATCGTGAGGTCCAAAGGGATTCTCTTGTCTGACATTTCCACCTCCAGCTGTGGGCCACAGGGAGGCTGCGCCAGGCTGCAGTGCCGACTCGGGGTTCCCCCTTGTGACTGCTGCAGAGGCCACGGCATGGGGCCAGCGGCCAGCCCCTCCCTGGGGCGGGAAACCAGCTCTGGTTTGACCAGCTCTGGTCCGTCCCCAGCCGGCAGCTGCTGTCAAGATGTCTCAGAGCCTGGATACGTGTGACGCGGAGGCAGCGGGCAGTGGCGGTGGCCGTGGCTCTGAGCCGCAGGCAGCTGTTGCGGGAGGGCTTCCGGGCCCTGCGCTGGACCCTGTGGCTCCGGGAGGCCTGGCTGGAGGTGGCGAGGAGGCGACATGAGAAGGCCTTGCTGGCCCAGACCTTCAGAGAGGTCAGCCCAGGGGGAGGTGCCGGAGCGTGGGTGTGTCAGGGAGGGGACCCTGGGATCCCTGACCAACAGCAGAATGTGCAGTTAAGAGTCCAGACTCAGGGGCTGGGGATTTAGCTCAGCGGCATAAGCACCTGCCTTGCAAGCAGGCAGTCATGAGTTCGATCCCTGGTACCCATAAAAAGGAAAAAGACAAAAAAAAAAAAAAAAAAAAAAAAGAATCCAGACTCCCTGACTCACTCTGCCTGAGTTCGAATCTTAACGCTGCCACTTTCCGGCTATGTGATCTTGGGCAAATTGGTTAGCCTCTCTCTGCCTTAGTCTCTTAATCTCTAAAATGAGATAGTAGCCAGGGGTTTACCTCAGTGGCCTACGTGCTTGCCTGGCAAGCACAGGGTCATCAGTCGATTCCTGGCACACAAAAAAAGAGAGAGAAATTAGGGGATATAACTCAGTGGCACAACGCCTGCCTGGAAGTCCTGAGTTCGATTCCTAGTACCCCCATACACATACAAAAAAGAAATAATAATAGTATGTGCCTCTATAGATTGTGAGATTAATAAAAGACTCAAATCCCTGAGCAGCATACAGCAAACCTTCTGCCACATAAGTGGTTGCTATTTTTTTAAAATTTTTATTTATTTATTTTTTTTGTACCAGGAATAGAACTCTTCATCTCTTGCTTGCCAAGCAAGCCCCTACACCAGAGCTAAATCCCTGGCCCCTTGTGGTTGCTATTTTTGCAGGGCATGGTGATACACATCATGAGGCTGAGGCAGGAAAACTGCCCGAAGTTTGAGGCCATTCTGGGCTCCATAGTGAATTTAAATCCACCCTGAATTACATAGTGAGTCTCTGTCTTAAAAAGAAAGAAAGAAGGGCTGAGGATTTAGCTCAGAAGCATAAGTGCCTGCCTGGCAAGCATGAGGTCATGAGTTCAATCCCCAGTACCGCAAAAAAAAAAAAAAAAAGAAAAAAAGAAAAAAGAAAAAGAAAGAAAGAAAATAAAACAAAACTGGTTGCTATTTTTTTATTTTTTACTAATGGCTCGCCAGCCAGGAATGATACATGGAAAGTGGGTGCCTTGTCCTGAGTTTTTTCCTCCCAAAGAAAGCCCTTCCTTGGGGCTGGAGATTTAGCTCAGTGGCATAAGCACCTGCCTTGCAAGCAGACAGTCGTGTTTGATCCCCGGTACCGTCTTCTTGGGACCCATCTCTCCATCCACTCACTCACGTCAAGGGGGCAGGGTAGTCTAATGGTTAAGGCGAGGCACTGGGGCCTGATGGGAGGGTTAGGGTCTCCCACCCTCCCCTGGTGCTCTCTTGGGGAGCACAAAGTGGCAGCTAATGCCCCCCCCCGCCCCGCTTCTGCCCCAACCCAGTGGAGATGCCTTGTGGTGCAGCAGACACAAGGGCGGCCCTACGTTCAGCCTGCGTCCAGACCCTGTGCTTCTTGGGGTGGCAAAGACCAAGTACCCCGCTGGGGAGGAGAAGCAGCGGGGCACGGCACCCCAAGAAGCAGGTAAGCTGGGTCCCCAGGGTGCGGCCTGGGCAGCTGGGGGCCTCCTACGCCTGCTTCCTGTGTTGCTTACAAGAGAATGGGGATGAGATGGCAGCTGTGGACAAAGATCTGCACAAAACTGTCCACCGCAGTGTAGTTTACACTGGAAAACACTGGCCACAGCGAGAGAGCACAGCGTAGCCTAATGCCGTGACCAGCTGGGCAGCCCGGCTGTGAGATGTTTATGAAATTAAAGCTTCCAGCTGGGCGTGGGGGCACACATCTGTAATCTCGGCACCAAGGAGGCAGAGGGAGAGCAGCCATGAGTCCAGGGCCAGCCTGGACTATGTAAATGAGTTCAGGGCTGAGGATTTAGCTCAGTGGCACAAGTGTCCGCCTGGCAAACTCGAGGTCATGAGTTCGGTCCCCAGCTGGCCCCGCCACGTGCTCCAGATCCCTCCCTCCCGGGCCCCTCAGGACCTGGTCTTCCTCAGGCAGTGGGGGCAAGGCTATGTGTCCCCCACCACACCACGATCTTTGAGGTCAGGGCCAAGCCAGCCTGCAGGGAGAGGTGGACAGAGCCACTGTCACACCCCTGGGGCCAAGGTCTGAGATCTGTCCACCCTGCGGTTCCTTCAGGACGCCCCATCCCAGAAGGGCACCCAGTGCCACCGTCTCCCCCCACAGGGCCCCGCAGCTTCCTCTAGGCCCACTGCTGAGGAACCTCAGGGCCTGAGAGGGAAAGAGGCCTCTCTCCCACCCCTCACTTATCTGCCTTCTGCAGGCAGAGGGACAGCACTCGATAGAGCCAGGCATGGGGGTGCACATCTGTAATCCCTGCACTCCGGGAGGCTGACTTAGGGGGATCACAAGTTTGAGCCCAGCCTGGACAATGTAGTGAGACCCTGCCAAAATTAAGAAACAGGCTAGGGATGTAGCTCAGTGCAAAGGCCCTGGGTTCAACTCCCAATACCACCTGCGCCCTGAAATATTCTAAACAGGTGTCTGGGGGTGCCGCTCAGCGGTAGAGTACTTATTGTCATGTTCAAGACCCTGGGCTCCGTCCCAGCCCCACAAAAAAAAAAAAAAAAAAGAGGAGAGAAAAGAAAGTGACCACAGAATCCTTCCCCAGAACAGCTCCTATGAGGGAGAATCAATGACCCGCTGGGGAGTGGGGTGGGGCTCAGGGTGCCGCAGAGGCTCTGCCTCAGGCTGGGATGCCCGGAGCTGGACTTTGTGCCCCCGAAGCCCAGGCAGCATCTGTCTCTGGGCCACTTCAGGGGCAGGCGCTTGAGGGAAGAAGAGGGAGCCTGGCCTCCTCCACTGAAACCTAGGCAGAGACCAGATGGCGGAGACCAGGAGCTGCAGCAGCTGGCAGGTGAGCCGGCGGGCGGGGTTCTGGCGACAGAGCCAGCCCAGGGAGGGTTTGAGGGGTCAGTGTTTCTGACTGTTTGCTGTGGCTCCTTTCCACCCCTGGTCTCATTTGTGGATGCCTGCCCATTGTACTGATGGGGAGCCGAGGCTCAGAGAGGTTAAGTGACCAGCTTGGTATGCACAGCATGAGAGGTGCACACCTTGCATTTGGGTCTTCTGATGCTCACGGGGGCCCACACCAGGCAGAGCCTGGCACCGGGACAGGGGAGCCCCAGGAGATGGGGCAGGCAGCAGCCCAGATGTCCCAGCCCTGCCCTCTACTCTCTCCCCCTCCCCACTCCAGCCTTCCTTCTGTGTCAGAAAAAGGACCTGGCCGGGAAGGGGCCCCTCGGGGAGGTCACTCCGAGGACACAAAGGACAGATGTAGCCCCCAGGGCTCCCCAGCCCAGGAGAGACTGGCTGCGCAGGTAGGAGAGGTGGATCCATCAGGTCCTGCTCCTTCTAGCAGGGCCATGACAGAAAGGCAGCTGACCCTGTTGAGCGTGAGGTCCACCTAAAGGCCAGGCTCTCTCACCTGTACCCGCGAGGGATTAGTGGCCACAGGATATGTGCAAAGGCGACCAGAGTCCAGGGCAGGGGAGCGGAAGCCCACAGAGCTGTACGTTTTTTTTCCATTCACTCCTTTATTTTTTTATACTGGCCTTGATGTGTCCAGAGGCCTCAGGGAGGAGCTGTGACTCCATCCTAGGAGCCAGAGGCCACCTGGAGGACTCCGCAAGGAAGGGGAGGTGTTTGGATTTGAGGCTGGAAAAGCATTGCTCTGGCTTCCCAAGTGGGAACTGACCAGAGGGACCAAGCTGAAGGCAGCCAGCCAGGCACCCCTGGGGGATGGCACTGTGGCCTGAGCAGGCGACAGGCCCTGTTCTCACAGCAGCCCATTTTATAGGGGAGACACTGAGGCTCGCCCCTGCCCAGAGAGTGTGCCTGGCCCATGGCAGAGGCTGCCCTCTCTCTGCTCTCCTAGGTGCTTCGGGGCCTGGCATCAGGTTGCACAAAGAAAGGCCCAGTGCCAGGACCACCTGGCTGACCGCTGCAGGAGGACGTTGAGGATGTGCCTGGGACAGTGGGTGCGGATGAAGCAGCTCCGAGCCTCAGATGGGGCGAAGGTGACCCAGCTGTCCCTCTGCCTGCAGAAGGCAGGTGAGTGAGGGATGGGGAGAGGGGCCTCTTTCCCTCTCAGACCCAAAAACCTTGTCACCCGAGGTTCCTCAGCAGTGGGCCTAGAGGAAGCTGCGGGGCCCTGTGCGGGGAGATGGTGGCACTGGATGCCCTTCTGGGATGGGGGTGTCCTGAAGGAACCCCAGGGTGGGCAGATCTCAGACCTTGGCCCCAGGGGTGTGACAGTGGCTCTGTCCACCTCTTCCCTGCTGGCTGGCTTGGCCCTGACCTCAAAGATCTTGGTGTGGTGGGGGACACACAGCCTTGCCCCCACTGCCTGAGGAAGACCGGGTCCTGAGGAGCCCGGGACTGAGAGGTTTGGAGCACGTGGGTGGGCCAGTGCCCAAGAGCAGCCCAAAGCTGAGTGAGGTGTGAGGAGGTGACCAGCTCCTCCGTTGCTGCGTCTCAGGGTACCGGGCTCTCCGAAGCTCAGCCCATGGCCTGGAGACGGTGGTGGCTACAATGTCCCTGCAGGGCGCCTGCCGGAGACTGGCCCTCCAACGGGTCCTGCTGCTCTGGAGAATGCGGTTGTCCCAGCACCAGCGGGCTAAGTAGGTATTTGGAAGCTTGGGCCCACAGTTGGCCTGGGGGCTCAGGGTTGGCTCCTTTGCAGGGCTTGGCCCACACTCCCTTCCCTTGCTTGTGCCCAGCAGATGCCTGCTGGGAGGTGGCAAAGGTCACTGAGGCGATGATGGGTCAGAGGGCAGCTGGGGCCTTGGGGGCTGCTGCAGGCAGGCTCTATCCAGAGGGGCTGCTGTAGGCGGGGCTCTATCCAGGTGGCCCGAACTACGGGAGCCATCCTGGCTCAGCTCCCCTGAGAGTGAGCCCCTGGGGCAAGAGCTCCATCTGTCTCTCCAGTACCCGGAGGGCGCCTGGCCCACTGTAGGCACAGAACAAATCCTGTAAACATTCCAGGGAAGGAGCCAGGGTGCAGAGCTCACATCCTGTCTGCCTCATTTGCCTCCAAGTCACGCTGTCAATCAGGAGCAAGAAAGTCACCCTAGCCAGGAGCGGTGGTGCACACCTGCAATCTCAGCACTCGGGAGGCTGAGGCAGGAGGATCATTTCAAGTTCCAGACCAGCCTGAGCTACAGAGTGAGCTCAGAGCCAGCCTGAACTGCATAGCGAGACCCTGTCTCAAAAAAAGAAAGACTTTGTCTCAAAATAAATACATTTTTAAAAGGGTCTGGGGATGTAGCTCACTGTGAAAACCCTAGGTTAACCCAGTACCCACTCCCCAAAAAAGAATTCTGTCCTCGGAAGCCACACACCTACCATCCATTGGGGACCCACGTCCCATGGCCCACACAGAGCCTCAGGCTTTTCATCACATCCAGGAACTCGAGCCATGAGACTCTTCAGAGTGTCACCTTCCCTCCCACAATCCCTCCTCTGCTCACTCCCTGCAGCAGGACAGGGCTGCCCATCAGAAACACCTTCCTTGGGCCCCTCTTCCTGTCTGTGGCTGAGTACATGCAAATGTCCTGGGTGGTTGTGAGTGTGGGCACTGGAGTCTGGGGTCCTTGAACCCAGGGCCCAGCTCACCCTGGTTAGTAACACGTCCCCCCCATCCCAGCAGGGGGGCAGTGATTGACGATCCGGTGGGGAGTCAGGGAGCTGCTATGCCCCAGTCCCTGGGATTGGGACCCTGGCAGTGGTGTGTCTGGAAGCCCCCAGTTCTCCCAGCGTGTGGCCAGTTCAGAGAGCAGGGGTGCAGGGCCTGTGCTGACCCCTGCCAGCTTGGCTGTCCCTGCTGGCCATGGCATGGTAGCCCTGGCCTGGCATCCCCGCCTCCACTCACCCTCCTCCACAGCTGCTTTTTCCAGGGCACCAGGGAGCAGACTCTGCGGCGCGTCCTGGGCTGCTGGCACCTGCGAGTGTGGAGTGTGGACACCCCATCAACCAGCCATGCAGCCACCTCGGCCCCAGAGCCACTGGACGATGGCATCCCAGGAGCATCGGCCTGGCCCGGTTGCAGTGCTCGCTGGTGCTCACTGGAAAAGGTGCAGGGCAGGGCTCGGGGATGGGGGGCCGTGGCTGGACAGGATGGGGACCCAGGCTCACTCTCCCTCCCCAGGACCCCGGAGCCCCCCACCTCCCGGGCACTCCCCCAGTGAGTGACCCGTGGGCTGCTGAGCGGCAGCAGCAGGACCAGCGCCTTCTGCCCTGGAGACGGGCGTGGGGCTCAGCAAGGCGGTGCCACAGCCTCCAGAGGCGGTAGAGACCCCAGCCCGGTGCTGCAGGGCCCTGCTCTCCTTGTCCCCTTCCCCATCACCCCTTGCCCTTCACAGCGGCAGCCCCTTGGGGTCTGCATCCCAGGGGCTTCCCTCTCCCACCCCTCCTGTGGAAAGGGTGGATGTGGGGTGAAGGTCTCATGTCTCTTGCAGAGGTCATGGCTGGGCTTGAGAGCAGCCTGCCTGGGCTCCGAGGTGGGGGACGGGTGGGCAGTTAGGTGGGGAGGGTCCTGGGAGGTCTGGGGAAGTCAAGGCAGGAGGATGGCACAGGCTAAGCGGAGTGGTGGGAAGGACCAACTGGTGGCTGAGCTCGGGACCCGGCAGTGGGGTTGGGAGTCCCTTCCTATCCCTAGTGCCTGGCATTTTGACCCCTGGTGGGGCCTTGGGTTGCTCCAGTCCAGCACTGCCCCCTTGATGGATGCAAGGTGAAGGGTCCCTGCTGCTGAGGGGCGGGGCTGTCCTCAGAGTGGACACCCCCTTCCCAGCATCCTCCTCACCTGGAGCCACTGGACAGCAACTCAAGGGACCTGGAGAGAGCTGGCTGCCCACCAGGCCTGGGACCGGAGCTGCAGGGCTGCCCTGGGCCTGTGGCGACGGCGCCTGGCACAGCAGCAGGAGGCAGCGCGGTGGGCACAGGAGCGGAGCCGCAGCCGGGCGCGGGATGCTCTGTGCCACTGGCACACCTGCTGGCAGAGTGAGCCGAGGACGGGGTGGGCACTGTGGGTGAGGCGGGGGCAGGGTGGGACTATGAGGGACACCCAGGGCAGGTGGCAGGGGAGGTGCTGGGGCTGGGACTTGCAGGCTTGGGCTCAGGTCCTCACTCCTCCGTCCCTGGCTCCATCCTAAACAAGCGTCTTCAGGTCTTTGGGCCACGTCCTGTTCACCCGTAAGGAGGGGGGTAACATGGTAGACACCACACAGGGTGACTGTGGGCATCCTGTGTGCCAGGTACCAGCTTCCAGCATCATCACCCGGGAGCCACTGGACCGGCTCAGAGGTGCATGGAGCTAAACGGGGACCAAGGGGCTGGGCCAGGCGGCCCTGGGGGCAGAGCAGCAGGGAGGGAGATTCAGGCACTGGGACTGCTCAGGCCAGGCCGAGGGGTGAGTGGCCAGAGGAAGAGGAGGGACGGGGGCCTCGCTCTGCGGGGCCACCTAGCCAGCTGCAGTTGGCCTCCCTATGGGGAGGCCTCCAAAAGGAGGTGAGAGTCCAAGCCACAAGTTTCCAGTCCCATAACAGCAGAAGTGACATCCATCGGCCCCCTCTGCTCGTTTCTGTTGTCAGAAGCAAGTCAGTCCGTCCCGCCGGTCCTGCAGGTGGGGTTTAGCCGGAACCAGGAAGGAGGTTCCCAGGGGCCCACATTGTATCAGTAGGCTGGTGGGCAGGAGCTTGATTGTTCTGAAAAACTGTGCCCTGTCCATGGCAGCAGCTGCTTTCTCAGCTCAATTACTGCCCAGGGTTGACAGACTTTCTGGTTGTAAAGTAAACCCAGATATTTAGATGGTTATTTGGATTCTCCTGATGCCCATGTAGCTCAGTGGAATAGCAAGCTTTAGCATAGCCCAAAGGCCTGGGGTCTGGGGTCGTTCTCCAGCACTGAACCAACAAACAGAAACAACTCCTAAATTCCAACAACTGCACGGGCAGGGCGGCCTGTGACCGGCAGGCCACCTGTAACACAACCCTTTCATCCCCGCAGTTAGGGCGGCTGCCTTTGTGGCCATGTGGGTGGGGACAGAGAGCAGGCTGAGCACCAGGGCTTCCTTGGCTGTGTCTCTCTGGCCCCAGGGCAGCAGCTCCTGCATGAGAAGTACCGGAGTTGGGTGCACGGCCGCCTCCAGGGCCTGCGGAGGGCCGCGTTCCGGGACTGGCGGCAGGGGGTGGTCCGGCGGAGACACCTGCGCAGGTGGGTGCCCTAGGGGTGGGGAGAGGTGGGAGTCCCCCGCCAGCCCAGGGAAAGCAGCAGGGCGTGGCCCTGAGGCTGGGGTCTGGGAAGGGCAGAGGCAGGAAGGGCGGGCCATGACCACCAACCCCATGTATCTGTTCTGAGGGGTGGGGAGCCCCGCTCTCACCTGGGGTCCTGGGGTTTGCCAGGACCCTGGAGCGGCCCTGCTAGCCAGGCAGTTCTGTGCCTTCAGAGCACTGTTAAGGCAGTGGGACTGAATTCCTCGGGCAGCCACTGGACAGGAACGGGCCCCAGATGGTCACTGGAACGAGAGAGTGAAATTGTCCAAAAAAAAAGAAAAGCCAGGAGAGGTGCCACCCTTCTGTCACCCCAGCACTTAGGAGCTGACGCAGGAGGATCACTGATTTCGGGGCCAGCCTGGACACATAGTGAGACCCTGTCTCAAATAAAGGACAAATGTTAAAAAATTAAATGAAAGAAGATGGAGCAGTGGGGCCAGAAGACGCCTCGTCCCACGTGCAGCCCCAACTCACGGATATTCCAGGGTCCCCACAAGACAGTGGGCCGCCGGCTGCCGTGTGGCCAGGCCCACACTTCTGCATTCCTGTGACTGGGACAGGAGGACACCTGCTGGTGGGGCACAGCTGTGAACCCACAAATGGCCGGTCCAGCATCCTCCCAGGGCAGTGTCTGCTCCCCAAGGCTAGGGTTCGAATATGGGGTCCCTGTACCGGGTTCCCTGAAGGAAAGTCCTTTGCCCTCACTCATTGGACAGGAGTTTTGTTTTCGATTTTTATGTTCTTTTTTTGAAACAAGGTCTCACTGTGTAGCCCAGGCTGGCTTTAAACTCTCAGATATCCTCCTGCCTCAGCCTCCTGGGTACTGGGATTACAGGCATGTATTGGACAGGACCTTTTTAATTTAAACACAAGGCTGCATGTGCAAAGGTGCAAAACTGTGTGTGACCACACCGTCTGAGGGGGACTTAGAGAAGTCCTTTTGGATAGCTGCGACCCGTGACTCAGAGTCAGCCGGCTCTCTCCTGTTTTGCAGCCACTTCCAGGCCTGGTATAAGCTCATCAGAGACACAGGGGTGCCCAGGGCCTGGTGTCCAGCCTTCTGGGACGCCCAGAGGAGAAGAGCCCTGAGGGTAGCCCGAGGGGTGACAGTGCAGGCACAGGAGCAGCACGTGCCCCAGCCCCGCATCCTACACTGGAGCAGCCGTGCACAGCAGGGCCGGGCAGGCAGACAGCTGAGCAGGGCCTGGGCTCAGCAGGCTTTTGTGGCGTGGTGGGTGGCCCTGGGCTGGCGCTTAGAGGCCCAGAAAACGGCCCTGTGCTGGACCCTGGAGCTGTGTGGAGCCTGTGGTGGCCAGCTCAGTGGAGCCCACGCTGCCCAGAGCCTGAGTGCCCAGTGAGTGTCCGCAGCCCAAAGGCAGCCCTGCTCGGGGCCTGTGCTCAGGCTGTGAGCTTGGCTGTGGCGGGGTGGAGCATACTGACGGCCGGGTGGCAGGCAGAGGGCCAGAGGGTGGTTGGGGGATGGGAAGAGGCCAGCCTGGCATTGCAGCTGGTCCTGGGGGCAAGTCCCAGCCTTGCCCCTTCCTAGCTGGGGGACCCTCCGTGGGGAAGTCTCTGAACTGTCCTGTCCTGCTGTGTGGCCAGATATGTGCCACTGTTTTGCCCAGGGCCAAGCCTGGCAAGCAGGCAGGAGGGCACTGTGTTCTTGGGAGAGGGTGTGAGGCGTGGCTAGCAGAGCTGCTCCCTCTGCCCCTTAAACAAGGTGCTTGTCCCTCCAGCACAGGCTGGAGGCTTTGGTGGCTGAGGGCCTGGAACTGATGGCCTGTGCTGGGCTCTTCTTTAGGTCCCTACTGGCCTGGGCCCAGGGCCATGTTCAGCAAGCAACCATTACCCAGCTCTGGCAGGCTGGACTTGGGTACCTCCTTTGGACCCACTGGGCCCAGTGGCAGACAGCGCTACTCAGGGTACAGGGGGACCAAGGGACCCAGGCCCAGGGCGCCGACCTCAGGCACTGGCCCAGGCTGGCCAGCAGAGGGCGCCGTCTCCTGCTGACAGACGCACCAGCCCTTTGGATGCAGGTGAGGGGGGCCCAGGTGTGGGGGAGTGGTCTGAAAAGCCCAAACCAGGGATCGCAGCCTCAGCATATTCCAGTCCATGATGCAGCAAGGCTGGGTCACTCAGGCCCAGAGGCCTTAAGAGACCCCTCCCCACCCCAACTCTTGCATGTTCTCTGGACCCTGGGGAGCAGGCAACACTGGGTCCATCAGCAAACTCTGCTAAGCATCTTCCAGGTACTGGCCCAGGGCAGAGTTCTGGATGCTAGGTTCAAGGCTGTTCAGGAGACAGTTAAATTTGTAACACATCATATAGTCTGAGACAGGTCCCATTTTTGTTTTTTAATTATAAAAAATGAAATATGCTCATTACAGAAAAAGTCAAAATACTAAAGTACAAAAATTCATCCTTGGGGCTGGGGATTTGGCTCAGTGGAGTAAGCACCTGTCTGGCAAGCATGAGGTCATGAGTTCAATCCCCGGTACCTCCTGGAAAAATTCATCATTTTGTCTACTCATAAACAATCATCAGCCCCTCAGTCCCCAAGCTGTTAGTTCTGACACTGGCAAATGGTGCTAAGAGGCCACCACCGTAGCCAGACACAGAACATGAAACCATACAGGCACCTGGGGCCTGGCACTGAGGGGCACACCGACGGGGTGGGCGGAGCAGTGTTTCTGACCATCAGAATGTCAGGAAGAACAGAGCTCAGAGTCTGAGGAAAAACACAAAACACTCAGAGGAATTGGGAGGGAAGATTTGGGAGTTTGCAGAGCTCACAGGTGGGTCAAGAGCAAGGCAGGGCGCTGGGCGACAGACACGTCACACAGGACTCCTGGTCTCTCACGCCGCTCCTGCCAGCAAAGACCAGGATCCCACACTGCTGGGGAAACGGGCCCACGGCCTACAGATGCTGGTGTGGCACCACGTGGGCCTCTTTCCAGCCCCTCCTCTCTGCCACAGACATGCAGACAGACAGACACAGACACACACAGAGAGGCCCAGGGCTCTTGAGGGGTTCTCCAGGTGAGGTGGACCCTTCTAGCTGTATGCACAAATCAAGTGCATCTTCCTGGTGGGTGGGTAGGACAGCTGTGCCCCAGCAGCTCTGTGCCCAGGCTTCTTGCTGTCATTTAGGCACACAGCTGCTGGACACAGGCCGCAGGACCCACTCGGCTTGAGCCAAAGCACAGTTGCAGTGGACACAGGCTACCTCGGGAAGCAGCTGGGGCTTGCAGTAAGGAGTCCAGCCCCTGGGGACCTGGAAGTCAACCAATCTAGGCCCAATCTAGCTAAACCTGGCTGGTGGATTTACTCCTTTCCCCTCCCACTTCCTCCTCTTTTAATCTCTCAGCTGTGTGGAGACTACAGGTCCTGCCCTTCCCTGTCACTCTCAGTAGCTGCCTAAGTCCTGGGGACCTGGGGGAGGGGAGCTGATGGCTTCTCACCAGCTACCACCTGTGGCCTCATCTCTGGCTGGCACAGAGAAGCAGCTGCCACCCTGAAGCAATGTGCTAACCTCTCCTGCCCCATTCCCTTTTCCAGGCGCCAGGGAGTGTCACCTCTGCCCTGGCTTCCAGCTGTGGCCAGGACACAGTAGCTGGGCCCCTACAGCACCAGGAAGGCTCTGTGTCTCTGAGATCAAAGCCCCCCAAAGCGAGGGTCCTTCAAGCAGGCTGGGGTACGGGCAGCTGTGTGTGAACCCTGGGAGGCAGGGGATGTGCTGAGGCCTCTCCAGCGGGACTCAGTCCCACAGGGCCCTGGAGGAGCAAGAGCAGGCCCCGGCGCAGCCTTCGCCCTGGCCTTGCTGAGGTCGCCGTCCTTGGCCACCAGGAGGAAGTACCTACAGCGCTGGCACCTCGAGATTCTGCTCCGGAGGTTTCAGGTCTCCCAACGGGCCAGGTGCCTGAGGGCGACGTGGCAGCACTGGGCAGGTGCTCCAGGGGCCGAGCAGCTGTCCCAGAGCCTGGTGAGTGGGCTTGGTAACCGCCCCCAAATGTCACGGCCACATGTCCCAGCCTCCTCCTGACCCTACACACAGCACCTTTCACCTATGGCTCGGTGGATGACCCCCTCCCTGTCACATAGCTGCAGGACAGGCAGAGGGTTGGGGTGCTGGGAAGCAGGTGACAGGGGCTCTTGTCACCTCCACCCTAGCTGAGGCAGTGGCACCTGGGCCGGGCCTGGAGGGTGTGGCGGCGACGGGTCCTGCAGCTGCACGTGGCCAGGCGACTGCAGAAGCGGGAAGACAGCTGGGTCATCTCTCAGGTATGGCTCTAGGGCACGTTGCTAGCTGGCCTTCAAAGCACTGCTCAGGGGACCCCGAGACCCCTATGTTTTCTGTGGCGCCTGAAGGGTGGGCCCTGGACTTGACTGGTGGCCACAGCTCAGTCCAATGTCACTGTCACTTGGGAACCGGACTCAACCTGTGGCACAGTGACTGGGTCCCAAGAACTCAGCAGTGGCCACTCCTCTCGGAGCAAGATTGCCCAGGTCACAAGTCAGATCTATTCTGAGCCTGCGTGTTTGGCCGGGCTGTCAGGGAAGCAGGTGGGTGGGGCCCCCAAAGGGACGGAAAGACCCAGGCACAGCACAGGTCCCAGAGGCCTCCTGAGGCCAGCGGCCTTTCCCTACCCTTCCTAACTGCAGGCCTTTGAGAGGTGGCGCCAGCACCTGGCAGCCAGGAGCCTAAGGAGAGGTGGAACCAGGCAGGGGCCCCAGGAACAGGCTGGATGCTGCCCGTGCCCCTGGCTGTGGAGTACATGGGCAGGACAGGGGTCCAGCAGCAGCCGTGACTTGTTCCCATGGCTGAGAAGCAGAACTGAGCCCAGAGAAGCAACGTGACCCCCAAGTCCACGGAATGCAGTGACATTGCTAGGAGCTGAAACACAATAAAGGCCTCCTTGGTCCTCGCTGCTTCTGTGGCTCAGTCTCCTAAAGTGGCCCCTGCACCACAGCCACAGGGACCCCACTGGTGCAGCTCTCCTTCCTGCTGGGCCAGCCGAGCCAGCAGGCTGGCTTCCGGAACAGCAGCCATGTGCACCTGCTGGTCACACCTCCCTGGGCAGTGTGGCCTCGGGCTGACTCCTGGGGGAGGGTGCCAGGCCTTGGCTGGCAAGAGGAGCATCTGCCTAAAAATAAGCCAGCAACAAGGGCTGGGCACTGCTCTGGGCAGAGCTGGGCCCCGCTCAGTCGAACCTCATCTGTGCCTGACAGTTACTGGGATAGAAGAAGGCCAAGGGTCAGGGTCCCACAAGCACAAGGGTTGGGACTACCTTAGCCCTTACGGGGCACTTGGTCTCTCCAAGCCAGCAGTACACGGGCGCAGCTGTTTTGAAGAGCAGCGCTGGAGAAGGGGGCACATCAGGCTGAGGTCTGGGGTAGAAGGTGCCCCGTCAGGCCAAAGTCCATCCCGGGTCCTGGTGCTGTGGCCAGCTGAGCAGGAGGCAGGGTGGTGGTTTGCACCAACCGTCTCTGGTCCTGGGGCCGTCGCCAGCTCCCAGAAGGTGACATTTCACTCTTCTCCAACCTCACAGGATCCTGTTACCCACTACTTGCCCGTCCTGCAGGGGCCCCCAGGCTGGCTTCCAGAGGCTCAGTTGCAAAACCAGTGCCACCCAGGGAGGGTGATGGCCAGCTACTGTGGTCCCCTACAGCACGGAGGGGTCCTTCACTGACAGAGCACGAAATCCTGCTACAGCAGGAGCACCAGGCTCCCTCGGGGGTCCAACCAGAGCTTGGTGACCCCACACCAGTGCAGCTGCCATTCTTCTGTGGGCGGCGGGGGGCAGGCTTGGGGGTACATGGGAGAACCAGGACGGGGATGGGTGGATGCAGGTCATGGTGCCTCCACCTCCCTTGAGCGCCCAGCAGGCCTGCTGAGCAGCTCAAACGCGTCCTCCACCACCTGCCACAGGCAGTTGTCCTGCGGGAACTCGTTGTCCACCAGGTTGACCAGGAAGTAGTTATCGTGGATGTACCGGATGATCATACGGGACGGGGACTCCTCGTCGTACAGCTTGCCCCACTGCTCGATCCACAGGGCGAAGGCCTCGTCCTGCACACACAGGTGTGGACACATACAGATGTACACACACCCACGCGCACACACGTACGAGATGAACAGGATGTCCCAGGGCAGGGCTCTGAACTCTGCGTGCTAAAGGCTTCCGATGCTGCCTTAGCGGACAGGCCCAGGAACAGAGCAAGGCCCAGGGCCAGGGCCATCCCACCCACCTCTGAAATGAATACCTCTCTCAAGGCCAAATCTGCTGGTCCTTGGGTGTGGCCTTCAGCCACATCCTTGGGACCAGGCAGTTGCCTCTTTAGGACGAGGGAGGCTCCCGCCAGTCCCTTACCTTCCAGAACATGAAGCTGATGGGATCCACCACCGTGGGCTGGATGATCTCTCGCCCGGGGAAGATGCCCCACGTGACGGCATTGGGCTGCAGCTCAGGGGCGTTGGTGATGTTCTCACCCTGCCATGGGGGTGGAGGACAGATTTGGGGCACAGCTGGCTGCAGCCTGTTCGCTGCCCCTCCTGGCCTGCACTGGATGGTGTGGCTCTCTGCCAAGGACCGAAAGCAGTCACCTGAGCAGCTCCCCACCCAGGGACCACACTGGCCGGTTCTCACCTGTCCTATCTGTGCCCCATCCCTGGCCTTGCCCTTACCTACACAGTTGCCCGCTGCCATCTGCCTGACATAAAATGGAGCCAATGCTGGAGAGAGGCACCCCTTGCCTCTAGGACACCCCCAAACTCCAAGCAGGACAACGAGGGCCCTGCTCAACGCTTCCGCCTCCTCTTTCCCACCCAGGTGCAGTCTGAGGCCTCTGCCCTTCCCCCCGGTGGCCAACTCCTCTTTGTCCTGAAGAGTCAGGTCACATGAGACCCCTCCCAGGTTTTCTGGTGCTGGGGATTGAACCCAGGGCCTTCGCACTGAGCTACATCCCTATGCTCCCCCCTTATTGACTGATTAATTTTTGGTTCTTTGGGGCTGGGGATTTAACTCAGTGGCATAAGCACCTGCCTTGCAAGCAGGCAGTTGTGAGTTTGATCCCTGGTACCGATAAAAAAGGAAAGAGATAAAACAAAACAAAACAAAATTTTTGGTTCTTTGAGACAGGGTCTCACAATGTAATTCAGACTGGTCTTGAACCCACTATGTAGTATAGGCTGGCCTCCAACTTTTGGTGATCCTCCTGTCAGCCCCCCAATATTTGGCACCATGCCCCACCAACCTCCCGGGTCCGAGTCCTTACTCTGGACTACATCACGGTGTACTGAACTTCATTTCTTCGTATTCGGACAGTGATTATTTGACACTTTTGTCTCCTTGCTAGCTGGAGCTTCCTGGGGCCAGAGGTCTGATTCTGCCCGTGTCTGGGGCACCCCACACCTGGCCCGGGGCGGTGCCCTGGGACAGCCCTGGAGCCGGGAAGCGGGACCCGCCTACCTTCACGTCCACGATGTGGTAATTGACCCGCAGCTCGTACTTCTTTAGCACCTGCAGGAGCGCCTGCGCTGTCTCTCGGGAGGTGAAGAACTCCAGGTAGGCCTGGGGGGCACGGGCGGCCAACACGTGAGTGCCAGCCTCGGGACGCCCTCTCAACATGCCCGACCTCACTGCGTCATGGCACCACCGGGCACCATGCTGCTGCCTGTCTAGAGAGGGACCAGAGGTGACCCCGCGCCCCCTCCCCTGACCCAGGATGACTGTGGCATTGGGGACTGCGTAAGGGCGTGAAGAGCAGCACACAGGGCTCCGTCTCCCCGCCACACAGGGAGCTCAACAGAAGCAAGCGGTGGACAGCTGCGGATGTGAGGCGCCCGGTGGAGTCCAGCCTCCCAGTTCCCGGATGCTGACGGTGCCACTGCGGCCTGCTCCAGCACACCGGTCTGTCTTTTATTTCCATTTCTTTGCTAGGATGTTCATGATCTTCAAGATGCGTGTGGAGTCCCCAGACAAGCAAAGTGGCTCGGGGAACACTGAGTGAGTGGGCTATGGACAGTGGACAGCAGCAGGCCTGGACCAGCCCAGAAAAAACAGGGACCAAAGCCAGCCATATAAACAAGCTGTTCCAGCTCCAAGAAGGCAGGGCCAGGCCTGCCAGGCAGTGGGTTGCTGGGCAGAGGGGCTGAAATTAACATCATCATCTTTCCCAGTGTATAAATAAAGGTGCCAAGTGGCTGAGCAGTTCCTTTCCTCCCATCAGGACAAGGGCTCCACTGACCCCAGCTTTGTCTTTTCTTTATTTTTCTTATTCTCTTACGGGTCCTTAACCCCAAGAACCTCAGGAGCCACACTGGGTGGCGGTGCTGAGTAAACTGCAGCAGCCCCAAGAGAAAGTATCACTCCACCAGCAGAGTCTGGACCCCACTTTGTCCCCTAACATGAAATACACTCCATTTCACAGAAGACAAAACCGAGGCCCAGTGATGTGCCTGCCTGGTCTGTCTGCTCTAAAGCCTGCAATCCTGTGCACTCACTCTGTCCTTTAAAAGAAAGTACTCATGCAGGAAAGGCGGAGCTGGTGCGGGTCCCAGTGCTGGGAAAGCCCCGAACCCCCTACCTTCTGGAAGACGTAGCCCCCGCTGGGGCCCCAGCCCACAATCGGGTCGGAGGATGGCTTCCCGTTGACGTTGGGCTGGGAGTTGATGGTGAGGATGCCCAGCCGGTTCACGCGCAGCAGCTGCTCCTTCATCAGGCTGGTCTCGGCCGCCAGGGGCTCGTCGTTCCAGGGCAGGCAGGTCACCTGGCGGGGGCAGGACTGGGCTGGGGTGGCCGTGCTCAGGATGCTGGTCCCTCCCTCCCTCCCTCCGTGCAGGGTCAGAGACGCCACACCTCTTCACCCCCAGGGACTTCGCGGTTCACCCATGCGCCTGTGCAGTGCCACAGCTGGGGACGGTGCGGGGTAACCGCAGACCCGGCCCACGACGCTCACCTTGTAGCCATGCTGGTTGGGCTCTCCCGAGAGGTAGCGCTCAAAGACCTCGAAGACGCTCTCCTCGCTGCTCAGCTCCTCGCCCCACATCTTCAGCAGCTCCTGCCGGGGACACTTGCTTTTCAGGTAGAACAGGTAGTAGTTCTTGAGCTCCCCAAAGGCCGGCGAGGAGGAATTGCCCCTGGCAGGGAGATGCCCACAGGTCAGGACACTGCTGCTATCCATCCTGCCCATCTCCGCCGGCCTGGATGGCTGGGCCCTCACCAGCGGCCGTTGGGAAATTCATTCCAGTCCTGGGTGCGGTAGATGTAGCTCTTTGGTCTGGAGGCCCAGAAAATGGGGCGCACATCTTCCTCCCGGCGCTTGGGATGTGCGCTGATGGCCCAGGGGAGGGGCCGCCTGGTGATGATGGAGAAGAAAGGACCAGGGATTGGCTGCAGCCTGGCTTGCAGGGCCTGGCTGTAGAGCTGCAGCTGCAGGGCCTGGCTGTAGAGCTGCAGCTGCCCGCGGGGGCGCCTGAGTAAACCCCACCAGCCGTGGCATACAGGTGCTCTGTGCAGGTGCGGCCGCTCTTAGCCCTGGCCTCACCTGGGGTCCTCATTCCACATGCCCAGGCGCTTCAGCACCATGGTGGTGGCCATCTTGCGGTTGAGGGTGTAGAAGTGGAGGCCTGGCACCACGCCGCTGGCCAGCAGCTCCTGGCACAAGTTCACGGCCAGCTCGATGCCGTAGCTGCAGATGGCGGCGTCATTGTCTTTGATTGGCTCGATCACGTCCTTGATCTCCTGCGGCACCTCCAGCTTGGACAGTTTCACCAGCTGCCGCATGGAGGAGTAACTCTGCCCAAGACACAGCGGGCAGTGGGCCACCTCCTGGCCGCCTCCCAGCCTACGACTCATCCCTTTCCCGTCCCCACTGGGTGTGCTGGCCACTGCAACATCACTGGAGGGACTCAGAAAGTCGGCTGTGTGCAGAGTGACACTTGGACAGGTCCTGTTTCCTCTGCTTTTTGCAGAACGTGGCAGCTGCCATCGCCTGGGCCGATCCTTTACCCTGCCTGAGCTGTATTTACTGGTAACACGGTGGTCCCCCAGCCCACTATTCCCAACCTTCGCCATCAGAACCAGCCACCAAGCTTGAGAAGCCAAATACAGACCTGCAGGCCTTCCCAGAACTCCTAGAGGTGGGGAGCCTGGAGCCCCAGGTTCGACAAAAGCATATTAAAAGGGGTTCTGATGACAGTGATTTAACCAAAACTAATACACAGCCAAAATCCTTTGTGGTGACATGTGTCAGCTGGCCGAAGTACAAACCCATCCCGACACTGATGCTGTTTGGAGGGCCACCAAGATGACCAGTGAGGCACAGCACAGCAGCACTGTTCCACGCCAGGCCCACATCTGCCTCACAGGAAGAGCTTGGGCAAACTCGGTGCTTTCCCCAGGGACTGGCCAGCTGAGGGGCCCAGGGAGCTCAGAGCCTCACCTGGATGGGGAAGATCCCGGGGAGGATGGGGCAGGTGATGCCGATCTCCTTGCAGGCCTTCACGAAGTGCAGGAAGGTGTCGGCCTCGAAGAAGAGCTGGGTAATGATGAAGTCAGCGCCTGCAGACACCTTTTCCTTCAGGTGCCTGAGGTCCTCCTCAAAGCTCCCGGCCTCGGGGTGGCCTTTGGGGTAACCTGCCAGCAGGGAGGACATTAGGGAGAGGCTGGCCCGTGCCCATGAGATGACCAATGAAGACCCCAGGGTCTTCTGACCTGGGTCTCGAATTCACACCTTCCAACAGCATGGCATGACAGGCGATGCGGAGCTGGGCTGGCGGATGTGCCCTCTGACCACAGACGAAGCTAGAGTGGGGATGGACTGTGCTGAATGTCCCACGCTGTCCTGGCTCAACCAGCCTGGCAATGCAGGCCAGCACTTGGTGGCCACGGGACAGAGGAACTGCTACATTTGGGGCTGTCAGGCAGCTTTTTGGGTGTCAGGGTGTGACTCTAGGCACTAGGTCACAATATTGTTTTTGATATAATGCTGAAGTCCTTCGGGGATCTGGGGAGGTAAGCAGTTAGGAACCACGTTATATAAGGAAGGACTCAAGACTGTGGAGAAGCTCTGCTCCAAGAGAGAATGGAGAGAGCACAGAAACTACTTTCAAATCTGAAGTGGGGGAGGGAGGACTCGCCCTAGTTGGGCTCCTTGTTAGTCACAGCCCCACAAAGACCACAAAGCAACGTGTTTTAGAGTCTGAAGCTCCAGGGATGACCAAGGGCCGGGCATGCAGAAGAAGGTCCTGGAACTGCTCGGAGATGGGAGCAGATGCCGGCTAGGCCAGGTGCTGGCTTTGTGCAATGACTTCTCCTAATGCCAGTGACTAGCAGCTCTGCATGGCCATCATGCAACCACAGGGACAGCGCTGGCTTCTGCCTGAGCCCGGGAAGATCCCTAGCCATTCAGAACACAGCCCTGAGCCCTGGACTGCTGGGAGGCCAGGCTGCTTTGCTGTGGTAAGGCCCCGCTGTGTTTCAGCAACCCAGAGTCACCCGAAATGGCTATAAAAGCCATCATTTCAAGGCGGGGTAGGGGTGAGGGAAGGGACTTAGCCACAAAAATTCCACTTTTAGTAACAAAGCTTATTTTTCTGGTAGGAAATTCAGAAACTCTATAGCTACATAGTGTAATCACCATTAAAAAAAATCTAATCTTTGATCCCTTCGCTTTTTGCTCATTTGACTATATTCTTTTTCTATCATCACCAGGCTGGTGTTTCTTAAGCCTGGACTTAGCACGCACTTAACAGTCAGCAGAGGGAAAGCCGTTCACCTCACGCCCACCACGGGGCGCGTGTGTAGTCCCCACCTGGCAGGCTACGGTGGGTCGGGAAAGGGGCACTGACAGCTGCAGCAGGTGGAGGCGCCTGTCCCCTTCCTGACGCCTATCAGGGCTTCCCCGTCTTAGCCACCCAGGCACCCTGGTTGACAGAGGAGTGGACACGTGCTAAGGGACTGGAAAAAGGCTGAAGTCACCTGAAATAGTGTTCCTGGAGCCATAGCGCTCGGTTTTTAAAATTCAAGTTGAGATGTTACTCTGTAATGTAGCCATGTTTATTTTGGTTTTTGAAAATGGCATTAAGCCAAGTGTGGTGGCCCACGGCTCTAATCCTAGTACTCCTGAAATGCCAGCACTCAGGAGGCTGAGGCAGGAGGATCACTGTGAGTTCACGGCCACCCTGAACTGCATAGTGAGACCCTGTCTCAAAAAGACAAAAAAAAAAAAAAAAAGAGGCAAAATTCCCCTCATAACATATGAGAAAAGAAGATGCACCCAATCAACCCAGGGCACTGAGTCCTTGGCACACAGGGCCTCACTGTCCCTAACTGCCTTGGGTCTTCTGGAGGGAGCGGGGAGCCGACCGCAGGGCCAGCAGAGATGGGGGACACTGCAGCTGCTGCTGCAGCCGGAATGGGAAGGGCCTTGCTTCCAGACTGGGCCCAGCACCTGGGAGGGCTGATGCCTCTTCCTGGCCTTGGCTTCTCCGATTCCCTGCCCCTCGAGTCCAGTGGGAGACAGGATGAGAGCGAGGCCAGTGTGTGAACCACCTGTGGCTCACGGCCACGCCCTTGTCCCCACGTGCTCCTGATCAGCAGTCTTGAGCTGAAGCAGCGATCCCAGCCGCTCACCTGCCACACAGATGTCGAAGTAGTCACCAAACTCTCTTCGGATGTGCTTCACCATGTCCGTGGCATAGTCGAAGGCTCCGTCCTCTGCGTCCCACTGGTCACCTGTGGGGTCTGCAGGGTTGCTGGAGGTCATAACTACTGGGTTTTGCCCGACCTCCAGCGAGCCCCTTTGTCCCCTTGACCCCGGACAGAGCTTCACGGTAAGGATCTCCTCTGTCACCCAGCAGCTGGCAAGCAGAGCGAGGAGGAAAGCAGCCAGCTCATCAGTGTGTACAAGGCTGCCCACTCGGCAGGCGCCGTACTCCAGGTGGCGTGTGGGAGACACCGCCTGGAGGACTGGAGGTCCCTCACCTGGCCCTGCCACCCTGTGTGTGCTCACTCCCCGGTCCTGTACTCCTGCCTCCTGCGAGAACTTTCTGCCCATTTCAAGTGAGAAGCGGCCAGTGGTGGGCCGCAGGAAGGCACACACACTCTCCTGTTCATCAGGTGTCCTCCACCCACTCGCAGGTGGCCTGATGACCGCAGGCACCAGAGACTCCTGGCTCCGTGACGGGGCCAGTGCAGCCAGGGGATGGGGCTATCAGGCCCCGGCCACACTCCTGCCTGGCCTGTAGCCAGGTCTAGAGGCCGTGCAGGCAGTGTCCACGGTGGCCTCTCTGCCCACGATGCCCGCTGAGCTGCAGGCATGAGGGGACCCTGACTGAGCACACCTAGTGGGGGCTCTGTTCCAGAGACAAGAGCCAGGAGAGGCCCTGGCAAAGAGGAACCCCAAAGAGGACAAGGCTGGCTCCGCACCTCCCCGCAGCGCCAAGATGTTCTTGATGCCCAGCTGCTTGGCTTTGTTCAGGTGACCTGTGATCTCCTCCGGGCTCTGCTGGCAGCAGCTCATGTGCAGCATGGTCTCCAGGCCACAGTAGTTCACAGCCGTGCTGGCGATCATCATGGAGGATGTTTCTTTATCCGAGCCGGGGTTCCCTGCTGGGTGCCAGGTCACATCTATGAAGAGGGGGCCACCTGCTGCCATCTCGTCAAACCTGTAGGGGATTTCGTTCTGAAAAGAGGCTCCCTGGGGACACCACACTCCAACACCTGCTCATGGGGCCTGGGCTCGGGAGCCACAAGTGCCGGCTGGAGGCAGGGCGACCTGTGTTCGTCTCCCAGATTAGCTACCTACTTCCTCTGCATACCGGGGCACATTACCTAACTGTCTCTGAGCCTCAGTTTCCTTGTTAGTAAAACGTGGCAAGCTGGGTATGGTGGCGTGTATCTGTAATCTCAGCACTTAGGAGGCTGAAGCAGGAGGATCGCCGTAAATTAGAAGCCAGCCTGGGCTACCTAGTGAGTTCAAGGCCAGTTGGAACTACATAGTGAGACCCTGTCCCAAACAAAATGAAACAAAACAGAACAAAACAAAAGGCAGACAGATGGCTGCACAGTGCTCAGGGAGAGCCTGGGGGTACACACAGTGAGTGTTTGGCAAGCGTGAGCAACCATTCCTATGATTACAGAGATCATGTGTAACAACCCACGCCACCATTGGAGATGAGCAGCAGCGCAAACCTCTCTGGGCTTGCACACTGATAACCTGGAGGAGTTCAGATGTTTTAACGGCTGCGAGTGGGGGAGGGTGCTCCTCTGGGAGCCGCAGGCAGAGTCTTACTCCAGGAACAGGAAAAGGAGGACCAGCAGATACAAGTTTCCTTTGTGTTGCCTCCCTGGCCTCAGTGCAGTAGCCAAGAGGCCCGCTGAGCAGGGCCAGATTCCTGAACTTGACTCTGGTACCGAAACTGGTTATGTTGGTACACGCCTGTAATCCTGGCACTGTGGGAGGCTGAGGAGGACAAGTTTGAGCCCTAACAGGGCAACTTCTGGACTTGAGACACTGTGTCTAAATAGAACAATAAAGAGGTGAGGCTGGAGGTGTAGTTCAGTGCAAACTCACTGAGATAAAAATAAAAACATGAACGAAACATGAATAGGCATTTAGTTCAAGCCCGGGGTAGGGGGGGTGGTGGTGGGGGGTTAGCTCAGCGGTGTAAGTGCCTGCCTGGCAAGTGCAAGGTTGTGAGTTCGATCCCCGGTACCAAAAACAAATAAATAAACAAAAATAAAAAAGGAAAGGAAGCCAGTATCTGCACCAGCAGCTGTGTTACCAGTTCTGTGTTGTAGCTGAGATTACAGGAGTGCGTGTGCTGCTGTATGTACCAAATGGCCTGATCCTTTAAATTTCAGAATTGTGGGGGCAACGCATGAGGAGTGCAAATACTAAAAGGCATACTTTTTTGTTTAAAGAAGGAACTGAAATTCATAAAGTGCTAATGTAATTCACTTGGCATTTCGAGATTTCAAGAGGCGTAATCCAAATTTCCAACTTGCTGAAAATATTCTCTGAGCTGCTCTTTGTGATTTCGTAAACCATGTGTGACCTGGCCCCAAGTTCCACCACGGAACAGTCTGAGAAAGTCAACGTTTTTAACCCATTACAGTGTGTCTAAAGATACCTGCCACAGAAAACAGCTATCAATCCGAAATCAAACAATAACAAATGCTAAGTAGGTCATGGGGGAAAAGAAGCCCTTCTCTGCTGCTGGAGGGGAAGTACACTAGTACAACCCTATGGAAATCGGTATGAGACCCCCTAAAAAAAGGAAAACTAGCTGGTGGCCCATGCCGGTAATCCCTGCACTTGGGAAGCTGAGGCAGGAGGGTTGTAGAGTTTGAGGCCAGCCTAGACTACATGGTGAGACCAAATCAAAACAAAACTACTAAAATAAAGATTCCATTTGACCCACCTATTTTCTTTCTAGTTATCTTCCTGAAAGAGTTAAAAGACATATTACAGGAATCCATGGACGCCCATGTTCACAGCAGCACAACCCATTATAGATAAATCTTGGAGTTCGCCTATTAACAGATAAATGGATGAAGACTATGTGGTATTTATACACAATGGAGTACTATTGTGCCATAAAGAAGGATAAACAAGTCATCTGTAGGAAAATAGATGTACTTTTTGGGGGTGGGTACCGGAAATTGAACTCAGGACTGTGTGCTTCCAGGCAGGCGCTCATGCCACTGAGCTACATCCCTGGCAAAAATAGATGCACTTTGACACCGTAATATTAAGTGAAATGAATCAAGACACATACACTTAAATATTGCATGGTGTCTATGAGAAACTCCAAATATAAAGGGCAAAATAAAGGAAGCTAATAGGAAATAGGGTGATAGATCTTTTGGCAATTTGGTTGGGGAGCCAGAGGTGGAGAGGAGCAGGGGAGAGGAGAGGTGCTACGAGTGTTAGCAGGATAAAAAAAACTAACATGTGTTATCTACGCCTGCCAACCCCACGCAAGGAACGTGATCGTGATGTACTAGGGAAAATAAAATTTGGAAAAAAATGAGGCTCCAAAAAAAAAAAAAACAAACCAAACCCATGCCTGATGCCGAGGGACTTGTAGGGACCAGGGATAAGATGTGTATCAGCATATCGAATGACCTTTCCGCTCCGTTTTCCTGCCGGGTTAAAGGGCTGCCGGGCGCAGGCCTGAGTCGCCCCTCCCCCAGCCCGCTCCTCTTGCACGGGGCTCACATGGCGAGGAGATTGGCTGCTCCCTCCGCGGTCCGGGGAGGGAAGAATTCCAGGGAGAACCATTTGTCGCCAGCTTCCATCCTCCGCCGCATCTTCTCCCGCAGCCTCTCGTGGCGCTCGGGGTCCAGGCCAGGGGTGGAACATCGCGAACTGTCCTTGGAGCCCTCGCTGCCACTGCTGCTGCCGCTGCTCCCGCGAGTCTCGTTCATGGTGGCCCAGGTCCTGCTGCTGCACAGGGTGGGGCAGGGGCATCAGAGGGCGGGCAGCGAGCCCGAGTGGCGGGTTCAAGCGAGGGCACGGCATTTCTGTGCAGCAGGGAGGCTGACGCTGTCCCTGCCCGGCAGCTCCACGCTCCACAGTGGGGCCCTCTGCTGCTGATGGCCCCCACCCGGCACCGAAACATGCTCCTTCAGCCCACGGATCGTCCGTGACAGCTACCTGATGGAGGGTGGCACAGAGTACCTCGAGATGCCAGCCTTCGAGGCCCACATTCTTAGGGAGGGGCTGTGGGGCCCAGCTGCGAGGACCCTGGCTCCTCCAGGGTCCATCTCGGCCAGCTTGGCCCCAGAATGAGTTGGGAGGGAGCAGAGGAACTTCCCTCAGCGGGTGTGCCCAGCTGGGCGGAGCTGTGACAATGGAAGAAAAGGGCGGAGGCCTGCGAAAGGGGGCGGAGCCCGAGGCTCCAGGCTTCCAGCCAGAGGGGTGAGGACCCTCCAGCGTGAAGGTGGGGGAGAAGGGGCTGGAGCTGGGGCGTGGTGGAGAAGAAGTCTGCAGGCTCTCAGGATCAACCGGCTGCCTTTCCAAAGCAGGAAGGGCTCTCTGGCTGGCCGGCCCTGCCTGGCACATCTCCTGTTACAGCCTGTACGCAGGACAGAAGGGTTGAGGACTCAGCCACGCAGCCAGATTTCTCGAGTTTATGCAGCTCCAAAAAGCCCAATGCGGTGTGGCTTAGAATACGACGCTGGCTTTGTTCCAAAACTTGCAGACCGAATTCAGTAAGGGCACAGATTTTATGTCTGACTCGGGACAAAAGCTGTTCCATGTGGGACCCCGCGCCGCAGATGATTTTTGCCTAGACCACTGAAGTCCAACTGGGCACAGCAACTGCCGAGTCATCAAACAGGAAAAAAGCACAGTGCTGTGTGGCAGGTTTTTTTTGGCGGGGGTGTTGGGGGGGGTAATAAGTGAAACCCTTAAAAACAAAGTGAAACATTACCTTTACTCCCCATGGCAAGCAGTGCAGTGAAAATCAGTGTGTGGGTCAAGAGAGGAAGGACGGGTCAGGGCCATCCTTACCGTGATCATTCGCCCTCTAAGCATGTACACTTGACCAGTATGGGCTCTGGAGAATTATACCGTCTGTCCCCCCACCCCAGCCATCGTCTCCCCTGAAACACAGGAGTGCACAGAATACATCTGGGTCCACCGGCAGACCACCAAGTCTTGTGCCAACATTTCTCTTTTGCTTTGATTGTGACTGGGAGTGTAGCCTAGCATGCACGAGGCCCTGGGTTCCATCCCCAAAATCCCCAAAACTCTGGCTCGTTCTCCTGATCTACTTCTCAACCACCATGGAGTAAGTACGTTACCCCATGTTTCTGCCTTGGAACTGGCCAGCCACAGACTGGATTCCCTGGAACTGTGCTCCAAGTTAAAACTCCCCCCTCTTTAAGTTCTGGGTGTTGGGTATTGCATCCAGAGACTGGAAAGTGGACTAAAAACACTCCAGATCCTCGGTGAGGGGTGAGAAAAGGTGTAATGGCAGAGCACCCAGCTGGCTTCTTCCTGCTTCCAAGGGGGTGCCTAATTAATGAGTTGCCTGCTGGAATGAACCCTAAAAGAGGAGGCATACCACTTGCAAACTGTCTGCTCTTCAAAGACCGTTTCCCCAAGTGTGTGCCAGGCATGTGCCATGTTATGCCCTCTTTCAAACAATACCCACCATTTATCCATTTTAAGCTGGGCTCCCCCAGGACCCAGGGCTCTAACTGTGTAATGGACACAGAGGCTGGACCTGCAGGCACTCAGAGGGTAGCTAACATTTGTCTTTTTTTTTTTTTTAGGTCGTTTTCCTTTTTATCAGTACCGGGGATTGAACTCATGACTGTCTGCTTGCAAGGCAGGCGCTTATGCCACTGAGCTAAATCCCCAGCCCCTTGTCTTTTTTTTTGGTTGCCTTTATTATCTAAAAACTTTGGGTCAAATCTCTGCTCAGAGCTTCATGCAGTTATGCTAATCACTTTCAGGAATGTCTGCAACACAGGTTTATTGGCCCTAGATTTATCTAGCCTGTCTTATTGCCCTTCAAGACTGAAGGCACCAAGAGCAAAAGCAATTTTCAGGATTTGTGAGTACACCCAATTACCAGCTTTTATAACGTCCTATTCCAGACCCTCTGGAGCAATGCCTAGCAGTCTCCAGACACTGTCCTAAACCTGCAACCATCCTGCAGTTTCCAGAAAATGGGGAGCCTCATGAACCAACCCGTAATGAAGTCACCCCTCACCCAAGCAGGAGCAAATCACTGCACACCAGTACTGGAGCCTGCCTCCAAACCACCAAACTGCCCCTCATGCCATAATGATTTTCCCAGGTAAGAAACCAGGACCAAGGGGCCAGGAATATAGCTCAGTGGTACAGCACCTGCCTAGCTGGTGTGAGGTTGTGAGCTCCATCCCCAGTACCCAAAAAAAAAAAAAAAAAAAAAAAAAAAAGAAAGAAAGAAAGAAAAAAAGAAAAAGAAACCAAAACTAAAAATAATGAGACCCCAGCCCTTGCCCTGTAAAAATGGTCTCTGTTCTGTTCTTAATGGGTTAGATCTCATCATCAGGCCTGGGTCACCCTCAGTTCCTTATGCTGAAGACCTATTTTCTTTCATGTTCCATTGTTAAGCAATAGCTTTGATCTTAAATCTCAAGCTAAATTCCCTTCCTATTTTCTATGAATGTGGTCACTATGTACACTTCAGATGTACCAATGAACATAATCAAAAGATAATGAAAGGGCGGGAGATATAGCTCAGAGGCACAGTGCCTGCCTGGCAATGTAAGGTCCTGAGTTCGATTCCTGATACAAAAACCAAACAAATCAAATGAAAGCTCTTTGTCTGAAAATTCCTGTCTCAATTTTAATTTTCATTATCACTGAAGCAAGGACCCTAGTTAGCTAGCTAGTTTATCCAAGTGATAATTGAGGATTAATAAGTTTGTCTTCCCTGGTTCCCTGAAACCAGTAATAGTATCCTCCTATGGCATCCTCCTGTACAATCAAAACACCCACCACTCAGCACCAAAAGGCCAGGTGCTCAAATAACCCTCGGCCGTTTGCTGAGTGCTTACTCAGACTGTGCCTGATACGGGATTGCTCTGTCCACCACTCTCAAAATGCTCGAAGAGGACCTCAGTGTGCAGTAGAACGCTGTGGGCCCCGGGCCAGCAATGCCAGCAGCTCATCGCTGTTCTCCAGGGGCTCAGGGGACACAAGTTTTAAAAGGCAAGGCCCTTTATCCCAGCTCTCTGGAGGGCTGAGTCGGGAGTGTTGCAAGTTTGAGCCGCACCTGAGATACTTATCAATCCAATGAGACCTTGCCTTAAAATAAAAAAATTAAAAGGGCTGGTGATGTAGCTCAGTGGTGAAGTGCCCCTGGCTTCAATGCCAAGCCCGGGTACCGCGAGCGAGGGGATCAGGTCACGAAGTCACCTGTGGGGACCGACATACCGGTCCAGACTGGTGGGGGCCAGGACGTTAGATCAGCACCCCTAGCTCAAGTCCCCTTCATATCGGGAATCCAACTGTTCAGGGTCGAGGGCTGCAGGGTGGCAGCCCTGGGGTAACACTAACACCCCCTTGAAGGCGCGGCACGGAGGGAGCCCCCAATCAGAAGATCGCACCCCGTCCCCGCAAGCAGGTCTCCGCCCCTACAGGGGACTCCCCAGCTCTAAGGTCTTCCTTCCCTGCCACCCCAGACGTCGCTGGCACTCACCGTGCTATCACGGTGACTGAACACCTGCCCTCTTCAGCTGTGCAGCGGCCAAAGAATCGCGAGCTGCCTACGCTCACGTCGGTTGCCAAGGCAGGCGGGGCCAGAGGGCGCACCAGCCGTGCCAGGGACCGGAAGTCCCGCCTCCAACATGGCCGCGCCCCCAGGCCTCGCCGGAAGCCATTCCTTGGTGGTCATGTGACGCGAGCCCTCGCCCCACCCGTCTGCAGCCACTCCCTGTCTCCGACTCCGAACTGGAGAGGCCCACGTGACCCTCCCGGGGCCAGTCACGTGAGGCGCGGATGCGGGTTGGGAGAGGGGAGATAGAGGGGGTCCGGGGTGGCAGTTACGGAGGAAGATGGCGGGGTGCAGGGGGTCTCTGTGCTGCTGCTGCCGGTGGTGTTGCTGCTGCGGAGAGCGTGAGACTCGCACCCCTGAAGAGCTGGTAAGGCGAGGAGAGGGCGGGGCCGGGTGGGGAGGGGGCGGTTGCTAAGGGACGCAGAGAGGCGTCGCCGGGGGTGGGGCGGCCGGCAGGTGGCAGCGGGTGGGGCTTGGGGACCACTTCCGAGCGCGAGCGCATCTGCCCTTTTTTCGCGTTCCAGAGTCTGAGGTGTTTTCTCAGCACCCCTCCCTGGAATTGAGGGCGAATCCAGGCCGGTTCCAGCTGATCCCTCCCCGTCTTCCTTCATTTCCATCTGAAAGGAGTTTTGAATGAAACACGCGTTTTCAGAATGAGCCCCTTCACAGGACTTGTGTTCCTAACGCAGCTGGCTTAGTTTTTCCAGCCCTTCTTTCTCCATCCTGACTCACCCTTTCTGGGTCACTGGCAATCCGGCTTCCCCTTGCAAAGCAACCTGGGAAAACTGGAGTTGCTGTGTCCCCAGAGTTGACAGGTCTCTTATTTCAGGTTGGCACATTGTCAGAACCTGAATTTTCTCCCCGTTAAGCTGTCATTGGGTATCTGAGGTGTCCTGAGATGAGAGTGGTTATTTGGAGAATACATAAGTAGAAATGGCGAGCTCAGCTGGATTGGTTCCCCACCCACACACACACTCAAGTCCAAAAGGTTTTTTTGTGTGTGTGTTTTTGTTTTGTTTGTCTTTTTGAGACAGGGTCTCGCAATGCAGTTCAAGCTGGCCTTGAGCTCACTTTTTGGCTCTGGCTGGTCTCGAACTCGCAACGATCCTCCTGCCTCAGCGTCTTGAGTGCTGGGATTACAGGCCTGAGCCACCATGCCCGGCTTTTCCAAAAGGATTTTTTGATCTGTTTTTTCTCTTTGATAAAGGCTTTTGCTGGTTTAGAGGCCAGGACTTGATTTTATACTTTTTCCCACTATTTGTGTGTGCGTTTGCAACACTGAGAATTGAAACCTTCCCTTCACACTGAACTACATCCCCAGCCCTTTTTTAATTTTTTATTTTAAGTCGGGGTTTCCCTAAGTGGTTAAGTTGCACGGACTGGGCTCTCTGCATCATAGTGCTGGAATACAAGCATGTGCCAGCAGCCTGGCTGTCTTACTCTTGACCGCTAAAAAGGTGTCCTGGGATCTGTTGTTCTAGACTATCCTTGGGGAAACACAAGAAGAGGAGGATGAGATCCTTCCAAGGAAAGACTATGAGGTGAGCTCCTAGGTGGTTGTCTCAAGTAAGTTCAGGTGGTGGAGGCAGTGATTCTAAGCGGAGATGATGTTTCCTTCTGCCCCCGGTAATGGGTAAGAGATGACAGACTGGGGAGTGGGGGTTTTTGAACCCCTTTCTCACTTGAAGCTCTAAGTGGGTCTGGTGTCTATGCTTTTAGAATATGCAGAATCTTCACCTGGGTACAATACGTATTTTGACTTGAAGCTAGCTTTTACGAATTATAGCATCAAAGCTGCAGACAGTCTGTGCTTACAGTAGGCATGTGCTGTGCTCACAACTTAGGCGGGAACCCTTGCTTCTCCTCTGAGACGTTGGTTTTCAGATGATTATTTCCCACCTGCGCAGCTTCTCTGAAACGCTGTTGATTGTAGTTTCCAGTTTCAAGTGTGGGACTCTTACTGTACTCTTACATAATTTTACCCTTTATTGTGTGTATGTGTTTTAGTAAAGCTCGTAACGCTGCTGTGTGAAACTTTTACTTAACCAGTGCATGATGACTGTATAAAGTTTGAAATGACAAAAGCAAACCATGATTCTAGGTAATCCTTAAACTATTACAAGAAGGAAGAGAAGATTGAACTACATGGCAGCACCCTGTTTAAAAAAAAATAGAGAAGAATCTAATTCTACTAAGTACACAATTTTAGTTTATCTCTCAAATGTCTAATTAACTCGCCTCCTCCCTGCAACTCTCCTTTTTGGTGCCGGGGGCAAGGCAGGAGCTTACGCCGCTGAGCTAGATCCCCAGCCCCTCCCTGCAACTTCTGCTTTGCTGTGTTGGTACAATATCTCCGTACTAGGGGAGTAAACTTTTATTGTGCTGTGGCCCGTTTAATTAATCCAACTTTGGTTTTCCAACATTTCTATGATGCGTTGCATAGTGGAGCGCATGAACACTTTCTTGTCCGTTCCTTTTTTTTGGTGCTAGGACTCAAACTTAGGACCTCACGCTTGCCAGGCAGGCACGGTGGCACTGAGCTAAATCCCCAGCCCTCTTGTCCATTTTTTTTCTTGTCTATTCCTAACTGCTATTTTAGGATTAATTTTGAGAAGTGGAATTAACCATATATATGTTTAATGCCTTTTTAAAATATCATATAGATTTAAAAAATCATATAGGTTTTTTTTATTTTTATTTTTTTAGAAAAAATATCATATAGGTTTTAAAGGTCCAATATGAAAAGAGAGTCACTCCCCTGACTGATTTTCTTTTAAATATTTCACTTTAATTTTGCTGTAGAATTTAATGTAAGCATTGGAATTTGTAGTGTGGCATGGGATTAAAAACACTTTTTTTTTTTCTGGTGCAGAATTTCAACCATGTAAGTAATGGACAGAACAGTGTGTATGTGTGTATATATCTTTTTTTTTTTTTTTGTACCAGGAATTGAACTCAGGACCCTGCGCTTGCCAAGCAGGCGCTTATGCCACTGAGCTAAACCCCAGCCCGACAGAGCAGTGTCTTGAGCCCCCATTCCTCTCCACAGCTTCAGTGTGTGTTCAGTTCACCCTCAGCCTTGTTTTATTTATGATCTCTTCCAGCTCCCCGTTCCTGTGTTATTTTGAAGGAAATTCTATACAGTGTATAGTTTCACTCATAAATAATTCATGTTCATCTCCAGAGGATAAGAACTTTTTAGTGTATCTCTACCATTATTATATCTAAGAATTATTCCTTGATACCAGATATCCAGTATGCAGGTTTCCCGGGTTGCTTATAGAAAGTCATGTGTATTTTAGGTTTGTGTGAGGTTCTGAAAAGAGCCTGCTTTGCATGTTTGCTGTGGCTTTAACAAATCTCCTTGAACCCGTAGTTTCCCTCTTTTGCCTTTTTTCTCCTCTTGTTTGTTTGACAAACATAATTAGGACTTTGCAGCGGATGCCTGGATTTTGCTATCTGCACTGCCATGGCACAGTTTAATGTATGACTGATGGGATTGCTTTATAGCATTATAGCCACTGGTGCATTTATTTTATTTTTTTAAATACCTTAACTGTTTGGTTCACTGCATAGAGTTGAGAGGTGAGCAGGAAATGAGTACCAGGCGCCTGCTGCCCATCAGCCTAAATGTGCTGCCCCGTGAGGCTGCTGGCCAAGCGGCGGCCGCGGCCTTGGCCGCTCACCCGAAGTCCTCCGCTCCTGTGACTGCATTTATGTTTGCAGCACACTTGCTTCCACGCGCCGGGCATATCCGTGTCAACTCAGCGGGAGGTGTTCGTTCCTGTGAATCACTCATACTTCCCAGTTAACCATCTCCTCCTGTGAGCTTCCTGTGAGCGTTTGCCTTGTATAAGAGCAAATTCAGCTGGGCGTTTAATGAAGCAAAGCTGCTAAGATTCCACTCAAGGGTCAACTAGAAAACCTTTGGGCTGGAAATCCGTCTAAAGTCTGCCCCTCCTTCCTGCTCCAGGGGTTCATTGCACATACTTGACCCCCTTTTTTACAAAATGTTAGAATCCCCACTTTGACATCCGTTCTCATTGTGGCTGGTTTGAATACAGCTGCCCATCTGTTAGATGTGCCGAGAGAAGCAGTAATATTTTCCTGCTGGTCGCAGCCCGTGTGACTCTTGCAAGTTGGGGAAAGGGTCCCCTGGGAGCAGAGGACTGAAAGGCCGTAGCCACAGCCCTGGCCCACAGCCTGCAGAAGGGTCTCTTCTTGTGAGCACTCAGGTCCACCTGCCTGGATGAATTGGGCCATTTTAGTGCTCACTTGTCCCCACGGCCAGGCATCATTTAGCTCAAGCAGCAACCCTGCAGAATACATATACAAGTTTTATTTTTATTTTTTAAAAAAGTGTTAGTTCCCCCAAGCCAAAAAGCAACATGTAGCAGAAATAAAGAGCAGTTAGTCACAGCAAAGGAGGAAGAACAATCTCTGGTCTTACTAAATCACAATATTCTGTTGGTACATTTTTACAGTGTCAATCTCGAATTAGTTTTTAAAAAGCAGAGTCTGGTAGTTCATTGTTGCAGTTCTAAATATCCTTTCAGCAGCTGCATTGAAGTGTAGAGCACATACTGAGCAGCTGTTTAAATGTATAATTCAATGGCCTTTTTTAGAAAAATCCACCCAGTTGTGCAGCTATCACTGCAGTTGGAGGATGGAAAGAAACCCTGTTCTCGTTAGCAGCCACCACCCGTCCGGAGGCAGCAGCTCATCTCTGTGTCTGTAGGTCTGACTTCTAGACATTTACAAATCTCACGGAGCGTAGTGTGGGGCAGAAGACCATTCCCTTCCCTGCCGGAGGTCCAAACCCAAGTCTGGGAAATACCCTGGCCATGGACAGATGAGGTGGGGAAAGGCATCGTGTGCCAGGCACGGCAGGAGAGCGAGTGTCCAGGACCCAGTGGTTGCCAAGCTTGTGCGCAGCCTTCGCAGGGGCTGGGGAGCAGGGTGAGGCAGTTCCAGAGGGAGAGAGAATGAACTTTCAGGGAGATGAGAGAGCTCCAGGGACAGACGGTCGCCTAGCAGAGAGCTAGTGTAACTGCTCATCCTTGCTTCATGCTGGGCCTTCCCTTGGCCACCTCCCTCTCGAAGTCCGGGAGGAGGTTCACGTGGGGACTGTGGTGGGGAAGCTGGCCGTGGCTAGAGAGGGGGACTTCAGAGGCAGCTCATCTGCGTCTGCTGCCTGCTCCCTGGTGCTGTCGGTTTGAAGTCTAAGAGCCACATTTTGGTGTTATTCTGAGCACCAATAATGGCATTATTAGACCCAAACCAGCCAGCAAATATTAGCCGGCTGGCAATTTCTCTACAGGTTTGGAATGAAGAAAACAGCCTTTTCCCTCTGCTCGTACCCCACTTGGCTCCTTTTGGACACCAAATGTGTGGGGTGGTTTCCCCTTACTCCAGTTTTCCAGTGGGTCCAGCTAGGCTGCTGCCCGGAAGTGGTGGAGACGAACAGACACCACACTCCAGGTGCTCCTGCAGGGGTGGGTTCGAGCACCCTCTCCGGAGCCTGTTTTGCTAGAGCTTCTCACAAAGCTCAGGGAGGTGCCATTTATGTCAATAAAGGGTAAGGGAAGGGGGACACGCAGGGCCAGGTATGTGGGGAGCAAGGGCTTCAGGGTTGGCCCCCTGCCCCCATACCCCATGCAGTCTGGAAGCTCTGCAGACCCTGTGCTCCTGGCTTTTATGGAGGCTTCATTGCATGGTGGGATTGATTCCACTGTGATTGATCGCTGGGGACTCACTTAACCTTTGGGCTCCCTGTCTTCCCCAGAGGCTGGGAGTCAGGGATGAAAGAGGTTCCAACCTGGGAACCTGGGTCATGCCTGGATCTTTCAGTGGCTGCCCCCATCCTGAAGCTACCTGGGAGTCCCAGCCACCAGGGTTCTTATTAATGTACAAAGGACACCCACATGCTGGAGATTCCCCATGTGTTAGGAGCTGGCTACCAGGTAGGGGACAAAGACCAGATGTGTATTTCCCGGGATCACAGAAGGCCATTGGTATTTTTCCACGTTTTATGTTTGTTCCTAGAATGTGGTGTTGCTGGATTCTAATTTTCAGATAGTGTGTGTATACATGTGCTTGTGTGTGCCTCTCAAGTAGGTACTTCATTTCGAAGATGACAATTTGTAACTTATCAACCGGCAATTTCTTACCTTTTGTTTGTCTGTAATTTTGTATTATTTCTACCCTTTTTTTTTTTTATCTCCATGTATTTTTTTTTTTCGTTTCCTTTTCTTTAAATAAATTAAAAAAAAAAAAAAAAAAAAAAAAAACATCAAGTAGGTACTTCAACCACTTCCTGATGAGTCCACTTCCCGGAAGAATTCTGCCCTCGCTGTGGGTCTCTGCCCTTCCTGGGCACTTGGGATTGAAGCCAGTGCCTCGGGCCAGCTGGCCAAGGACTCCCCATTGAGTCCATCTCTAGCCTTTTATTTTGTAGCATCAGGAATTGAACCCAGGGCCTTCATACCGAACTACATCACCAGCTCTTTTTATTATTAGGTCTTGCTAGGTTACTGAGACTGGGCTTGAAATTGCAGTCTTCCTGCCCCAGCCTCCCACAGTGCTGGGATTATTTCAGGCACAGCAGCCCCATCCAGTTCCTAGACTTTTTGTTTTATTCAGAGACAAAATCTGCTCAGTTGCCCAAGCTGGGCTAGACCTTTGGGTCCTCTTGTCTCAGCCTCCTTAGTAGCTGGTATTACAAATGTGTGGCACTGTGCCCTGTAATATTTTTTATATTTTTGCTAACTTGATAAGTTACCAAGGCTGGGCTCAAATTTCCAGTCCTCCTGCCTTAGCCTCCCAGACTTCTGGGATCATGAATATGCACCATCACATCAGGATGCCTTACATTATTTATTTTTTTGGTACTGGGGATGGAACTCACGACCTTGCAAAGGATGACTTACTTTAGTTTTTATTTTTATTTTTTATACTTTGTGTTATTGTATCTCGCTTTTTTCCTAATAAGTGTTGGACATTTTTCATATCTCTACATAGATGCACTGTAATATTTTACTGCTTTGTAATCTTTTATCTTTGGTTATATGGTAATTGATTTAACCAGTCATCTGTTGCTACTGTAGGACTTTTAAAGAAAGGGACCTGGACTTCCTCCAGACAATCAGATAAATGGAACAAATTGTCACGCAGCACACCTGTGTTTGGCTGACTGGAAATTACTGCCCAGCACTGTGGCCACCTGGCCGGTGTCCAGCTTGTTTATTAGCTGACGTGGCAGGAGGTTCTGGCAATGGGGAATGGTGAATTTATATTGCTTTTTGTTGTTGACAGACTGTGCCTTCCTCTCACTGAGGCTGGAACCCACGGAGCACTGAGCTGTATCCAGCCTTTCTTATTTATTGCAAGACTGAAGATCATACCTAGTACCTTGGCACTGAGCTGTCTCTCCAGCCCTGTTTTTAGCTTTTATTTTAAGATGGGGTCTTGCTAAGTCACTATTTGCCCAAGCTGGGCTCAAGTTTGGGAACCTCCTACCTCAGCCTTCCAGGTCGCTGGGATTACTGCCCCTGGCTCTCCTGCTTTTCTCTGTGGGGTGCATGTGTGTGTGCATTATTTTTTGTGGTACTGGGAACTGGGCATTGAACCCGTGTCCTTCACACCCAGCTACATCTCCAGCCCTCCCCCCCCCACATGGAATCTCTCTAAATTTTTCAATTGTCCAGGCTAGGCTCAAACTTTGGATCCTCCTGCCTCAGCCTCTAAGAGTGCTATGCTCACAGGCATGTGCTGTTGGACCCAGCTTCTGCTGTTTCCCTTCTAAGACACAGAAATAAAGTTATTTCCTCTGCGGTGTTCCTGAGGTGTTTCAGATGTTGAAGCTGTGGGAGCTGCCAGAAGCCAGGCCCCTTCCTATGTAAACTGGAAGTTGCTTTTGGAAACAGTCTCTGTATTAGTCTGTCTTGGGACCAGCCTCACTTCCCCAGGAGCCACCTGTAAAAGAGGTTTATCTGTTGTCTTTCTTGTCTGACTAGATCTGGTTACCAAAGCTTTTGTTCCCATTTTATGGAGTATTTGGGCAAGGCTGGTGATGTCGGGAGGGAGGTCTTTATGATGCAGAAACAGGATGTTCAGAAGCAGGTAGTGTCCGGCCTTTCCTGGGGCAGGATGAATTCTTGAATTTTCAGACTTTGGCAAGAAGCGCCTCTGATGCTTTCCTGAGGCCCATGAGTTTGTCGCCTGTGGAGCACAGCTTGGAAGCTGCAGGCTGAGGGCCCTGGGCATCTGCATTCCTGACTGGCCCCTCTGGGTGCGTGGGCACCCCACGTGCCCACCAAGGACCCGGGAGCTTTGTCCCTCAGGCCTTCTGTACTTTTCCTGGCCCTTGGCCGTTTCACGCACGTGTCCCCCTTTCAGAGCCTGGACTACGACCGCTGCATCAATGACCCATACCTGGAGGTGCTGGAGACCATGGATAACAAGGTGGGTCCGTGGGCCTTGGCCTCAGAGGAAGGGGCAGGGCTGCAGATAGCGTCTCCTCTAAAAGCTCCGGTCAGTGTCCTTACCCTGAGACCTTTAACTCTTTCACGGGACATTGGCACATAAGTCCCTGGGCTTCTGCCTGCCCCCCAGAGACCCCCAGTCTGCCACCTGGCCCTTAGCGTTCACTGGTCTTTATCGTGAAGCACTTGAGGTCCAAGACGACCTTCTTGCCGCGCCTGCTGTGCACGTGGAAGCCAGCGGATGTGTCCCTTCCCCGCTGCCAGCACAGCCCCGTAACAGTGGGAATTGTTCTCTTCCATGTGACAGAAAGGGCGAAGGTACGAGGCGGTGAAGTGGATGGTGGTGTTTGCCATTGGAGTCTGCACCGGGCTGGTGAGCAGCGGGACGTGGGGGTGGTGGCCCGAGGGACAGCCTTGGCTTGACACATGCTCTTTGTCCTTTGTCACCGCAACATTTATAACACTCTAACAATTGTCATTATAATCAAGATTGCTGTTGTTTTGTTTTTTCCTTTGCTTTTTTGTTTTTCTGGTGCTGGGGGTTGAACCCAGGCCCTTCACATTAAGCTACATCCCAGCCCTTTTGAGATTTATTTTGAGATAGGGTTTCACCAAGTCGTTAAGTAGCTCAGGCTGGGCTTGAACTTGCGATCCTCCTGCCTCAGCCTCCCAGAGTGCTGATGTTACAGGTGTGCACCGCCGTGCCCCACTTTTCTCTTTTCTGAGTAGCCATCTTATCCCAGCTTTTCATACTTTTCTTACTTTTGCATTATGAAATGAAAATAAAACTATAGAACTCTGGGTTCTTTAAGCCCTCAGGGGTTTGGCCAAATACTATGATGATGGGTCATAATCCATAATCTCCTTGGCCAGCTAGACAACGCCTGTGGGAGGTGACGCAGCAGGTGGTGTACACGTTGAGGTCACACTATCCTGAGCTGTGCCCTGCTCTGTGCCGATCTTGTCTAGAAAGTAGAGCTGGCAGTCATGGGTGGAGGCTGGGCCTGAACGAACAGGGTTTCTGGGCTCTGTGGGTTCACAGTGGCTCACAGACAGAAAAGTTGGCAAACATTGTCCAAGAGTATGGTAGCGAAAAGACTGTGGCACAGCTGCTGGGTTAGCATTGTTAAACCTGAAGCAGAAAAGCTGGAAAAACCACAGCCAGGCAGGTGTGGTAGCACAGCCCGTGACCCCAGCGCTCGGGAGGCTGAGGCAGGAGGATGTGCCCTGGGCTTCATAGTGAGTTCAGAGCCTTTCTGAGCTATACAGCAAGACTCTCTCAAAAAAACAAAACAAAACAAAAAAACCCAGAAGGAAAAAGAGAAGCCAGCAGCCAGCCAGCAGACACAGTCAGGCCTGCTGTTGGGAAGGGGCAGCAGCCTGCTCCTCACCTTTTTCTGGAGTTGTCACAGTCTTATACTCACACTTGGTGATGCACTTGAGAAGTGTGAGTGTGAATTTAAAGTAATGCCACCCGAGGGCCACCCGCAGTTTCTGCTTCCTTGGCACTGGCAGGTTTTCACTGTAGTAAACTGACATGGGACATCCCTAGGGAAGATGAAGGGCCTGCAGAAGGCCTCTCTGCCAGTGTCTGAAAGGACCGTCGTGGGGGGCGGGCTCCTGGGTGGCTCCCATGGCTCTGCTGGAATCGAGCGCCTGTTTACTGTGCAGCCTTCTGGCTGCAGACGTCCCTTCACGGAGCACATCTGTGTCTCAGCCCTCACTGTTAGTCCTGCTGCTGGCGTCCCTCAGATCCCTTTGAATTTCCAGTCAGCGACAGTAGCAACTTCTCTGCAGAAAGGCCACCTCCTCTGTGCCGCAGCCCTCCCAGGTACCCTTTGATCTGTCACCACTTCTAAGAGCTCAGGGGTCATGCGCTTCCAGGCATTGGCTTGAGGGAAGGCCAGAGGTAAAGGCAGGGAGCCTTTGATTCTGACTCCATAAAATGAGGCTTTGCAGTGCTCATTTATGTGAACTAAACAGTAAAATTGTTTACTCTGTTCCAATAAAAACTGGCTGAGGGCTGGTAGTTCTAAGTCCACGAGTGCCTAGTAAATGTTGCCTTTTCAGGCGGTGTCTTAAGCTATATGTTTATCCAGAGACTTTGTTTGTTTGTTTGTTTTGTCTTTTTCATTTTTATCGGTACCGGGGATCGAACTCACGACTGCCTGCTTGCAAGGCAGGCGCTTATGCCGCTGAGCTAAATCCCCAGACCCTGTTTGTTTGTTTTTTTAAAACCAGGGATCAAACTTTTGACCTCACACTTGCTAGGCCAGGCTTACCCTGTTGTGCTAAACCCACGGCCCTCCAGAGAGGTTAACTGTCCTTTTGAATCCAGTTTAAAGAGATCGGTGTGCTTCCCCACACAGTTCAGTATTGTTAGGTTTTAAACCCGGCAGTGGTCTCTTCTCTGGTCTGCTGTCCTTTTCGGCGTCCATGTGGAGGCTGGCAGAGGGACATCGGAAGCCAGTGGCCCACAGGCTGAGATGTATTCGCAAGTCGCCTGTTGGTGGCACAAGCAGCTCCCTTCAGCCCTGGAGGAAGGTGATGCTTGGGGGGCTGCGCTGCCCCAGGAGTGGGCCGTGTGACACGTGTGTCGCTCTTCGCAGGTGGGACTCTTGGTGGACTTCTTTGTGCGACTCTTCACCCAGCTCAAGTTTGGAGTGGTTCAAACATGTATCCTTTCCATGGCTGCGTGGTGCAGGGACTTCCGCAGTCTCTGGTACTCTTTCATGGGGAGGGCTTCTCATCGGGGTTGTGGTGTTTGAAGGCTTGGTTGCCTGCTAGCGTTCAGTGTGAGGTTAATTATCACCAGATGACAAGAGGAGGACTTGAGCGGGTGGATCCATGGAGGTGGGTCACGGTGGGATGCAGTGGCATGGAGCTGCCTACTCTCGCAGTCTGTGCATTCAGTGTTCTAATCAAGGCTCCAGTAGAATTTAGTATGGAGACTACAAAAATCTAAATCTACATAGAAGAGCAAAAGGCCAAAAGCAGCTGAGTCTTGAACAGCAAGCAGGTGGGTTTGCCCTCCCAGGCGTCCAGACTTCCCTTTTTCTTTCTGAAGACGGGATCTCACTAGTTTATGCTGACCTTGAACTGTGTAACCAGGCTGGCCTCAGACTCACAGCGATTCTCCTGTCTCAGCCTGGTGTGTGCTGGGATTACAGGCATGCACCAGCACACTCAGCTAAAACTTTATTTTTTTCTTTTTTGGTCCCAGGGATTGAACTCACAACCTCACACTTGCGAGGCAGGCACTTATGCTGCTGAGCCAAATCCCTGGCCCTCCAGCTAAAGTTTTAAGGTACAGTAATAGAATGAGTGTCCTGTTGGTACAGGAGTACCCACTGAACCCGTGGGGTGGTGATAGAGGATTTGATGACTGTCAGAGTTAGCCGTCACTGCGGGAGGGTTGGGTTGTTTAATACACCGCTCTGGGACATTTGGTTATCCATGTGCAGAAACAGATTTCTGTTCATATTATAAATAAGCTAAATTCTAGACAGTAAGTAAGACAAAGTCTTAAGAGACTAGAAGATACCAAAAGTAGGGAATAGTTGCTTAAAACCCTAGTGGGCATTAAAAAACAACAACAACAACAACAACAACCTAGTGGGCATAGGCTGTAAGGGGAAAATCAATAAACTTCACCACATCAAAGTTAATATTCCATTTATAAAGGAAATTTTAAAATCCCCAAACAAAAACAATAATACATTATAGATGAGCTGAAAAGTTCTCAGTCTTCAGAATATAGAAAGAAAAAATCCCAGCAGTCCAATAGAAAAATGTGAAAGAGCGTGAACAGGGTCTTAGAGGAGAACACCTGAAAGCTGTTAAGCTACGGGCGGAGGCTCCGAAGGTGCCCGTCCCTGTGACTCACAAGCTCCTCTTCACCCAGAGACCTTGGACCCATCCAGAGGTGGTCACACCCTGTGACGCCAGCAAGCCAGAGTCGCCAGCTGGGAGCATTACTGCCACCTCGGGCTCACTGACCAGATCAGAAGAGGCCGTTTATTTCAGTAGAAAGGAGATAGGATTGCTCAGAGCCAGCTCTGGGGAGATGGAGGGGCCATGCCCAGGTGTGTCGGAGTCCCGTGTCACGAGGAACAGCGCGGGAGGGGACGCAGGCACAGCAGAGCCGCGAGGGAGGGAAGCCGGGCTTGACCTCCTGGTGCTGCTTTCTGCATATTCTGTCCTCTCCAGGGAGCTGCAGAGAGCCCTACACTGGAGGCACTTGTCTGTAAAGGAAGAAAATCTAACTTTAAGAGTTCCATTGTGGGGCCGGGGATATAGCTCAGTGGCATGGGCACCTGCCTGGCAAGCACAAGGTTCTGAGTTCGGTTCCTGGTACCAAAAAAAAAAAAAAAAAAGAAGCTCCCATTGTGCAGTTACAGGAAAACTGGGAAAACTATGTGCGCTCACATGGCAGAGCCTTACACAGACAGGCTGGGCGCATTGTGTGGCTGATCCTCAGAAAACGTACATGCTGAGCCAGGAGAGCCACAGAACAGGCAAAGCACAGTGTGAACGGTGCAGACTCGGAGCACGTGGGAATTCACCTTAGTGCTTTCTCCCAGAGACAGGTGGAAAGAAAAAGGTGGGGCTTCTGGTTTGGTTTGCTTTTTGAGATGGAGTCTTGCTGTATTGCATATTGCCTGGGCTGACCCTGAAGTCATGATCCTCCCACCTCAGCGTCCCTTTTTCCTGAAGCAAGAATTACAGGCACATGGCACTGTACCTAGCTTTGTTTTTTTGTTTTTGTTTTAATGGTATCTAATGTCTTATTTTAAAAATACCTGAGGGAAATACGGCATAATATTGAGGTTTTTTTTTAAAGGTTTGTAAGCATATGTAACATTTTTATAGCATTTGAGGTAGTCTTTTATTTAGTTATTTTTTGATATCAAGGATCACACTCATGACCTCACACTTGCCAGGCAGATGCTTATGTCACTGAGCTAAATCCTCAGCCGGGTAGTCTACATTTTTACTTTTGTTTTTTTGGAGGCAGGGACTTGCTATGTGGTTATGTCTTGAACTCACTGTGTAGCCCAGGCTGGTCTTGAGCTCACAGGAATCCTCCTGTCTCAGCCTCCCAAGTACTGGGATTACAGGCATGCACCAGAATACCTGACAGGTGGTCCATATTTTTAAGTAGTTCCTACTGTGAACATTATCTCGAGCAGCACTAAAGCTCTACGCGCATGGGGAACAGGAAGGCGGGTGCTCGGCGGCCGGTGTGACTGGGAGAGAGGAAGCCGCACCTCTTCCAGTGGTAACAGGGACGCCGAGGGCTGGGAGCTTGTTCTCCTTGACTGCGGCTCTGCAGCGGTGGAGGAGTGCAGCCAGAAGGGCTGCCTGGCCCTGTCCCTCCTGGAACTCTTGGGTTTTAACCTGGTCTTCGTCTTCTTGGCCAGCCTTCTGGTCCTCATCGAGGTGAGCTGTTTGGACACTGCTTGGCAGGCATGAGGTGTGGGGAAACAGCCGAAGGGGGCACCCGGGGTCCTGCGGAAGGGTCCTGTAAGCGGGGTCTCCAGAGGAAAAGTCCCGGCTGCAGTGAGAACAGAGAGGGAACTCCTGATCAGGGAGGGCTGCTGCCCACCGCAGCGCCCTGAGTCAGCTGGGGACCATGCAGACCCACGGACCAGGACCAACCAGAAGCGGACTGCACTGCTCCCTGAGGCAGACTCCCAGGGACCTGTGGGAAGGGGCACTAAGGAGTCAGGGCGGGCCCCACTCCTGTGACGCCCCTGATGACGTGGGGGAAGGCAGTGGAATTTGAGTTGACGGGTGTGTCTCCTGTCCCCATCAGCCAGTGGCCGCAGGTTCCGGGATCCCTGAGATCAAATGCTATCTGAATGGTGTGAAGGTGCCAGGGATCGTCCGGCTGCGGACCCTGCTCTGCAAAGTCTTCGGAGTGCTGTTTGCTGTGGCAGGCGGTAAGGGCGACCTTCTAGCTCCCACCCTTCAGGAGTCAGGGGCCAGGCTGACCGGAAGCATTGTGCATGTAAATGAAACGCCCGCTGAGGGACCCGCACTGAGCAGTGTCTGCTCTTTCTGTTGCAAGTTTTTAAATGCAGACATTGTTAGTGGGTGCCACTCAGAGCCGCCTGACACACTCCCCCTTGTTTTGAGCTGTGCACATCTAGTTGGTTATGGAGTTGGCCTTTAGCAAAGTCAGCACGTTTTTGTGCAGATCTTTTAGGCTGCTTGGGCCAAGAAGCAGTGTCCAGGATCTGGTGTGGGTACTTAGGAAGGCACTGAGAGTGCGTCCACTGGAGGACGTAAAAGCTGTTTTTAGCTCTAGGGCTGCACGTTAACAGGCAGGCAGTGGGTCTGTGCTCTGGAACACAGACCTCGTAGCAGGATTTTAAATGGTACTGGTTTGGTGGGATTGGGCTCTGCCTTCCCTGCGCTTGTGTGTGGGTCACGGAAAAGGTTTATGGCAAAAGTCTCCCGAGCCAGAGGCCCCCGTGCTGACAACTGTCTCTTCCTCACTGTCCCAGGCCTCTTCGTGGGGAAGGAGGGCCCCATGATCCACAGCGGGGCCGTGGTGGGAGCTGGCCTTCCTCAGGTAAGGCCCACTGGGCTGGGGCCACATCCCTCAGAGTAGGTGCCTGTCTGGGCCAGGGACATGGCTGGGCATGGACTGGGGAAACTCTTCAGGCCACCCTAACGTGACTTTGGACTGACGCCGTTTGGTTTAAGAGAATCTTGTGATCTGACTCAGCAGAGGCCATAACCTGGACCTCAGAGTTGTGTGCTGCCTTGCTGAGTCCAGAGAGCAGAAACAGGACACTGAGGAAAGGTGCAGCACGGGCAGACGAGGCCACCTGGTGCTCCGCAGCCGCTGCCGGGCGCCTGCCCGTCGGGTGGTGTTGGTGGGCCATCTCCATGCTGCCAGGCCAGCGGGCAGGGAGGACCAGCTGGCGTAGTCTTGGGGCCCCTCCGTGCTGATTCTGCGTGGCCTGGCCCAGTGACTGTGACGGCTGCTCACGGGCAGGGTTCTGCCAACGCCTGTCTTCTCAAGAGCCACCTGAGCAGTTCAGTTCACAGGCGGGGAACTTGCCCAGGACTCTGAGGCGCCCTTTCTGAGGGCTTTTTCAGACATCTGGCTGCCAGTCTGAGCAGTCCCAGCCCTTGCCCGGCACTGTCTCCCGCTCTCCTGCCGAGGAGAGGTGCTGTGAGCTCTGGGGCAGAGCCGAGAGATTCATTCTTCCGGGGCTGCTGCTGCTCTTGCCTCATAGCAAGGTCTCCGAGGGACGGCCGGCGGTGAAAGAACCAAGCACGGTGGCGCGCCAGCGGCTTTATGGGCTGGGAAGTGGCTCTGGGTCAGGCCCGCGCCCCCTGCCCGCTGCCCAGCAGAGCCCGCTTCCTTTGTGTAGCAGCGCTCGGTTCCTGCAGCCCACGCCAGCTTTTCCCCTTTTTCTCTCTCACTTGCTGACTCCACACAAAATGCAGTTTTCAAGGGGCTAGAAGTTTGGGAGCAGGAAGAGTAAGTTCCCCGTAAGAGAGGTGACTTCATCTTTTTCCAGTGGCCGTGCTGGACACTGCCTGCCTGCAGCACATCTGCCCAGGTGTGCAGAGGCGCCTCCAGGTGCTGTGGGCCTGCAGCCCGGTCCTTGCGGGCCTCTCTCTGACTCGTTTTCTCTTGTTTTAGTTTCAGAGCATCTCATTGCGGAAGATTCAGTTTAACTTCCCCTACTTCCGAAGTGACAGGTATGGAAACGTTAGGAAGCGGTTCTTCGAAAAATACGAAACTGCTGGCACAGGGGCCCACACCTGTAATGTCAGTACTCTGGGAAGCCGAGGCAGAGGATCACGTTTGAGGCCTGCTTGGGCATCTTAGAGACATAACGAGACTCAGTCTTAAAAAACAAAAAAAAAACAACAACAACAAAAACTAGGGATGTAGCTCAGTGTGAAGGCCCCTGGTTCAATCTCCAGTGCCACGAAAGAGTTAATGGACTTCCGGTCCGACCTAGTACTTGTTCTGGCTCCTCTACCTCTATTGGCCCTGCTCAGCAGGCTGGATGCAGCCTGAGTGTCAGAAGGTGGAGTGCAAGGGGTTTGCATTTTTCTCCTGAAAAAATGGTCAGGTCGGCATTGTGGCTTTATTTTGCCACGCCATAAGGAATAAAGGTAATAAACTCAAAGACTGAAAAACCTGACCAACAAAGGGCACAAGTGGGTATATTATCAAGACGGTACTTTATAGTCCTAACTGTGTACCTGCTCAGGGCCTGTCTGTGCTGGGAGCCACCCTCCAGGTGGACTCTCCAGCCCTGGGGCCTGGGGTGGCTGAGCTGCACAGCCTGCAGGGCCCGGGGGCTTGGGGCCCAGGTGAGCATCTGGGCCTCTTCTCATCCCTGCAAGCCAGCAAGCGCTAATGTCTCACTGATGCCAGGGTTTTCTGGAAGAGCTCTGGGAGGATGGAGGCCCAGCAGGGATCACAGGAAACCTTCTGTCTGCCCCTAGGCTTGGCACTGAGACCGGGTGCAGGGAGCCCCGCTTCCCAGGCAGGGCAGCCCTTGCAGCTGGGCAACCTGTGAGAGTCTCGTTACTATAACAAGTACCTGCGAGAAATCAGCTTTCACACAAAAGCTGATTTCGACTTACGCTCTTGAGGGTATCCGTCCTGTTGACCTCACAAGCAGGAACTGAAACAGGAAGGAGAGGGCCTGGGGTCCCACTGTCTCCTCCAAGGCGGGTCCCAGATGACTACTTCCCTCCAGGCCCACCTCTTAAAGGCTCCTCCAGCTCTTGTTGGTGCCATGGCTGCGCCACCAGCCCATGATAGAAAGGCCTTTTGGAGACCTTTCAGATCCAAACTGCAGCACGTGGGCTGTGCTGACCAGCAGGTGACCTGCATCTGCTGCCCAGTTGCCCTCCAGGGGCAGGGTTCTTCTGTGACCCTGTTCATGGGTCAGGAGAGACAATGCACACGGCTCGGGAATGAGAAACTGCTTTTGCAGCCTGAGGACCCCTCTCTGTCTGTGACTCCTCTCCTCAGAGACAAGCGGGACTTCGTATCAGCGGGGGCAGCCGCAGGAGTCGCAGCGGCCTTTGGGGCCCCAATTGGGGGCACCTTGTTCAGCCTGGAGGAGGGCTCGTCCTTCTGGAACCAAGGGCTCACGTGGAAAGTGGTGAGACACCGCTCACCCTGGCAGCCACCTGCTAGGCTTTCCCTCAGCTCCCAGACTAATGCAGATACTGTGCCGCACCACCATGCGGTGACGCTGGGGCCGCTCACTGGGAGCTTCTTTGCCATAGCTGCCACAACCTCCAAGTCCTGGGCGATTCTGCTTTTCCTGTCGGCGATCCCTGCCTGGGCGCTAGAGCTCACCCCAGACTCCTCGGGGGCCCCAGCTGGGAAGTGTAAAGCTGGCCCTCTCCTGAGGCCGAGTGACAGGGTTAGGACTTGGACCCCTGGCATGCCCGGAGCAGTGTGTCCTCCCATAAACTCCCCTTCCTGGTGCTGCGGGTCCGTGCCAGAGCAAGTCTCCATAAACAGGCTCTTGTGGCAGAGTCCAGGTGCAGCTGTTCGCCCTCCAGGCACTAAGCTGCAGCGGTCACCTCTGCCACGGTGCTCAGCCAGCCGTGTCCCTGCCAGATACCGCAGGTCTCCAGGGAGAGCAGTGGGCTTCAGGAGAAAGTGTTGGGAGACAGACGTGTCCCTGTTGACTGTTTCTTTTTGTCACCTGTTCCTAGCTCTTCTGTTCCATGTCTGCCACCTTCACCCTCAACTTCTTCCGATCTGGAATTCAGTTTGGAAGTTGGGGCTCCTTCCAGCTCCCTGGATTGCTGAACTTCGGCGAGTTTAAGGTTTGTCTTGTCCTTTCTCCCACGATGTCGCACTGGGCCCCTGAAACTCGCTGGGTTGTAAAGCACAGGCCAGGGCCGCACAGAGGGCGGGTGCCACACCTGCAGGAAGCCCCGGCCCTTAGCGCCTCCTGGGCTCTCGCCCTCGCCAGGGCAGGACTCCTCCAGCAGGGAAGGCGGCTCAGCTCTCCATCTGTCTTCTCCTCTTCTGTTCCTTCCTGTGCTCATGGCCACTCTGGTTTTTCTCCCTCCCCCTCTGCTCCCTTCTCTCAGTGCTCTGACTCTGATAAAAAATGTCACCTCTGGACTGCTATGGATTTGGGTTTCTTCGTCGTGATGGGGGTCATTGGGGGCCTCCTAGGAGCCACATTCAACTGTCTGAACAAGAGGCTTGCAAAGTACCGTATGCGAAACGTGCACCCGAAACCTAAGCTCGTCAGGTACCTGTGCAGTCACCTCTGCAGCCTGCTGGGGCTCCCTGAGGTGGTGTGGGCCAGGCCGTCTCCTGAGGAAGGCAGTCACACGAGCAGACCCTGCTTCCCGCGTCAGCTTTGACTTCTGGCCTAAGGCTGAGCATGGACCATCAGTTTGCCCTGCTCATCAGACAGGCCGCAGGGCTGAGCCGAGCTGGCCTGCAGGTGTGGGGGACTTGCGCCACTCTGCCCTGCCGGCTGGTGAGCCCCTCCGGCCCAGGACCTAGCGTGGAAGCCTGTTCATTCCTCGGGAGAGACGAGGATGCGGCAGTCTCCTTGATGAGTGCAGTCAGTCAATGAAATACCCACGCTTTACACCCAGCTGCAGGGTGAGAGCAGATGTGACGCTTCTGCACATGCGTGGTGACTGCAGAAAGTGGGGCGGGTCAGCAAGACGTGTGTTTCCGGGTCTGTTCATTGTGTCATGATGGCTGTGCTCTGCTCCCCAGAGTCCTGGAGAGCCTCTTGGTGTCCCTGGTAACCACCGTGGTGGTTTTTGTGGCCTCGATGGTGCTGGGAGAATGCCGACAGATGTCTTCTTCGAGTCAAATCGGTAATGGCTCGTTCCAGCTCCAGGTAACCCCAGTACCTCTGCTACCTTCATTCTGCACCCAGAAATCGCTTGTGCTTAGAGCTGCTGGACGCGTCAGGTCACCGATGCATGCCCATCACAGCCAGGGGCAGCAGCATGTAATCACCCTTCACCCGAGAGGCTGTGTGACCTTGTGACTGCTATGACCCACCCTGGCCCAGCTCCTCTGGTGAGCAGAGCCTCCTTGGACCCAGCTTCGGGGCGAGTCCGACAAGTGTTCTCCCTGCGCTCTGTCCTCGCGTTGCTCTCGACGGTCTCTTGCATTGGTCAGCGCCCCTCTGGTCCTGGTGCTGAAGGCGCCTCTGAGGCTCTGCAGGACTTGTCCACAGAGGCTTGGAGTGGGTCATCTTGGGCTCAGCAGCCATCGTGGCCCCAAGCTAAGTGTCCATGGGGGCTACATGTGGCTGGCAGAGTCTGAAGTGTGTGCTGTCTGGTTCTTGATAGAAGTTGTTTACTGGCCCCTGTTGCTGGTTACTCCTCAGGCTGTGTCGTTGGCAGACAGTGTTTTGCACTGTGTTCTGTTACAGAGCAGTGATGTGTATGGTTCCAGGATAGATAGAAAGGACTCTGTGGTCTAGTAGCCTAACCAGAGTTAAATAGGCACTTGGTCTTCTTTTTGTGGTACTAAGGAATGAACCAAGGGCATCACACATACTAGGCAAGTGCTCTACCCCTGAGTTACGCCCCCAGCCCTGTTTTAAACTTTGAGTCAAGATCTCACTAAGTTGCCTAGGCTGGTCTCAAACTTACGATCCTCCTGCCTCAGCCTTCCAAGTAGCTGGGATTGTAGTTACTTGTCACCATGCCCAGTTTAAAATGTATTTCTTTACCTCAGGACTTCCAGGCCGGGGCATATAGCTCATCAACATGGTCCTGCCTGGCAGGCACAAGGTCCTGAGTTCAACTCTCAGTTCCCCCAAAAACAAGATTTCCTAGAACCTAAACTGTTCCTGTGAGTGTTAGGATTGTTGGGTGGCACATTTACTGTCCGCCAGATTCTCCACGGCACGCACCAACATCTCTGAACCCTTACCGCACAGGCCTGCTGGGTGGGGATAGCATCCCTTGGGGGTGAACGAGGTCTTCCTCCAGATCCCTCGAGCAGCACGTGCAGCCTGAGGGAAGGTGTTGTCAGTGTGTTACAGACTAGGAAGCTGAAGCATCCCCTCTCCAAGGTCATCAGCCGTGGCAGAGTCAGCCTGAAAGCTGGTTTTGGAGTCTGCATTCTGCTTCCGCAGACACACTGGCTTCCAGGCAGGGCTCTGGTGCTGCTCAGTGCTCCTGATCTTGGGACTTTTTCCCGGATGTCCTGCAGGCATGGCCCGGGAGAGCCTGCATTGTTGCTTCCTAAGCTGTCCCCTCTCCACTGCTCCTCCACTGCCAGCTCCACTCTGCACAGCTGGCTCCCTGCACACATTTCTCCTTTGCCAGGTCCCGCCACCAGGGGACGCTCCCCAACACCTAGTCTCATCCCACACCAAATAGGGGCAAACTTCCCATCAGTTCTGTGCTCCCCGCTGGAGCACTAGAGCCAGGAGCACACTGTCAGGCCTCCTACCCAGGTGGGCTCCTTTTGGAGGAAATCCAGAGCAAAGGTGGTTTTCAGTTGGGGCTCTCATACCAGGCGTGGTGACCCCTGTCATCCCAGCACTCGGGATCGCTGTGAGTTTGAGACCAGCCTGGGCTCCAGAGTGAGTACAAGCCCAGTCTAAACTGCATAGTGAGACCTTGTCTCAAAAAGCCAAAAAAACTAAACCAAAACAAAACATTTGGGGCTCTGAGTCAAGTGGTGGCCTGGACACCCCTCCCGGCCATCTGCCTCTCGCCTACCTTGTCTTCCTACCATCCTTGTGACGCCTGGGCCTGGCCGCTAGCGGTGTCACTGAAAACTCAGCACTGAGACGAAGCAGAGTCCAGTCCGTGGCCAGCCATGGTGTGGTCACACTTCATCATGAGCATGGAGGAACGGAGGTCTTTTTCCTGATTCTTTGTGCTGCATCCAAAAAGAACCCAACATCACAGTCTGCTGCTCTCAGGTGTCTGCCAGCTGTTGCTGCCTGCAGGCAGAGGTGTCTGCCAGGCTCCTGTCCTCACTGGAGCTGCCCCCTGGAGACTCTGGAGCACCCGGTCAGCTGCCCGTCGCTGACCTTTTGATCGCTGCTTTGCAGGTTACATCAGAAGATGTGAATTCGAGTATCAAGACCTTCTTTTGTCCCAACGAGACCTACAATGACATGGCCACACTCTTCTTCAACCCCCAGGAGTCTGCCATCCTCCAGCTCTTCCACCAGGACGGTGAGTGCGTGCTGCGCCCGTGCCAGGGCCAGGCTTGCCCTTCTCTCCGAATGGGAGCAGGGCTTCCCATCTGCGCAGCCAGCCCGGACAGCCCCGGTGCCAGAAGGGGGCCCGGCTGGGGCTGAGCCGGTCTGGGAGACTTGGCAGCCTCCGAGGTGGGACTCAGGTCAGCTCTTCCCTTGCAGGGACCTTCAGCGCCGTCACCTTGGGGCTGTTTTTCGTCCTCTATTTCCTGCTTGCCTGCTGGACTTATGGGGTTTCGGTTCCAAGTGGGCTCTTTGTTCCATCGTTGCTGTGTGGAGCAGCTTTTGGCCGTTTAGTTGCCAATGTCCTAAAGAGGTACAGCATGTGCATGTGTGAGTGCGCGTGCATGCTTCTCCAGGTGTGTGTGTGTGTACGTGTACACACGGTGTGCAGGCTGTCACCCCCCCCTTCCCCCTGCACCCCACCGTTCAGCCCACCGAGGTGTCTCTAAACCCCTTCTTGGTTTGTTTGTTCACCAGCTACATTGGACTGGGCCACATCTACTCAGGGACCTTCGCGCTGATCGGAGCCGCAGCGTTCTTGGGAGGGGTCGTCCGCATGACCATCAGCCTCACGGTCATCCTGATCGAGTCTACCAATGAGATCACTTATGGGCTCCCCATCATGGTCACTCTGATGGTGAGCGCATCTCCTCCAGGGTTTCAGGCTTGGGTCTGGGTCACCCCAGAGCCTGCCCTCTTGTCAGGCCTCTGCTCTGTGTTCCAGGTGGCCAAATGGACAGGGGACTTCTTCAATAAGGGCATCTATGACATCCACGTGGGCCTTCGAGGCGTGCCACTCCTGGAATGGGAGACGGAGGTGGAAATGGATAAGTAAGTGCCCTGTTTCTTTCTTGCCGTGTCAGAACTTGGAGCTTTGGAGTTGAAAGAATGCTGGGGTTAGCATGGGGAACCAGCTTAGCATGGGGAGTGGCGGCCCCAGCTTCTTGAGTGGGAGGGAGCAGGCACATTGTTCCCAGTGTGCTTGGCAGTGCTGAGCTGGGAGCTCAGGGGCCGGCACGGCCTTCCGTGGCCATGTGGCTCACGTGGCAGTCTGGTTCAGTGTGAAGCAGGATCTCTGGATCCTGTGTGTGGTGTGATTGTTTATACTCAGTGCACACTGAGCCCAGGAGTGAGACCTGCCCATCCACACGCAGCCTTCTGAGTGCCACCTGTCACCGTGATTGGCATCATGCTGGGCACCCACCTCAGAACCACACAGATGCTGCGCCTCCTGCCTGGGGTTGGCGAGGCCCTTTGCACAGGGGTTTAGGGTCTGCCCAGGGCCGCATTGCAGATACTCTCAGCTTTGCATGTCGTATCCTGTGCCTCAGCCCCAGCGTTGTGACAGGAAAGCAACCACAGATGCCGTGTGGGGCCGGATCCATGGCTTGTTGGCCCCTAATGTGCAGAGGGACCCTTGGCTTGCTGGTTTAGTCTGACTGCGGGTTCGTGGTGAGCAGGGCCCTCAAGTATTGCAGAGGGGGTTTGCAAGCTCACGGGTTTGTGGTGAGGGAACATGGCCGTGGGCCTTGTGAACCAGCAGAGGCCCACCAGTGTGACAGACCGGGAGCTGACCCTAGCGTCAGGACAGCCTGCACAGATGGGACAGAAGTGCAGAGGAGCCCCGGGGTTCCGGTGGCCCCCACAGACACTCAGCATGGCCTGTCCCACCCGTGGCCGGGGTTGTGGCCCTCAGGAGGCTGCATGGTCTCCCCTGCCCAGGCTGAGAGCCAGTGACATCATGGAGCCCAACCTGACCTACGTCTACCCGCACACGCGCATCCAGTCCCTGGTCAGTATCCTGCGCACCACCGTGCACCACGCCTTCCCCGTGGTCACCGAGAACCGTGGCAATGAGAAGGAGTTCATGAAGGGCAACCAGCTCATCAGCAACAACATCAGGTTCAAGGTGCGTGGGGCGGCGTGGTGGGGCAGGGAGTGGGGGCCCCCCCGCACTGTCCATGCTGTCACGCCCGCCCCGGTGTACTCAGAAGGGCCCAGAAACCTGTGTGGTCTCCACCGTGTGATGGAATGCAGATGTGACAGTGGCAGAGTCCTGGGCTTTGGGCAGATGTGCATTGTCACCTTGCCATAGGAAGGGGACACTGAGTAGGGGCAGGCCTCCCCTGCGGACTCAGGCCTGATGAAGAGAGCAGGACTTGATCTGGAGCGTCAGGGCCAATAAGAGGGTCTGGGAAACCTCTCTGTAGGTGCCCTGGGGGTCCTAGTGGGAGCGGACACTGGATGGTCCCTGTCATCATATCAGTCCTGACTTGAAAGCCAGGAGGAGGACGAGCCCCATGCCTGACCTCCCATGTGTCCACACGGCTCTCTGCTTGGCTGGCTTTGGGAGGCGCAGCCATGTGTCTCCCAGTCCCCCCAGACTGCCTCAGTTCTAGATAGGGATGGGGGTCATTTCCTCTGTGCTCTTCCCAAAGTGCAGGGCTGGATGTTAGGAACCAGGCAGGCTGGGGTGCAGCTCAGCAGTCGGGCCCTTCTTCAGCACGTGCAAGGCCTAGGGTTCATTCAGTGCCACACGGCGCCACAGCCCCTCACCGACTCCTACTGGCTCTCGTGACTTCAAGGCCCTGAGCCAGAGTCCCGCGCACTGCTGCAGCAGGAGGGTGCTTCTGGTCTCATTGCTCTCAGGCCCTGGGCCCAACAGGTGCCGCCCTGGGTGCCCTGTGGCAGCCTGTCACTGCCCCACTGCCCACCCACAGAAGTCCAGCATCCTCACCCGGGCTGGGGAGCAGCGCAAGCGGAGCCAGTCCATGAAGTCCTACCCATCCAGCGAGCTGCGCAACATGTGTGACGAGCACCTGGCCCCCGAGGAGCCGGCCGAGAAGGAGGACCTGCTGCAGCAGATGCTGGAGCGCAGGTGCGGCCCGCGGCGCTGGGCCTGGCGCGGCGCCCTCGCTCGGCTGTGCTAGGCAGCGTCTGGTTTCTGTGTAACAGATACACCCCCTACCCCAACCTGTACCCCGACCAGTCCCCGAGTGAAGACTGGACCATGGAGGAGCGCTTCCGCCCGCTCACCTTCCACGGCCTGGTCCTGCGCTCGCAGCTCGTCACCCTGCTGGTGCGCGGCGTCTGCTACTCCGAGAGCCAGTCGGTGAGGCCCTGTCCCTCTGCTGCACCTGTGCTGCCTCTGGTGACAGGAGGCGTGGGGAGCCCGGTTCTCTGCAGCCGGGTCTCTCGCTGGCTTTTCACAGAGCTTCTGTATTTTCATTTCTGGTGCAAACGAACTGTTAAGTGTGTTGAAAGAAAAACCACCCATCCCTCCATGTCAGCCCTGAAATAGTTTTCTTTTTCATTTGAGTTTTGGGATGTTGTTCAAAGTGAGACCATCCCGTTCCACACTCTGGCCTTCACGGGAGACCAGACAGCTGCTAGAGACCTGCTTCCCATCAGGGTCTTGCGGCATGGGGGTCCTGGCCCTGGGGGTGCCGAGGCTCTGGTGGGAGTGGAGGACCAGCCCAGCTGTTGTGGGGCAAAAGGGTGGAGGGGGTGGCATGGACTGGATCCTGCGGGACGTGGCCTGGCCCTGTGAAGGCAGGGATTAGGGGCCGCTGACGGGCTTGGACCAGTGTGACAGGGCAGCTCTGCCCGGGAGGTGGGCGGGGGGGCAGAGGCCAGTGCCTGTGGACCCTGCGCCCAGCCTGGGAGCCCATGGTGCCGCCCCGCTGTACATGCACGGCTGGCAGGGTGAGAATGGCCGGAAACCTCAGAGCCTGGAGTGAGGAACAGTGACCTGGCTCATTTCTGTCCTGTGGTGATGCATCAAATCGCCGTGAGCTCTGTGGCATTCAGAGTTCACGGCCAGAAGTACAAACGCGCGTTGTGGCTCGCCCCGCCTCCCTGAGGGCTTTGGGAGGACTCAGCCTGCCTCTGCCTACCTTCTGTGGCAGCTGCGCTTGGCGTTCCTTGGCCGTAGCCACGTCCCTCCAGTTCTGCCTGAGTTGTGGCTCATGTTCTCCCTGTTTTGTAACGACATCTGTCACTGGATTCATCTGTTGTCGTTGGTCTCATCCGTGGTGACCTCACCTTAACCTGATCCCATGCAGAGACCCTGCTTCCCTCAAGGTCACTGCTGCTCCGCTGTGCTCAGAACCCGAAGCTCGACCCTCATTTACACCTTGGAGACCCTCAAGGGTCTCCCAGCTGAGGGAAGAGAAGTTCATCGAGCTTTAGGGTGACCCCAGCGAGCAGGCGGCTCTGTCCTGCAGCCTGCCCAGCTCAGAAGGAGAGGGTAGGTGTGGCCCTGGTGCCAGGCCACTGTCTTGATTGGAATTGCAGAGTGCCAGTCAGCCGCGCCTGTCCTACGCCGAGATGGCCGAGGACTACCCGCGGTACCCCGACATCCACGACCTGGACCTCACGCTGCTCAACCCGCGGATGATCGTGGTGAGCGGGGCTATCCTGTGTGCACGCTGCTGGGTCCCGTCCTTTGTGTCCAGGCTACAGGTGACTCTTGCTGTTCCTTTGCAGGATGTCACCCCATACATGAACCCTTCGCCCTTCACAGTGTCCCCCAACACCCACGCCTCCCAGGTCTTCAACCTGTTCAGGACCATGGGCCTGCGCCACCTGCCTGTGGTAAACGCCGTTGGGGAGGTGAGTCCTGGGGAACCCAGGCCACTGCCACATGGTCCACACTCGCACCTTGGAGAAAGGACCCTCAGTGGGGGTGTGGGTGTCCCGGTGCTGCATCCCCTGCGGAGGCTGTCAGACCACAGTCTGCCGGGCAGCTGTCTCTTGCTGTCCTGCTGGCTCTGGAACTTCCCTCTGTGCCTTGTCCCTGCGCACATGGCCAGCAGGTGGCGCCATGGCGCCCTTCCGCCTTCCAGCAGGATGGTGCCTCCCTAGCACCGCAAGGTCCCCTCGCTGCCACCCGAGTCTGTTCCGCATTTCCCCTCCAGTCAAGAGGACGGGGAGTATTAGATGAGAGCGCTTCAAACACACAGGACAGCTGAGCACTTTAAAAGACGGCATGCCCATGGGGGCTGGGGATTTAGTTCAGCAGCATAAGCACCTGCCTTGCAGGCAGGCAGTCGTGAGTTTGATCCCCAGTACCGATTAAAAAAAAAAAAGCATGCCCAGTAAGGGCTGCTATGGGCTTTCCGTTACTTCATTTCAGAACTGTGTTTTCCCCTTGTTGTATGATCGCTGTTTTCCATTGAGAAAAATAAGGAAACACAGATGGCCAAACAGAACCAAGCCCCCATCCTGCCCTGCAGAGGTCACTGCACCGGCTTTTCATCGGCATTGCGGTCCTCGGTCCAGGAGTGCTCGTATGTCCAGTTTTTGTGTGACTCTCCACTCTGGGAGAGGACTGTCCCCAGCAGAAGACCTCTGTCTGCAGGGTCAGCGCATCCTTTTTTGTCTTTGTGCTGGGAAGGAACCAGCGGCCTTGTGTTCCTGGACAGAGGTGCAGTCCAGGGCCTCACGCTCAGCCCTGCAGTCCTTTCTTGAGCTTCTGTTCTGGAGACTTTTGGTCCGTGTCACCAAGCAGCCCTCCAGGAACTGATGTCCCTGTAAAGCAGGGTGGCGTCCAGGGGACCCTGACCCACACCCGGCATGCTGTGGTAGATGGGATTGTGTTCCCTGTGATGAGACTGCCAGCTCTCTGACCAGTTCTGCCGTTTTGCACTGTGGCTGGGGCCCTGTCATCCGTGATGCGGACTGATGCGACAGGGTGGTGGGAAACAGCTCTGCACAACAGGGACAGGGACAGTGACGTGCGGCAGGGTCAGACTTGGAAGCCTCAGTGCCCCTGCCTTTGGCGACTCTCTCCCTGTGAGGTCAGCGGGCCCAGTGAGGGCTAGGGCCACCACAGGAGGCTGGTTAAAGCTGCACCAGGGTGGGTACGAGCCAGCCCCGGTGAAGCCACCTGGAGTTGTGTGTCCCTGGTACCTGCATCCAAGCTCTGGTACTTGGTCCTCTCTGGGAAGTAGAGCACTGTGAGGAGAGTCTCCCCAGTCTCCAAGCATCCGGCCCCCAGTCCACCTCCATTCTGTGACAGACTGGCCAAGCTGGACCCTTTCTTGTCCATGGGTTTGTCCCTGGGGTGACCTGGCTTTTCTCCTTTTCCAGATTGTGGGGATCATCACACGGCACAACCTGACACATGAGTTCCTGCAGGCACGGCTGCGGCAGCATTACCAGACCCTCTGACGCCTGTCCCCGCCTCCGGCTCACACTGCGGCTGCCACCGGCCACGCTGTCCCAGGACACAGAGGTTCCCAGAAGCCTGGGATTGTCCAGCGCTTGCTGGTCAGAGGCGCCAGGAACGGTGTTGAACCAACCGTCAGAGCTGGGACTTCTCTGGCCTCCTCAGCAAGTACCCTGTTCCCTGCGCCCCGCGTCCCACACCCGGCATTGGGGGAGCCCTGCCACTGCCTTCAGCACTCAGGAGGGGCTCAGGCCGAGGCCAGCTGCGGAATCCAGTTCATCACTGAGTGTAGGAATGGGGCGCTGACGAGGCTCCCCTCGGGCAGGCCGCCTTCCCTCAAACCTTGTCTTCTTTAATCCATCTGAAGGGGCGCCTTGGCTTCCTGGAGGTTCAAGTCTCCTAGGAGCCCCAGCCTGCAGGACAGAGCATTGAGTGGTTTGCGAGTGAGAAATTCGGGTGCAGGGTTAGACCACTGTCCCCATCTGCAGACCCCTTCTCCCTGCCCATCCTGACCGCTGGTCTCTGAGTGACTTCCTGGTGAGACCCTAGCTGCCGCATATCCTCAGCCTCACCTGCAGGGCCCAAAGTAGGGCCCCCTGAGACAGATGGGCTTCCCTGGCCCCTGGGGAACGGGACCGTCTCACATGTGGGGGGCAGTTTGTCCCAGGCCAGGTCCCTGAAAGGGACGTGTAGGGTGAAGCAGTGGCTTCTTCAGGAAGGACGCTATCTTCCCCTCAGCCCTCTCTTCCTGCTGGCCACAGCTCTGTCCTCACAGGGAGTCACAGGCAGGAACTTCATCTGGGCTCAGTGAGGGCAGGGGAACCTGTGGCCTTGGCCTTGAGGGAGGGAGCTGTGCCCCAGCCCAGCCCTGGTCTGGTCCTGGGTGGCACCCTCCCAGGCCTCCAGGCCCTACAGAGCATGAACCCAGGGTAGGGTTTGCGATGATCTTCCCGCAGCCTCCCGTGTGTCGGCCTTGCCCCAGCAGCCCTCCTGCAGCAGCTGCCCCCGGGACTCAGATGGCACCGTTTGCGTTTAGTGTTTTTAGACCCGTGAAGTCTCCTGAGGCCTCAGGGCCTGGGGGCTCCTGCCAGCCTGAGCTTGCATCAGACCCGACCAGGCCACTCGTGTCTCGCGCGCAGTGCACTCGGAATTGGCCATGCCTGCAAAGGGCTGCTTCTGCTTCCCGTGGTCCTGCCCCTTACCCTGCTTACCTTTTTGACCAAAATGACTCTGATTTCTACATTTCGCAGCTTCTTAGGATGCCTTGACTTGTGACTTGGGGTGATCCTCCCCGTAGACAGTCCAGGAAGTCATAGCCTGTCATGGGACTGTGTTCAGTGGGCGGCTGCTTCATTTTAAGGCAGTGTTTGGAGCTCGACTTCCTCGCTGCTTCCTCTCGTGGGGAAGGATCGCAGTTGCCAGGCCTGGTGGCACATGCCTGTAATCCCAGCTATTCTGGAGGCTGAGGCAGGAGGATGGAGAGCTCAAGGTCAGCCTGGGACACTTAGCAAGACCTCCCTTGAAACAGAGTGCTGGCGGTGTAGCTCAGTGGTGGAGCAGCTGTGTAGCATGTTGAGACCTTGGGTCCCAGCTCCACTGCTGCAAAACTAAAAAGGAGACCAGGCGGGTGCTGTGACTGCCTGCCTGTCAAGTGCATATGCCAGGCGATAGTGTGACTGTCACAGAAACTCCTCCTCTGTCCCCAGCCCTCGCAGATAGGCAGAGCAAAAGCCCAGCCCAGACAGGGCAGGGCTGCAGCTGCCTGCCTCTCGGCCACCCTGGTGAACGTTGTTGGAATTTATCCCTCTTCATGTCCTGTTGTGTTTGAGTCACCACCAGTTTAGCCCAGAAATAGACGGTAGAATGCAGACACCGCCCTCCCCCTGCAGCCGATGGATGGACGGACGGACGAATGGATGGACGGACAGCACCGAGGAGGACCTGAGCCAGGCTCCTGTCGGGCCGCTGCACACCCGCCCTCCCGTGTGCCTGCCCTTTCCAGAAAAGCCCAAAGACGACCCTCCACACAGGGCTGCGACTGCATGCCTTGTGCCCTGCTTCCTGGTCCCCAGTGCAGAGGCACCTTGAGAAGATGTCCGAGAGGGACTTGGCCTCTCTGCCGGCTGTTCCCGGGACCGGAGGGGGGCTGGCTGGGAGCCGGGTCCCCGCTCGGCCGTGGAGCCCGTGCTTTGGGAGGTGATCTGCTCGTGACCTTGTTACACTAACAGCTCCTGGCTGGAAGGGACGCCTGCTTGTTCCAGCCGTGTGGGGAACGGTGGGGGTGCGGAACAGCGTGCTGACGTGGCCCTCGGTGGCCAGGAAGCTTCCGGAAGGGCAGCAGTGTAAACGGCAGTGCTGCCTCGGCCCCTCGGCCGTGGTCCTTGCCACGGAGCGGCTTCCTCCTCTCTGTTTGCACTGTTGGTTTGTATGTAATGTTAGCTAATTCCACTGTGTATATAAATTGTATTTTTTTTAATTTGTAAAGTTCTATTTTTATTTGGATTTTTGGAACTTGGACATTCTCATGGTGACACGTCAGAATAAAATGTCTGCATCTGTCTCCTTTAAGCCTCGTCCCTCGGTGCTTTCTTTGGAGGGACATTTGGCTTTTACCCTGCCCCTCCTTCCAGTAGCTGAGCACTGGAGTGTGGGTCCCAGCCTGCTGTCCCTCCTGTGGCTACCCAGCTGAGCCCTCCTCCATAGGTCCCCTCACTGTGTTAGTGTCCTGCTGTAAGGAGGCGTATATTTGGGTTTTTTGTCTGTGGATATTGTTTTCACTTTTTTTTTTTTTTTTGATACAAGGTCTCACTATGCAGTTCAGGCTGGCCTTGAACTCACTGCGTAGCTCAGGCTGGCCTCAAACTCTTAGTGATCCTCCTACCTCAGCTTCCTAAACGCTGGGATTCACAGCCGGCTTGGTTCTGTGGATCTTAGCACAGTCCCGTGCTCCCCACTGTGTTCTTTCTCCCCTCAACACGGGGCATCCGAGTTACTAACCTTTGTTCCGTCAGAGTCCTCTCTTCCCGCCAGTGCCAAAGGGCACCCTCCATTTGGTTTCCTGAGGTGTTGCTTCTAGGAATCTCCCCAATCCAATGAGAAGAGAAAGAATTGAGCCGAGATCTTCAGATGTGACGAGTTGCTGTCTCTGCTTATTGTTCATTTGTTTGTTGTTTTGTAAGAAGTGTTGCGAGTGCCTTTCCACCAGAAACAGCCCCTCCACCTGGCCCAGGTCTCCAGTCCAGGGGCTGTGCGTGTCATTTCTGCTCAGTGGGAACCCCGTGTGACAGCAGCAGCCCAGCAGGGTGCCCCGCTGCCGTCTGCCCTTTCTAGGGAATCCCACAGCAAGGTTGGGCCAGGACCCGGACGCCTCTGAAGTCCAGATGAGGAGCGATAGGGTTGGAAATGATCAGGCTGGGCTCCCGCCCTTCCTGTCCGTCTGTGCCACCCGCCCGCTCTTGCTGCTGGGTTTCCTTTCCCCCACACTGCCTAAGCCTAGTGCTGAGGCGCTGGGGCCGCTGGGTGTGCAGCACTGGCTTCAGGAGAGCTGATGCGCATTTATCCCTGACTGTGCGGGCACGCGTGGTCATGCACACAGCAAGCTTTTGCACTATAGCAGCTGTGAAACACGGCCCGTGGAGACTGGGTTACGGGGTGCCGTGTCAGGAAAGGCTTGTGGGAGGCGCTTCCAGCGCATCTTGAGGAATGAGCAGAACCAGTGTCCTCGGAGGGCCTGATAATTGGGCGTTGCAGACGGGAAGGGAGGGGCAGCAAAAACAGGGCAGGAAGAGGGGGTGCGCAGGTGAAGGGGGTGCTGGAGACGCTGGGTGGAGGGGGCTGGCGAGGCGCTCAGGGTCCCCGCTCAAGGTGCACTTAGTATCTGGCATGTTCTGCTCGGGCTGGTACCCTTTTCCATAGCAGGTGCACAGCCCTGTTTCTTCCCCCTCGGGATGTCTGGCTGTGACTTTCCACACCTGCATGGTTCCCTGCCGTCAGTCCCCAGGGCCACATAAATTCATGAACGAGCCCCGCAGGTCCCGAAGCCCGGGAACCCCTGGCTGTCAGCCTAGCAAACTCTCTTCACTTGCTCAGCTCTCACCACCCTCACGCTCCGGCTGTGGTCCACACCGGAAGTGGGGCCTGCTGGGTTCCCGCAGGTGACTCGAACGGATCAGAGAAAGCCCTCTTGGTGTCCTCGTTTTCTAAAAACGCCCAAGCTGCTACCAAAAAGCACTAAGAATGCTGTCTCCTGAGTACTTGCAGCTCTGCAGAGCCAGGGAAATAAGTCCCGATGTTTGTGAGATTTTAGTAAACAAGGACACTTAATGAACAATTCCAGATAAAAATAAATGCCTTTCTGGCCCTCAGGGGCTTCTCTTTTTTTGGCTCAGTAACAGGCTGGAGTTTAGGCGGAGTAGATGGAGGACTGCGATTTGAATCCACCCCAACCCCACAAAAACATGCCTAAGACAAAAAGGAGAGAGAGAGAGAGAGGAGAGAGAGAGAGAGACAGAGAGAGACAGAGAGAGACAGAGACAGAGAGACAGAGGAGACACTAAGCGTGCTCTTCTCTCCCAAAGGCTGAATGACCAGGACGGTGGGAAAAGAGAGATCAGAGTCCTTGCTGGCTTCTGTCCGTGGTGCTGAAGTTTATTCGTATTTCCAGCCGCTGTGGGTTACAGGTGAGGGTCTGGTAACACACGGGGTGGGCGAGGGGGGAGAACCACAATACAGCCATGTCGTCTACATGTAGCACAAACGTGAGACGTGCCGGCGGGAAGCGGCAGCTCCAATCCAGTGCTCGTCACTACTCCATGACCGTGACGTGAGGCCTCGCTGCAGGAGAGACTCCAGGGGAGGAGGGGCTCTGCCGGCTGTCCCCAGGGCTGGCCAACCTCGTCCTCCCTGCCTGTTATCTTCGGTACTATGAAGAGGAAACAAAAATGCTTGGCTTGGGGACCTGCTGGAAAATCAGCTTCATAGGACAGTACCAGACCTCCTGAACTGCCCCGGCCGGTCCCTTCCCAGCAGCCTCCTCTGCAGTCTAAGACCCCGTTGGTTTCCCATGACTAGTGAGTGGTTGCTCATTAGAGCCAAGCAGGCTCGTCCTGTGATTTCCCTCACTCTCCAGGGCCCGCAGCCCTGGGAGACACAGACTGCTACATTGCAGAGCAGAGAGGACTTGGCTTGTGAGCACCCTAATTTTCTAGTGCTGGTGACTCTTTATTTCTATAGGCTGTTGTTGAGTTGACAGCACTGTCCTGAGGCTTAGGGGACACCTGCCACGTTGGGGCTGGCATCCCAGGAGTGAGGCTCTGCACTGCTCCTCTCCAGGAGACCCTTGAGCAAGACTTGAATCTCCAAAAAACCAGTCGTCTTCCTCCTCCTCCCCCCACCCTCGCCCCATCGCCTCTTACCCGGAAGCTGTTGCAGCCCAGGCTGCTCTGGGCTCCAATCCTGTCCATCCTGCCTCCGAAGCAGCTGGACCTGCGCAGACTCCGAGGGGCGGCGAGCAGCGCCCTCAGCTTGCTCTTCAGGAGGGCAGATCGATCGGAGGAGTCCCAGGGTCCTCGCCCGAGGGCACCCCCTTCCCTCTGGGCAGGGCCAGCCTCCCCAGGCCAGGAAGGCACCTCGGGGAGGGCGCTCAGTACGGCCCCCGCTTCTTCATTCTGCTCGCTTGCAACCTGGGGCAACACCACCTCGTCCTCTAAGGGCATCTTCTCCTCCAGGTGGTCCAGCAGATTCTTTACAGAAAGAAAACACAGGGGGAGGGAGTGGTCTCAGAAGTCTAGAGGAACTGACCCAGTACCGGGAAGCCCTTTGGGCCCAGGCTGGGCCCCCGTTCCTGGCCCTACCTTGAAGTCCACCAGGTCTGCGTTGGACACGACATTGTACATGGGGTTGGCTCGAGCTTGGCCTGGAAGCTGGGGTGCGAGGAAGAGGAGGAGGAGGCTCACGGCGAAGGTGGAGAAGGAGCGCATGCCGACGCCGGTCAAGGAGTGTCCTGGTGCTGGCTGTCTCTTCTCTGTCCTCCCCGACTTCTCTCTCGGCCTCGGCCCGTCACTGTCCCCCAGCTGCCCAGCACCTTCTGTTTTATAGCCCCCAGCTCTCGACCAGCGCAGCAGGGCTAGAACCCTCCCCGTTGTGTCACTTGCAGCTTATGATAAAGCAGCAGTGTGAGGAGCCAGCAGAAGATGTCCTTTTAAAGTTATCAGTCCGGCAGAGCCTGTCACAGCCCCACCGTGGGCAGCCCCAGCAGCCCCCGGACCCTTTGCTGTGACAGCCACATTCTTGCTGATTTGCCTCAAGAGGCCCCCACTTCAAAGGTGTGAGAAGAGCGAAAGAGTCCTGGGTTATCTGAGCGCCACCGTGCCGCAGGATTCTTTCTGCTGGACAGCAGGACCCACGCGGGAAGCGGAGGGTGACGCTGGCGGGCGCCCAGCTCCCTGCTCTGTTTGTGGCGCAGCTGTCAAGGGCTCCAAATAAGGGCGGGAGAGGAGGAAGTGGCGGGCGGCGGCTGCAGGCAGAGCGGATGCTCCGGCCACACCTGATTCATGGGCTCAGCTCCAAGGGCGGACCCCAGCCTCACCCCTGACCACCCCTCTAGGCGGCTGGGCAGGAGTCATGTCCTGGAGGAGAGTCTGCAAGGAACACATGTGATGCGAGTCCCAAGAATCCAGTTCCCGAGCCTAAACGCCACGGGGAGTCGGGGAGGGGGCACCCCATCCCTCCCCACCCTGCTGAGGATGCTGCCCCGCCCTCTCAGCCTTTCTGCTCACAGCTGCTTCTGGCTCCCGCTCTGTCCACTTGCAGTGGCCGCACCCTTCCCAAGAGGACGCTGAGGCGAGGAGGGGCGCGGGGACAAGGGTGGGGTGCAGTTTTCCTTGTGCCTTCCAGGTCCTTCTCTGGAGCCAGGCAGTGACAGAACACGGTGGCCGCAATGCCCCTGTCCCTTTGGAGAAGAGATACCAAGTGGCCTCTGAGCTAGGACTACAGTGTCACCCTACCTTCTGCACAATCCACATGGCGTGGGGAGGGGACCCTGAGCTGGAGGGGCTGGGATGCTGGCACTGTGGCCCCTGACAGATCAGGTGCAGCCGGATCAGGGCCCGTCTGTAAAAAGAGGAAAACGTGAAGTTCCCTGCACCCCTCTCCGGGCACCTGTAGGGCTCAAAGGAGTGGAGACCTTGGGACCACATGTGCCAGGGACCATGTCCTTCACTGCAGGACAGCGATCTGGAAATGGCCAGGCACTGAGCTGAGAGTTGTGTGTGACCTCACCCCTCCTCAGGAGGTGGGTACAGTCTTGTTCCTGTGCACAGAGGGACAGAACTGAGACCTAGAGGTTCTGTCACTTACCCATGGTCCGTGAGCTCCTAAGTGGTGAACCAGGAGCAGAGCCCCAGGTCCGACACACATGGCCACATCCTTGGCCCGTGTCACACATACTGCTGTCTCTGCCCTGCAGGACATGCTCGATGTCACCCCATCCCCTCCTCTTGGCCCCCGCATGGCTCCCCACCTGGCCTTCCTTGATCTTGGTGCACGTGACGAGTCTGTGTGCTTGGCTTTCTCTCTCTCTCCTTCTGTTTTTGTTTTTGAGACAGGTCTCAATATGCAGTTCAGGCTGGCTCTGAACTTACTGTGTAGCAAGGTAGGCTTGAGTTTGAGGTGGTCTTCCTGCCTCAGCCTCCCAAGCGCTGGGGCTACAGGTGTGTGCTATCACATCTGGCCAGTCCTCCCCTTTCTGACCATCTTTAGGAGGGGCGTACAATCGCCACGGCCTCTTCCCCACTCTACTGTGCCTTGGTGCACCCCGGGAAGCCCAGGACTTGTGCGTTACGTGGCCGCCTTCATCCTGGTGAGATGCAAGCCCAGCTTGCCAGCCCTTCTGCTGACCCATGGCGGTGGCTTTCTGGAGCCACTAGGCAGGAAATCCAGGCAGTGAGTGACAAGAGGGGCTCAGGGAGAGTGCTCAGAGATGGAAGGGAAAGGAGACCCCTTCAGCCACCTTCAGGGTTAAGCAACTGATCTGGTCAAACCTGACTTGAAATCTGAACTTGGTATAGTGTTCAGTGACGGCTTTGGGGCCAAAAATCCGTCAGCTCCTGGCGTCCCTGGAATGTGCTCTCTGCTTAATTGCTTGGCTGCAGGGTTATTATTAGCAACGAAGACTCAGCTCGCAGCGCAGCAAACTGGGGACGTGGGCTCCACACTGCGTGCGTCACGAGGCGTCTCCGGAGATGCCCTTTGAGACGGGCTTTGATGCGGGCAGAGACTTCCGGAAAGGCAAGTGGGCACCACTGTGCCAGCTCCGCCTCAGAGGGGGCGACGCCGCTCCTCTGTCCTCAGCCACCTCTAAAGTCTGCAGGCGGCCCAAGGGGAGCGGAAGTGCTGGCCAGGGCCCCAGAACTTGCCCGCCTCCTTTGATAGAGGTCAGCTTTCCTCCTCCACAGGGAAGCACCATGGGGCCTACGTGGCATTTGCCCAGCTTCTTCTGTTAGCTTGGACTTTTGCTCGGGTGGAGGAGCAAGGAGAAGGATTCTACGATGAAGGTAGAGCTCTAAGTTGCTCCTGGGGTGGCAATCCCTGTCTTCAGCGTGCTCCTCGGAATCCTGACCTTGGGGGCTGTGCGATGCGGCTGCTGTTTAATGCAGGAGTGAGTGGGAGAAAAGCCAAGGTGTGGGAAGCCAGGCCACCCCGCCTGCCTCTCCTGCTGGCTGGAAAGTCAGGGCTTTCCCCCTTGCTCCCCTCCTCTGAGACTCGTCGTCCTCACGCATTAGGGAAGAGCCTGGCAAATGGGTGCGGGATCCAGGATGCAAGCGGGTCTCTCCGGCTTCCAGCTCTGTAATGCGGGCTGGCCTCGAACTCACCTATGCAGCTCAGGTTGGCCTCAAACTCTCAGCAACCCTCTTGCCTCAGCCTCCTGAGTGCTAGGATTACAGGTGTATGCCACCTCTCCCTGCCCCAGATTTGGTTTCTGACTCTCCCAGGGCTGCTTTGGTGTCCCAGCGATTGCACGTGAGTGCAGAACTGGCCCCCCAACTCACTGGGGCTGGGGGTGGTGACTGCTGCTGCCAATCGTGCAGGAGCTGCTCCTGGCTGACATCACTTCCCAGCACTTCCTGCACCCCGGGGAGCCCCCAGTGCTTTCGATGCCAGAGCCCGGGCTGTGGACAGAAGGAGGCCAGGACCAGTGGGGAGGCAGGTGGGGAGCTCAGTTTTACAAATCCTCTGGGCCTTGTATGCTTGTAACCTCAGTGCATAGCAGGCTGAGGCAGGAGGATCCCCAGAGTGTGAGGACATACAGTGAGTTCAAGTCCAGCCCAAACTACATATTAAGATCCTGTCTCAAAAACAACAAGAACAAACCAAAAAAGAAAAAAGAAACAAACTTTACAGGACATCCAGCTCTATGGACTTGGTTTCTGATCCAAGAGGAAAATGGATCATTTAGTGACATAGGACTGATCTATCTATGGTTCTTTATTTCTTTCTTTCCTTTTCTTCCCCTTCCCCTCCTCCTCCTCCTCCTCCTCCTTCTTCTTTTTCTTCTTCTTCTTTAAATTTTCTTTTTCTGAAACAGGGTCTAACTAAATTGTCTGGGCAGCATTTGAACTTGAAATCCTCGTCTCAGCTTCTCCAAAGTGCCAGGATTTCGGTATGTGCTACCACACCCAGCTAGGAGAGATCATTTAAGAATGGGCAGTGGATGGAAGTCCCAGAGAAGGCCGGGAGGCTGGGAGCTACAGAGAGAACAAGGCAGTGAGTGGCCAAGTCCCTCGGGTTTAGCTCAGCCCTGCAGGAAAGGCTTATCCTGGGCTTATCCTCTGCTCCAGTCTCTCTCAGACATGAAGGCTGCTCCAGGGAAATGCTCAGCATTCCGGGAGTGGCAGGTGCAGAGCTCTGGTCTAGGACACTGCACTCCAGCCCTGAGCTGCCCTGATTTCCCTAATGGGTTTGCTCAGCCCTGAACGGCCAGCCCACCCTCCTCCAAGCAGTGGTCCAGCCCTGAGCTGCAGGCCACACCTCCTTGGTCTGTGTCCCAGGCATCTGACTGGAGAGAATCCTGTGTGTGCGTGGAGATGGGTCCCTGGCCCGCTGCACTGTCAGGAGGACGAGGTTGACCATAAGGAAGCTGGGGTGGGAGAAAGGTGTAGGGCCAGGGCGCAGTCCCCAGGGCAAATGCTAGGGAAGGCGGCTTCCAGGGGCATCTGTGGACAGGGACCTCAGCCCTCGAAGTCACGTGTGGTCTCTGCCCAGCACCTGAATCATCTCTTCCTGGACCTTCGGGACAGAGCGCGCACCTACACTCTACCAGCTGACTTTGTGCTGAGTGGGCTGACCTGGGGGATGAGTCCTGGCCACACTGGGGTGTGAGTGTCCTGGGAGACGGGCGCACAGGGCAGCAGTGGCGCCAAAGCTTTTTTGAAAATGGATTTGGAGCTGGGTGTAGCACAAGCCTGTAGTCCCAGCACTCAGGAGGCTGAGGCAGAAAGATCGCCATAAATTCAGAGCCAGCCTACACTGCATAACAAGACCTTGTTTGTCTCAGAAAACAAACAACAACCAAAAGGGAATGAAAGGAGAGGCCGAGCGGGCAGGTGCCTAGGGACCGGGCGCCTCCTGGCTCCGGCTCCAGCTCTATTAACTGCAGGGCGCCGAACCAGTCACGGACTTCTCTGGGCCTTGGTCGCCCCACCCATAAACTGAGAGATTAATGAGAATCCTAGAGTCTTTAGAGCAGATGGCACCGGAACAGGGCTTCGCCCCCCACTTAACTGCTTTTCCGCACTCAGTGCCCCCCTGGGTCCAGAGCCCCAGGAAGCGACTCAGCGTTTCTTGGAAAATTAGCTGCTCCTAAAACCTGATTTTCCAACATTTTAATTCATCTCGTTAGCAATCTGCAAGCTCCGGCACACAGTGCATGAAGGTGCAAAGTGACACAAGGCCCCTCCAGCACCACTGTCTCAGACACATACAGAACAAGGTGTCAGAAAGGCCACAAGAGTAGAGGCCAAGGCCCGGAGCTTGCAAACCCAGAGCCAGAGAGCAGGGCTGGAAGTCCCTCTGGCACTTAGTGCTGTGGGCTCTCGGAAGGGTGCTTAGTGTATCTGGGTCTCTATTTTCTCATCTTACAAATGGGGTTAACACAGCCGGTGTGGCAGCATGCACCTGTGATCTCAGCAGTTGAGAGGCTGAGGCAGGAGGAGCCTCATGAGTTTGAGGCCAGCTTGGACTACATAGCAAGTTCAAGTCCAACCTGAGCTAGGTAAGGAGACTACATTTTTGAAAAAAAGATGGAGGAAGGGGTGAATAACAACAGGACTGGCCTCAGGGCCCTCCTCTACTCAGTTGAGCTGACCACAAATGGAGTCATATAGACAGGGGCCTGGGATGTGTGGGGAACACAGAATGGGGGGTTCCCCTGGAGGAGAGAGCGGTGATCCCACTAGATGCACTGAGATTCTGAGGGTGTCTCCCAGTATGCAGGGGGAGGAATGAGATGGCCCCAGCGGAGAGGCTCCTGATCAGGCCACTGTGAGCTGAGCATTTGAAAGCTCCTTTCAGGGTGACATCAGGAATTGTGGATTTTGGTTTTTGTTGCTTAGTTGATTTACTGGAATTGTTTTAGACATGTATAGTTCAGGCTGGCCTTCAGTCCACTGTGCAGCCAGGCTGCCTTTGCACGTCCGGCGACCCTCCTGCCTCAGCCTCCTGAGTGCTGAGATTGCAGATGTGTGTTGCTGTGCTGGGCACAGGGATTACAGGCTTGAAGCTAAAGTTTGGTGCAAGGTAGAGGGCTCATTCCCGATGGGAATACAAGAGCAAGTTTAGAGTTGGGGTGGAGTGGGGAGAGACCAACTGCTGATATTTTACTGAGACTCCAGACCCAATAACCACAGGAGAGTGCTCTAATGCTGGCTGCAAGGCAGGAAACCTCGGCAGGACAAACCCAGTGCACACATCCTCTCGGGTTCCAGTCCCAGGGAGCAAAGACGTACCCACTTGGAAAAGGGATTTCTGCCGAGGTGTGATAAACAGTCCAGGGCATTAAACCTCCCCAGGGAAAGGAGCCCTAGCTGCCCAATGGGCCAGGCCTTGAGGCCACGCCCCAGCCCCATTAAGACACCTTGGGGACCTTGGAGAAAGCACAAGACTTTGTGTTCCTCCTCCGACTCTTTCTCTCCCACCTCAAAACAGATTGTTTTGATTACACAGAGAAAATTCCACTTCCAGAGAAAATGCTATATGATTGATTTTATTTCATTGTCGAGAGTATTTGCTCGCAGGTAAGAAGCAATCTTGTAGAAAATAATCAAATATATAAATCAAAATAAGTTAATAAATAGAAGTCAATCAAAGACAGGGGGTTGGGGACGGAGCCCTTGTGGAATCGGCATCCATGGCCAAGGCTTCCTCCTACGGCTGCCTCATCCCTGTGGGGAGAAGATACAGGGTAATCATGGCCACAGGGGGGAAACTGAGGCAGGAGCTGAGCTTCCCTGCACCTCTCACGCTCCCCTACCCACACCGGAGTCCTTATTGATCTTTACGTTGAGGCTCTGAATGTCCCATTACTCAGAGACTCAGTTTTCTCCTCCATAAAGTGGAGCTTCCCTGGTGGCCTGGTCCTCTACCTTGAGTCTTCAGGCAGAGTGGGGACCCCACGGGTGGTGACATGTAGGGCTCTTTCTGCCCCAAGCAGTGATTGCCCTACCCCGAGCCAACACCACCCTCCCCAGAGGCCTCCTGAACCCGCAGGACATGGAGGGCAGCAGGGGAGAGAGCTCGGGGATGGAGCAATGACTCCCCGTGACTGTTTCCCCCCAGTGACCCCACTGATGGCGAGTGTGCAGAAGGGGCGACCAGGAGAGGCCTTACCCTTACAGCCCAGGCCACTGACAGAATCGATCCGGTCCATCTTCGTCTTTCTGAAGCAACCAGAGTTTTGCTTCACCTTGGGCCGCTGGGGTCCCCGAAAGGTCTGGAGGGTGCTCTTGGGGCCTGCTTTCCCAGGCTTCCAGGCTTCTGGGAAGACTTTGCCCTTTTGGCATGGCTTCAGAGTCATGCGTTCTGGCTGTGCCTCCGTGACCTTGTCCCCAAGAGGGTGCAACAATTCTTGGGGTGAGTGGGGAAGCCCGGTCTCACCAGCACACACCTGGACTCGCCCACCCTGGCTGGTACCCAGCCTGGCTGCTGCTCACCTCGGGTATCACCCACTCCCACGGCAGGTGCGAGGAGAAGCGGGAACCTCTAACTGCTGTCCCCAAGCCCTCCAGGCAGCTTCCATCTACGCAGTTCCTAGTGCTCACCTGTACTGCCTGGTGATCCGAAGCCTGGTCAGGCCAGTCCAGTGGCGGGTGGGATCGGCCACGCTCGGGTAACAAGTGCAGGAGAAGCAGGAGCAGAAGCAGCCAGGGCAGGCCTGCTTGCGTACCCATGTTGCAAGGAGGCCAGCCGGGCTGGCGCTGTCCGGCTGAGCTCCTAACCCACCTTCCCACTGCCCTCTGCTCTCCCAGCTCCTCTGCACCTCGGCCTTTTATCTTGGGCTGGTTGTCCGGGCAGCCCTTCCCCAGAGTGGACGTTTATCTGTGATTTATCAGCCGCATTCCGGCCAGCTGAGCTCAAGGCCTGGGAATGCATCCTTCACTGCTGCCTGCCTCCAAGGAATCCTCACAGGGTGGCAGAGTACGCATGGGGTGGCAGCTGGGGAAAGCAGGCCTTGTATAGAGATGGGCCGGCCTGGGGCTGGAGGTTTGTGGGGACACTGGCACACCCCTGTCTCCTGCTTTCTCTTTTCCTTAAGGAAAAAAAAATCCAGGGAGCCCAAAATGATGCTTTCCCCTTTCCTTCCCACCCCAAGCATTGCTGCAAACGGCAAGGTGGACCCATCGTCCCTAGGGGCACGGGGTGCCTCGAGAACAGACCCAGCCAGCGCCCACCCACAGAGCGCATCTTGCTCCTGGCACTAACCCTCACCCTCACCTTGTGCCCCAAGGACGGCCGGAGCCCTGGCCGCTGTCCGTGGTGCTGATGGCCCGGAGCGAACCCGCGCAAACTCAAGGTCTGCTTCGCAGCAAGCTTTCCAGGCCAGAAAGCTCCACCTAGGTCCCTAGGCAAGGGTGCAAGCACTTCTGAGACCCCCCCCCCACCCCCAGTCTCTCACACCCTCAGTCCCGGAACCTGTCAGCACCGGGACGCTCATTCTCTTAACGTCAACTGGTTAAAAACTGGGTATGACAGGGAACTTTTGGAATGCCAGCCTACCTTCCACCCCTTAACGGGTAGCACTGATTTGGCTGGAATTTTGAGAGCATGGCGCGGAGGTGAAGTCATGCAGGAATGTTTCCTATGGCATCTCCTCCAGGTGCCATCATCCCCTGCTCCCCACTGAGCCAATGCATATGGGAGAAGGGAGGATGGAGAGGTGATTATCAATCTGGTGGGACCCTAGGGATAGAGATGCCCTCTCCTTCAGGTGGCCACCCATGGACCACTTCCTCTCACCTGGGAGCCTCCCACCTGTGATGGGAAATGGGGTCTGAGTCCAGGATAAATGATCCAAGCAGCTCCAGTACACCCTCAAATTATGTGTAACTGGTATCACTACCCCTTCAGAGGATCTGTGTGGACAGGTACTGGGGGAGGGGCTAGCAGGGGCGATGGGTTATGGCCGCGATGGGAAGGAGGAGGCAGGAAGCATCCGGACTCTAAGCAAATCCTGCCCTCAGCAGCATCTTGGCAGGTACAGGGTGAGAAAGGGACCCGTACTGCTCTGCCTTTCCAGACAAGGCAGCTGCGCTGAGCTGAATGAACAGACTTTCTGAAGATCACATGATAAGCAAAGGGGTGAAGCCCAGATTTCAGGCATCCGAGTCCAGACCTGATGCTCTTGGTGACTGCTGGGATGATGACAAGGTGTTTCTACTGCAGGGAAAATTGGAGGAAGCCGCTGCCTTCTCCACAGGCTCAGGGAGCTGTGCCGTGTTGGGGGGGGGGGTGAGTCTCACAGCTGCGTGTGCAGGGAGGGAGGGGAAATGTGCCACGGTGAGCGTCCGCAGGTGGAGTCGGGGGACAGGGGAGGACTGTGAAGATGCCAGTCCCAGGAAGGTCTGGGGGGTGGGGCAGTGTGTGTGTGTCTGTGTGTGTGTGTGTGTGTGTGTGTGTGTGTGTGTGTGTGTGTATGCACAAGCACATCAGGGGAAAACAATCCAAAAGCTAAGTGAAAATGAGGGAGGTTGAAATAGTTGAACTGAGTAGTGTAGGCTGGAGATCCTCCTGCCTCGGCCTCTTGAGTGCTGGAGTTACAGGTGTGTGCTGTTACAAAAAAGGGGAAGAAGCAGAGGCACGTGCTCAACAGGACAGGCTTATTTCAGAACAAACCTAGGAGGGACGGCTCTGCCGGAGGCCGGAGCTCCCTCTCCTACGGGCTGTAGGGTCGTTATAGGGTCATGAGCATTAACAAGGGGGCTGTGGAAGAAAAAGCTACAGTGGGATTTCAGGGTGTGGAGGGGTTCAAGAGGAAGGAGTTGTGGTCGTCTGCCAGGGGCAGGGCTCCAGGGCACATCAGGAGCTGTGTGTTGTTTTCAAGATCGGGGCTGAGCCAGGATTGTGAATTCTCGGGTGTGGCTGTGCTCACTGGGCCTGATCAGCCAGGGTGGCCGACGTGCAGCAGGGCTGGAGGCGCAGCTGGGGGCTCTGCTCGGACCAGATGGTGGAGGTTGGATTCCTTCATTCCAGGCTCAGTGGTTAGGTAAAGAAAGTGGGAAATGCATCTCTTGCTTAACCACCTCCTGCCGGCTGGGGCGTCATGCCTGGGGCTTTGTCTGGACTGAAGGAGGAAGGCCACGTTGATGTGAACTGTAGGAACCCCCTGTGAGATGGCCACATACCCGTCCAGTGGGAAACCTGAAACAGGCTGATTAGGCACAGCAGTAATACACAGGTGAGGAGAGAGGAGGCATGATCACAGGAGGAGTCCAGGATAGAAGAGCGGCCTTCCGTGAGCTCTGCAAGGTTCCCGAGACAGCTGCGGCGCTGCCTGGACTCTGGGTCTTTCGGAGCCACAGTTACGTTATCACCATGATCCGGAACCCAAGCACAGCGGCTGTGGGAAGCGTGGTGCGTGTCTCCTTGGCAGACTCTGCGTGGGGCAGTGGATCCCAGGCACTGCCATGGCTGGTTTCAGTTGCATTGTCACTTGAAATGTGGCGGTTTCTAGCAAGAATAAACAAACTTCCCCAAAAGATTAAAGCATGTAGGGACCAGACTTTGCGCACCAGAGTGGAAGGGGCTGGAATACCAAGTGTAGCCAGCTGGCTTCTAGATCTACCTGTAGCTGGAAACTGTCACCTGGGTTCAGTGATTGGAGCCCCTTTTAGGTTGACCCTATATTGCTATTATTTTAATATGGTTTTGGTTTTACTTTTTTGCTGGGTTCATGACCCAGTTAAAGTGAGACCTGCGTGGATCAAAATTAGCCCTCGATATCTATCAAGGTCAGTCACGGCCCCTCGGGCAGTACTTCTGAAACCATGTACAGGGCCACTGCCTCTCAAGTCCTCTGTCAGTGTCAGCCCCAGGATGAGCTGTGGTCCTGCTTCACGGTGTGGCTTCCCTGGGAAGCATGCTGGTGACCCTCCTTTTAGCACGCCACACATTTGCTTGACTCCTGGGGGCCCAACAGTCTCCCTGTTCAGGAGGCTGGAGCTCCTTCTCCTACAGGCATCTTTATAGGGTCATGAGCATTAACAAGGGGGCTGTGGAAGAAAAAGCTACAGTGGGATTTCAGGGTGCGGAGGGGTTCAGGAGGAAGGAGTTGTGGTCGTCTGCCAGGGGCAGGGCTCCAGGGCATACCAGGAGTTGTGTGTAGTTTTCAAGAGCGGGGCTGAGCCACGATTGGGAATTCTCGGGTGTGGCTGTGCTCACTGGGCCTGATCGGCCAGGGTGACCGACGTGCAGCAGGGCTGGAGGCGCAGCTGGGGGCTCTGCTCAGAGCCTTACTAAAATTGCAGGATCCTATAGAAAAGGTCCCCTCATGTCCTGGTCCTTGGTGACCGTGGAGGGCCAGAGCCAAAACACTAGCTATCCTCCTAGCCCAGTTACCTTTGTAACTTTGGTCATTAAACGTCAGTTGTTGAACCCCCAGGAGACCAGTTATCTTACCTAGATGTCAAGCACCTTGAGACATATTAGACCGGTACACTTGGGAAACAAACACACTTAATACCGCATGAAGTCGTGACAGGTGTCACGAACCGGGTCAGAACTGGCTAAGGAGGCAGCTCTCTCCTGCTCCTCATCATGGAACAGCCGACCCGAGAATCTACAACTATGTGTGAGAAATACTTTGAGCACATCAAGTAAACAAAGTGACCCACTCAAGTGTATCAGCCGGTGTTTCCCCAGGCCTGATTTTCGGTCTCATTATCCAGCTGGTCTCTGCGACTTTTCAACATCAAAAATGAATTTGTTTGTTTCCACTCGTGGGGGTTCGGAAGTGTGAAAAGAGGCTCTGCTAAGTGTGGCTGTCCTGAACCCCGTGTAAACAGCGGCCACGGACATCTCAGGAAGAGCCAAAAACGGGACAGACATTGTGGAGTTCAAACAAAGCGGGCGTTTGAGCCTTTATTAAAATACCGATGGAGGTTTTTCCTTCCCCTGAGTAATCTGTTCTGGCTTGGCATAATTGACTTCCCGGATTTAGGCTACTTTGAGTCCTTCCTTGGTGCAAAATAGACCCAATTGGATGCGGTACTGTAACTGAGAGCCCCCTTGCAGGGCCTTATCTTGGGGGTGGGCAGGGAAGTTTTTGGCAGGGGTAAGGGGTGAGGGAGACATAGGAGGGTGAGGAGAAAGAGGACGGGCTTGGGGACCCCCTGCCACTTGACGTTTCTCTGCAGCTAGTTATCAAGGTCATGAAGAATCTGGACACTAAACATGCTAAATCACGCCATTAATGCACCACATTGACAGAGCCAAGGACAAAAATCATATGATTATCTCATGTTGTAGTTAGGGGTTGTATACTGAGAACAATTAGAATCAGGACATGGAGTTTATAATATTGTTTTTATAATGGTCACTGGGAGTTAACACAAGAAAAATGCAGGAAATCTATCTGCAACACCAAAGACATAGAATATTTAGTCAAGAGCCTAAACCCCACGGCAATGTCCCACATGAGTCCAGATAAAAAACCAGAGCTCATGACAGTGTCTCCCCCACGCATCCAACTGGAGGTCCAGAGCCCACAAGAAGGACTCACGCCAGTCTCTTTTACAGATCTGTGCTGGGAAGGCCCAGAGGTCAGCGTTGAAAGCCAGAAAGTCCACACCAGCGGGGTGAAGGAGCTGTGCTAGTGGGATGAGGGTTCTACACTGGAACCAAGAAGTCACATTCACAACAAAGACCAGGGCTGTCCTGAAAGGCACCACAGCCATCCTCAGCGACATGGAGACCCAGAGCTCCTCTGACGATAAGCACAGAGGAGTACTTGCCAGGAAGCCAGCGTGACGAGTTCATCCTGGAGACCAAGTGGCACATGTCTTCCCTTCCGGAGCCAGGAAGCAATGCTTGACGTGAGAACCAGAGCATCTCCAGGAGAACCACCGGCTCAAACAGCAACATGTGGGAGAACCCACAGTGCCTCAACACAACAACGCATTAACGCCTCAACACCTCCCTTCTTCTCCGCCTGTTTATGCTGGCAACTTTCCTCAGGTGGAGCATCTTCGCTCAGTGCCATGCTGATGTAATCCAGCTGGCGTTAAGTTGACCACCACTTCTTAATCCATAACATTTCAATAAGTGCAGAGCAAGCTTTTGAACTGGGGATTTAGCTCAGCAGCACAAGTGCCTGCCTTGCAAGTACGCAGCCGTGAGTTCGATCTCCAGTACTGATAAAAAAAAAAAAAAAAAAGAAAGAAAGAAAGAAAAAGCTTTTGACAAAGTCCAGCACCCATGCATGATTTAAAAAAAAAAAAAAACCCCTACGGAAAACTGGAATAGATGGTCTTCATCTCAATCTGATAAAAGCCAACTATGATAAACGGACAGCCAACAGTGTACTAAGTGGACAAAAACTGAAAGCTTTCTCTCTAAAATCAGGAACAAGGCAAGGATGTCACTGTCTCTGCTCTTATTCAACATAGTCCTGGAAACTTTAGCTGGGGCAATTAGACAAGAAAATGGAATAAAGAGAGAAAAGGAAGAAGTTAAATTATCATTATTTGCAGATGACATGTACTTACATAGAAGGACCCAAAAACTCCACTAAAGGGGGCTGGGGATTTAGCTCAGTGGCATAAGCGCCTGCCTTGCAAGCAGGCGGTCATGAGTTCGATCCCTGGTACCGATAAAAATGAAAAAGACAAAAAAAAAAAAAAAAAAAACCCACTAAAAAACTACTAGTTGTAATCAGCAGTTTCACTAGCATAACTGGATACAAAGTTAACACTCAAAAATCAATAGCCTTCCTGTACTCCAATGAGAAACCCACCGAGAAAGAAATCAGGGAGACAACATCTTTTACAATAGCATCCAAAAAAAAAAAAAAAAAATACCTAGCATCAGTCTAACAAAGGGTGTGAAAGACCTCTGCTTTGAAAACTACAATACTCTGAGAAAGCAGATTGAAAAGGATATTAGAAAATAGATACCCTGTGATCTTGGGTAAGAAGAACCAATATAGTATAAACAACCATACCTCCAAAACTGTTACACAGATTTAATGCAATTCTGATAAAAACCTCAGCAGTATGTCTCACAGACTCAGAGTAAATAATCCCGACATCATTTGGAACCAGAAGAGACCTAGAATAGCAAAGGCAATCCTGATCAACAAAGACAAGACAGGGCATCACAGTTCCTGACTTGAAATTATATTATAAAGCTACTGTGATAAAAACTGTGATACTAGAGAAAAATAAACCAGACCAAAGATCAGTGGGACAGATTAGAAAACACAGACACATCTGCAGACACACTAAGCCACCTTATCTTTGACAAAAATGCCACATTCATTCACTAGATGAAGATAGCCTCTTTAATAAATGGCGCTGGAAAAACTGGATCCACACCTGCCCAAGATTAAAGCTGGACCCATAGCTTCCACCATGCACTAAGCTAAAATCAGAAAGGGCCAAAGATCTTAGTATTAAAACAGGAACATTAAATATACTAGAAGACAGAGTAGGTGAAACTGCTGAACACACCGGTGGAGGCAAAGATTTCATGAACAAACCCCGACGGTTCAGGAGCTGTCACAAAGAATCAGCAACTGGGATCTCATCTTACTGAAAAGCTTTTGCACAGCAAAAGAAGCCACCAACAGAGTGAAGAGACAATCCACCGTGTGGGAGAAAATATTGCCAGCCGTTCCTCAGAGAAAGGGTTACTATTAAAAACATAAAAAGAACTCAAAAAATTCAGACACCTCAAATTTAAAGACCCAATCCAAAAAGGGCATCTGAGATGAATACACACTTCTCAGATGAAGAAATATAAACAGCAAATAAATACGTGAAAAAATGTTCAGTTGAGAGATGCAAATTAAAACAACACTGAGAATCCATCCCTTTCCAGGAAGAATGGCTGTTATCAAGAAATCAGCCACTGGGGCTGGGGATTTAGCTCAGCGGCATAAGTGCTTCCTTGCAAGCAGGCAGTCGTGAGTTCGATCCCTGGTACCGACTAAAAAAAAAAAAAAAAAAGGCCAGAGATTTAGCTCAGTGGCATAAGCGCCTGCCTGGCAAGCACAAGATCATGAATTCAATCGCTGTTACAAAAAAAAAAAAAATTCAGGCCACTGGCTGGCACTTTCTAGCTTGTACCTGAGCTCCACTGTGAGAAAATAAAATATAAGAAATTTAGGTCAAATATCCTGTACTTTGCATGTTTGTTTGGTTGGTTTTTTGATACAAGGTCTCACTTATGTAGCCCAGACTGGCCTTCAGTTCCCAGCAATCCTCCTGCCTCAGCCTCCTGGGTGCTGGGATTCCAGGTGTGTGCCACCATGCCCCAGTCCAACATCCCTTGTAAACTGAGGAGTGACAGATTTTTTAAGAGGACGACCCAAAGGGGTATCTACTGGAATTTTAGACATTTGGCAGCCCCTAGTAATGGGCATGAGCGGCCAGGAGTCCGTAGGCTCGTGTTGGAGCTGCCCCCCAAGCAGGACCACGGGCCCAGAGACACTAAAGCGAACGTGGCCTGGTCCCCAGAGGAGGTTTCCCGAGAGACTGCTCAGGCCTGCCTGCTCCTGTGGCTGGAAGGTGCCACAGCACAGTCTGCCGGTGGGCCCCTCAGAGATCTGGGACAGACCTCCGCTTCCCGGGTGCAGCTGGGGGAAGGTAGGCCTCCCCCCGCCCCTCGCTGGTCCTGGGCCACGTGACCAGGAGTGCTTGGTGTTAAGTGGAAGGGCAGAAGGAGCAGCAAGTGACCTGGAGCTCATGAGGAGAGGGGAGAGGGCAGGCAGGTGCTAAAGGGAGAGCGGGGACCTGGAGTAGCCCCCGGCCTCTGCCCCACACTGGGCGCCAAACGTCAGGAAGACAGGACAAGACAGGACAAGCGGTAGGTACGTGCTCAGCAGGGCATGCTGGCTTCAGAGCAAAGCTCTAGGGTCTTTATGGGGTCCCCAGCATTAAAAGGGGGGCTGTGGAAGGAAAGAGCCCCAGTGGGATTTTGGGGTGCAGAGGGGTTCAGGATGAAGGGGTTGTGCTGTCACGAAGGCAGGGCTCCAGGGCGGACAGGAGCGGCTGTTGCTTGTCAGGAGCGGGCTGAGCAGGACTGAGAGTGGCTCATGTGACCATCTGCAGTGGGCGGGGGCCAAAGTGGGCCCTGCTCAGATCCGGATGGCTGAGGTTGGTTCCTTCGTGCACCACCACACCTGGCTTTAGAACATTCTCGGCACCTTTAGTCAAGGTTCCCTCCAGCCACAACCCTCTGTACCAAGCAAACACCAACCTTCTTTCCGGGTCCATAAAAGGAGCCTTGCTGGACCTTCCATGGAGATCAAACCACAGTCTGTGACCTTTTGCATCTGGTTCCTTTCACTAAATATCCACATCTCTTTTTTTGGCCGTACCAGGGATTGAACTCACAAGCTCGCACTTGCCAGGCAGGTGCTTATGCCATTGAGCTAAATCCCCAGCCCCAGTATCCACATCTTGAAAGGCTCATCCATGTTGTATCATGCATTAGTGCTTAGTCCTTTTCACAGCCAAATAATATTCCACTGTATGGGCATACAGCGTTTGGTTTGTTTCCGTCTTTAGGGTCTGATGGAGAATGCCGCTCCGTATGTCCCCGTACAAGTTTGTGTGTGGACTTGTTTCCTTTTTCCTTTAAGAATGGGACAGGTGGGTCACTGGTAACTCCATGTTTGATCATTAGAGGATTCACATGCATCCATACATAGTTCTGAATATAGTTTGTATTGCTAAAGAGCTGCCATAGCTATGTTCTTAAATGGGCATTTTAACAATCCACTGAGTTTAATTTTTAAAATAACTATGGGTTTAATTGGTGCCTAGATTTTTTTTGCTAGTTTGACTAACACTGCTAGCTGAGTTTGGTGGCACACACCTACAATCCCAGCACTCAGGAGGCTGAGGCGGGAGGATACTCAGGAGTTCAAGACCAGCCTCAGATCAAGATGCTATCTCTAAAAACCCCCCAAATCAATAAACAAATAAATGATGCTATTATCAATATTTCTAGGTACCAGGCTTTCTGTCCTGTTAGGTCAGGTTCCTCCACCTTAGCTGTGTAGAAAAGTGAGACGGATAATTCCCTGGTGGGCTGAGTGGGGGCTCCTGTGCCCGGTGGGAGGCTCAGCGGCATGCCTGGGCTCTGCCCTCCACGGGAGTGACTCCCTCATCCAAGCAGTGACAACAAAGGCAACTCCAGACCTTGCTAAATGTCGCCCGGGGGGACAAAGCTGCACCTGCCTGAGAAGCGCATCAGACCTGGCCCCTGGAAAGGCCCTGAGAATGAGATGTGTGCCCTGAAAAGCTGCAAGCTGGAGCTCAGCAGGGTGACAGGGTCACGAGGGTCTTTGTCATGCGGTTCAAGGACCTGCGTGAAACAGAAGGGCTCTGCACTTGCTGTGCAAAGCTGCATCGTATGCACCGGGCCGAACGTGGCTTCTTGTGTTGCATGTGCGGCCCTCGTGTTCCAGCAAGGCAGAGTCGAGGAGAACGGGGAGAGGGAGAGGGAGAGGGATGGGAAGGGGAGGGCAGGGGGAGGTGGAGGGGAGGGGCAGAGGGGGCCAGGCCACCAGGCAGGGAGAAAGGAGGGAGGAAATGCACAGAGAGGAAAGCCCTTGACCAGCTTAGTGTACAGGGTGGCGGCTGTGGGGATGTTGAATGGCTGCGTCTGCACGAGGGCTATTCGTAGAGCTGCTGGAGGGGAGGACACACTGCTGGGGAAGGCGGGCACAGGAACAGGGCCCTGTGTCCCCGAGGGAGCCCTGTGACAGCCCAGCCCTGGAAGCAGGGCGACCCCTCTGGCTGGCGCTGCCCCTGGGATCTTGCTCCCCGAGAAGGTGGCCCTCACCACATGGGCTGCAGGTCCTTGGCCTTCTGAGGCTGGGGATACCTGGAATTTGGCCCCCCTGTAAAGGGCCAAGCTCTGGGACTGAAGTGCCGTCCCCCTTCTGTGTCCCCTCCTGTTCCCGCACTGGAGGTCAGCATGGGGACCTTCCCTCCTGGGGGAGAAGTGCCCTCCCCACCCTCTGCCATTGCTGAGGTGCAGGGCCAGGCATCTGGGCCCCCAGGGGAAGAGGGTGGCACAGTGTCCCCGGGGTGGGACACTGAGGGGGCTAAAGCCAAGCACCAGCTTGCACATCCTCCCAGCAGCCGCCACGCTAGCCCACTCTGAAGTCCCCCCGGAGGGCCATGGGAAATAGTTTGCCACGGGTTGGTGACGGGTGGGCCTGTCTGCGGGACCCCTCAGTCCGCTTTGCTCTCTCTGCCTCGGGGCTGAGAGTCACAGGCACGCCTGCTCTCCCAGGGCCTCGGGGCCAGGTGCTGCAGGGCTGGGTGGGTTCTGTCTGGGGCAGCCCTGGCTGTCACCCCCAGGGCTGGCTGCTGTCACCAGCAGCTTGGCTGTTCTCCGCCCCCAGATGCAAACCGACCGGAGGCCCCGCAGGTGAGGCCTGAGTGCCGTGGGCCCCCCGCCCCCCGCCCCCCGCCCCCCTGTCCCCCCGCCCCCCTGCCCTCTCCCCCTCCCCTTCTCTGCTTTCTTCCCTCCTTCCCTTTCTTCTTTCTGTCTCTCCCTCCTTCTTTCCCGCCCAGCCTCCCATGTCCACAGTGTCCCCAGGAGCCTCCCGAGAGCCAGGGGTACCCCTCAGTGTCCTCCCTTTATCTCCCTTCCCGCAAGGACTGGATGAGCAGAGTCCGAGGCTGACCCAGGGCCCGGAACTGCGGCTCTGAGCTCCATGTGGTGGGTGCCGTCTCCACTGCCCCCAGCAGGATGGCCCGGCGTGCGCCACCATCCCTGCCCTGCCCTGGGGGGGATGGCCTTGAGCCCACGACAGAGGGTGCAGCTCCCTTCACCAATCTCT